TGGGAAATGTGGAATTGGGAATCAATGGGCACACCATATCCTTATTTCAACACCTTGAAAATAAGAAAGGAACAGAAAACTCATTTTCAAAAACTAATCCAGGTTAAGTTATCTCCTTATATTTTCATAGTCTGTTTTAAAAAAATCCTCAAATTTGCTTTGAAACTCAAGGCAAAAGACACACAGAGAAAAAAGATATTTATCATAATAAATACAAGGGGAAAAACACAAAATGTGCTCAATATCAGTAGTTTTCAGGGAAATGTAAATAAAAATTACAGTGAGGTATTATACCTCTCCAGTTAGAATGGTTGTTTTATATATATATATATATATATATATATATATATATATATAAATATATATAAATATATATATATATAAATATATAAATATATAAATATATCTATATATAAATATATAAATATATATATATATATATAAATCAAGTTATAGAGGCTCAGTGAGGTGGCCTAGTGGCTAAAAGTCCTTGCTTTGAATGCACCAGGATCCCATATGGGCGCTGGTTCTAATCCCAGCAGTCCTGCTTCCCATCCAGCTCCCTCTTTGTGGCCTGGGAACACAGTTGAGGATAGCTCAAAGCCTTGGGACCTTGCACCTGCATGGGAGACCTTGAAGAGGCTCCTGGCTTCAAATCAGCGCAGCTCCAACCATCACTTGGGGAGTAAATCATTGGATGGAACATTTTCCTCTCCGTCTCTCCTTCTCTATATATGTATATCTGACTTTGCAATAAAAATGAATCTTTAACAAAAAAATGTCATAAAAACTACAGATGCTGATGAGGATGTGGAAAAGGGGAACTTCTACACATTGCTATTAGGGAGACAAATCAGCAAAGTCACTGTGGAGAACAGAGGTTCCTCAAAAAGCTAAAAATAAATTCACTCTATGAGCCAACCATCCCTCTTCTGGGTGTTTAGATGAAAGAAGTCAAAGCAGCATATGAAAGAGACCTGCACGCCAATGTTTGTTACATCACAATCCATAATAGCCAAGATAGAGAACCAACTTGACGTCCATTGGTAGATGAATAGATGAAGAAAATATGATGTATATACACAGTGGAATACTGCATAGCCACAACAATAATGAAGTCCTGACATTTGCAACAAAATGGATGGAACCGAAGAGCATTACGTCAAATGAAATGAGTCAGACAAAAACACAAATACAACATGCTTTCCTTCATGCATGGAAGTTAAAACAAGTTGATCTGAGCTTTGAGTAGTGATTTGTGGAGGCTTGGGAGGGTAGAGGGAGGGGACAGAGGGGAATTGGACAGTGGGTACCAAAATGCAGTCAGAATAGGGTCATAAGCTCTGTTTCACAACACAGTAGAGTAAGTTTGGTTCGCATTAACAAGTTTTCTTTTTCTGCATAAAGAATAGGAAGAGAGGAGTGAGTAGGCTCCAAATACAAAAAGAAGATGAAAGAGCAGTTGCCTGACTTAATTATGCTCTTATATTTGTTGAAGTGTTGCACTAAGCCCTATAAGAATGCATAATGTTATATTTTGATTTAAAAAACCTTGAATAACAAAATCATAAAATGTGGAGGATAATAAAAGTATTACTTAATTGGTTCATTAGTGTTTTTGAGCAACTGTTATATGGCTGGCAACTGACTGAGCAACGGGAATCTAGCATTGAAAAAGCCCACATCCTACCTCATCCAAAACTGGAGCGCCTGGGATCAAGACCTGCTTCAACTTCTGATTGAGCATTCTGCTAAGTGTACCCTGGGAGGCAGCTGATAATTTGTGTCCATGCTAACCCTTAAGGAGATCTGAATGGAGCTCCTGAATGCTGGTTTTGACCTAACCCAGCTGGCTGTTGTGGGGATTTGGGGAGTGAGACGGTATGTTGAAGACATCTCTGTCTCTTACCTCTTTGTGTGGCTCTGCCTTTCAGCTAAATAAGAATAAACTCTTTTTCCAAAAAGAAAAAAATGGCATTAAAATCCAAATTTATTTAGGTGCAAAAATGTTGAAATCCACACATACAAAGACTGTTCAGAAAGCTCATGGAAATCGCATGTTATGAAAAAGCTGCATGCACTTCAACATTATTGCATCATAGTAAGTTTATGTTTTAACTCCAATTTTGCATGAAATTTTTTTTAAATGAAAAACTTTTGCAAATAATTAAAGATATTCAAGTAGTCAGGGTTGGGCCAGGTGAGACTCCATCTGGGTCTTTCTTTCAAATGGGCAGCAGAGGCTCAAATATTTGAGCCATCATCTACTGCCTTGTAGGATGCACATTAGCAGGATCTGAGTCTGAAGCAGAGTAGCTAGGACTCAACTTGAAATATGCACTGCAATACGGAATGCAGGTGCCCCATGCAGCAGCTTAAGCTGTTGTGCCACAATGGTTGCTCCTTCATGAACTTTTTTTTTAAGTAGTCTAGCATAAATTGTGAGAGGCCAAATGAGATTAACAAAAAAAGTTCGTGTTACAGTGACCCCCATATAATCTACAGGAAAGGTTGATCATGAAATATTTCGGTTCTCCTTAAGCTGAGAGTGGAAGGATAAGAGGAAATTAGACAGGCAAAGAGAAAGGGGAAGAACATTCCAGGTGGAGGGAGTGGGAAATCCGGAGAGGCAAGCATGCACGTGACTGAGGTCTCACGAAGTATTGTTGGGATTAAGTGAGAGAAGACTGTTCTCATGATCTGTTCGTGTGTAACCAAATTTGTTAACATGACTTCCATAGTAACTGGCATGGAGGGGTTCAGTCGGTTTACCATGGCGTGTAGCCTCAGATCCTAGGAGCAGGGTTACTGGTTACATCCATGTGACTGTTTTTGGATAATGCAGTCCATTCAAAGATCTAGCAGAATGCACATTCATGGTTTACAATAGAAATATTGCTCACTATTATTACTACCATTATCATCCGATTTCTCTTACCCCACTATCATAACGTTTCATTGCTTTATTTGCCTCACACACATTTAAATTTTCTTATTTCTTGAAATAATACATCTTCCATATTGGAAACCACAGGTCCATGGCACTACTACATAATCAAAATATGGCAGAATCCAATGCTGTTATTTTCTTATCTATTCTTTCTTACTAGGAGTGTCTTCTACAAGACACCAGAGGATAGGCTAGTGCCCTCAGAGCAGTCACTTAATATTTGTACATTTTATTGTTGAGTTATAGGCACAAGTGGGTTTTCTATCCTATATTAATTGTTCTTAGTTACCATGATTTTCTGTTTATTCCCTTTCAGTAACTGCTGCCTCAAAGTGGAAAATGGAAATCTTTGCCTGAATGAACTGATAGCAACAGAACCCAAATCCTTAAGAATGCTGCCACCAGAAGCTAACTCCCACAGGATCCAGGAGGAGAGAGAAGCGTGGAGGGAGGAGGGGGTAGGAGAGAGAGAAGCAGAGAAGGGGGGGTGTGAGGAGAGAGGATGGGAGAAAAAAAGGAGCGTGTAGAGAAAAGAGTACCATCCAGTCTTCTTCCCGATTTTCTGGCTTTGCATTCTGTGCCTCTGTTCCCACGTGTAGAGTAGGGCTAGTAACAGCGGCAGGAGGTTGTTGGAAGAGTAAAAAGTGTAGGAAAGAAGATAACAGGAATAGTAGAAAACACACACACATGCCAAATACTGATAGAAAGTGAACTGGATACAAGGGACAAGTGTGTTCGTTTTCATTACCGATGAATAAAAGAACAAAATGCCTGTTTTAGAAATTTATCCAGACAGGAACTGCTTGACAAAGAAATTCAATATGGTACAGAGTTGAACTGTGGGTATCCCTCACCGCTTTAAAAATTTCGAATAAGCGTTTTTGTTGGAGCATAATCCAATTGCAATTGGAAATAATTGAATTTACAGTATTGACATTTACCTCAAGGCTTTTCAAGATCACAGTCAGTGCCTCGGGTAAAACAGGGTGTTTCTGGCAATTTACCATCAGGGATAGAAGGAGCTCCGAACTGAAAAGGATATTGTTGTCTACTGCTTAGGGCAAAAGATAGAGAATGAATATGCATTAAGTGCCAAGGTTTTCTCTAAAAATGGCCTGCTGTACGAGCCAGAGGTACGCAGGTTTAATCCGACAAATAATTTAATTTGCGCTTATGATTTCCGAGGCGCCGTGGTGGGTCTTGAGCAGGAAGCAAAGATGAATAGATGCGGATGCCCTAGGGAGACAAGAGCTGAGCCCGGAAAACAGAGTGGGGGTTCGCGGTGCAGAACAGGCAAAATCCAGGTGGAGCTTAAAATAGCCCGGCATTTTCTACTCGTCCCAGCACCGCCCTGTTCTATTCTGAATCCCTTCCCATACGTGCCAGGTCCCTGCAGGCAGAGAATCCGCGACCCCGTGAAATCTCTCCTCCCTGCTTCCCCGTCCTTCCCATTTCCAAGGGCGTCTCTGCCGGCAGCACTGTCTTTGGAACGGTATCTCTTGTGTGGGTGGTGAAACGATGGGGGAGTTATTTTCGTTCTAATTATGAGAACTGTTATACTGGCGGAAGAGAGAGAAGCTAGGCTGCTCTCGGGGTGCAAGGCTCCGTGAGGAGTCTCCAGGGAGGCGTTACTAAGGTGACTAGAGAGGGCGGCAGGTGACAGGCACGCTTTTTCCTGAAACATGTTTCCAAATGAGGGGCGTGGGCTGAATCGCGGGCAGTTCCGCACACGTTGGATTCCTTAGAGGGGAAAGCAAAACGGCGCGGGCGAAAATTGCAAGTTGCAATACTGTATGGGAAGCAAGCAGCCTCTGCTTCCCCCTCCGGCCCTTTCCTTTCGTTGTTCTGGTTTCCCGGAACTGTCGTGCCTGTCGCACGGCGTCGGGACGCGCCCGAGGACGGAGCCATTTGAGTGTTACACGCGTCCGAGGCGCAGCGGAAGTAGCGCCCGTAGGCAGCGGCGGCGGTGGCTGTGCCCGATCCGAGGGCTGGCTGTGCCCCGTGGCGGGTGGTTCCGCCGTGGCCTCACTACAGAGGCGTGGGGGAAGACTCCCGGGCGGCCGGTGGGTGCGTCCTCCGGAAGAAGGACGGCGAAACGTGTGCCTCCTACGCCACTAGTTGATTGTGGTTTTTGTTTTGTTTCTTGAGGACAGATATTTGGAGACCCTGACGTCTCGGTTGTGCTTCTCACGGCTCTCATCGGTTGATCCATAGTCCGAAGTGAGTGAGAGCTTTTTAGTGCCACCCCTTTGTCAAGGTTCCGGGTATGGGGTGGGTGAAGCCGCCCCAGGGTGGGGAGTGGTGATTAGGGTGAGAGGGGAGAAGACGCCCTGTGATCACAGTGGTGACCATAGTTGACGTTCACAATGCTTACCGCACCGGACCCTGTGCCAGATCTGTTCCAGGGTGGCTCACCTGCTCGGTCTCCGGTCACAGGATGGTCAGCTTTACTTGTAAAATGGGTAATTAGGATCCGGCAGGGACGAGCCTCTGCCAGAAAGAGAAATTGAAAGGCCAGAGCCAGACCTTGAATGATGGTAGGCTGATGGCAGAACTCCACGGCCACCGTCTCCCATCAAGATGCGAAGGGAATGAGGGTCGGGAGGAGGAATGAGGAGGCTAGGGAGGCCTGGGGCAGATGCAAAGAAACAGCTGCAGCAGGAAGTCGGGAAGGGTGGGAAATGCCCTAGGGCAGACCCGTGAGAGCAAGGATGCTGGGTGGGAACTGCGATCTGGAGGAAGAGGGAGGAGAGGCCGACACCCTACACCCCGGATTTGGAAGTGGAGTTGGAGGAGGTGTCACTTCATGGACCAGTGAAGTCTGAGGAGACCAGTGACTTATTCAACACAGTTCTGGCCAGGAGTATGTCTTCTGTCCTAGGCCCAACGTGATGAAGCTTAGAGCGTTTTCTGCCTTTTTAATGAGCTTGACATGCTGTTGGGGATGTTCAAGTTTTAAGAATGTGTTGTATCAGTTGATCCGGACTGCTGTTTTCCAGTCCTAAAAATTGGGTATTTATGACCCCAAGTGATTTCAGCAAATTCTCCCATTAACTGGTGTCCCAGTTTCGATGTATTGCTGGAACCTGGAAGTTTCTCTTGGTGCTGAGGAGTATCGCTGGAGGTTTTTCAGCATTTCTAAATTTCATTTAAAAAGTAAGACAATACGGACTTAGCCAAGGGACGAGCTAGCTTGCCCTGAAGAAGCTTAAGAGCAAGTGGTGATCTACACGTGTGGGAAAGGGTAACAAAATTCCCAGCAGTTGGCAGGGGGCTTCCACAGATGCCGTCATTCCCAGGAAGCTTAGCCAGTCATGTTCCAGAGAGGCAACTTGGAGGTTCCGCTAGATGAACTCAGTCACTTACCTGCTTGGTAAACACTGGCATAAATTTTTCCTGAACTTCTTATCCCTCCAACACAAATAACAGTTCCTAACTTGCAGAACTCGAAGCGTGCTCTGGAAAAGCACCGAGCCCCATGGCAGGAACCAAGTTGCTGGTGAGCACAGTGGCTGAGCACCCTGGCGTCACCTTATCTGCAGGCGCCGTGCAGCCTTGAGGCCTGGTGGTTTGGGTGGCTGGCCAGCCGACGAGCACTGGCCCGCCCGCCTTGGTCCTCTAGAACTGCCTCAGCTGCTTTATCCTTGAACCCTGTGGTTTGCTAAGGACTTAGTTCCTAAATGGCCGACTTTATACTGCTCCGCAGATGCATGGCCACGGAGGCTACGACTCTGATTTCAGTGATGACGAACACTGTGGGGAATCTAGGAAAAGGAAAAAAAGGTCAGTACTCTTTTATTGATCCGAATCTCACATCCTTTCGAGATTAAAATGAGGCATAAAGAAGTCATGCCGTTAAGTCTTTGGGCTGTGCGTAGGGAATGCATTTATATTTATTATGCTGTAATAAATTGATGCAAAGTTTTATTACAGTTGTGGGAAAAAGGAGAGTGCAGTGTTTACAGTTGTGAAGGCATGACTTGGGGAAAGAGTTCCTGTTTCTCAATTGACTGCATGTTTCATTCAGCTGGCAAGGGTTGTCTGCTTACCAATGTCATCCCTCCAGAGGGGCTGGGTTGGTGGTCTCTTTGAAGAAGGTTTAGTGTGGAGGATGAAATTGGAATGCAGCACAGGTCTGAACTTTACCCGATGAGTGTGCTAATGGTCACGGAGAAGCTCATGGAAGGTTCTCTTGCATTGGAAGGGATGACACCTGTCAGCGCTGTAAAGCAGCCATGTCTTGGCAAGACTGTGCACTTGTATGCTCAGCTTTCCATACTTAAAAACTTGGCTTTTGTTCATTAATTCAGGAGTGCTTGATTCAACACAGCCTGTCTTTTAGAAAAGGAGAGCAATACATGAGGCATACTAACTGGGACTGAACATTTTTGTAGGCTACTCAATATTTGTGGATAATGAAAAGAAGAGTAATAATTACAATAGATTGTATTTTATAGTGCTTGACACTTCCTAGGTTTTCTTTCAAAAATATTACTTTACGAGAATAGAACTTGAAGGGCTAGGATTACGATGTTGTAGGTAGAGCTCACCGCCTGCCACCCCTGGTAGCCTGTATGAGTGCCTGTTAGGTCTGCTACTCCACTCCCGCTCCAGGTCCCAGCTGATGGCCTGGGAAAGGGAAAGGAAGATGACCCCAGTGTTTGGGCCCTGCCAGCCATGTGGGAGACCTGCCAGAATGCTCCCGGCTTTTCTGCCTTGCCCTGCCCTGGCTGTTGTAGCCATCAGAGGAATGAAGCAGTAGTTGAAAATTCCCCATCTCTTCCTCTCTCTCGAACTCTGACTTTCAAATAAATAAATAAATGTTAAAAAAAATGTCTACACATCTGATTGGATACTTTGCTTTCAGATTATATTTACGTATGTAACTAGGAATGATCATCCTCTATAAATGGCCTTGCTCTTCCTGTTTCATTAATTACCACAGACTTTTATCCTTACTTTACTAATATCAAAATTCACACAAAGAGATTAAAAGACTTAGTCTTACTAAGGTTAAGATAGGAAATGGCAGTAAGAGATTGGACTAGGAACTGAGTTGATGTGATACCAGATGGAGGTTTTGTTATTTTCATCTTCTCCATTTTGTAAATATTGAACGAAGCAAAGGAATTAATGTAACTGTTTAAGGAGTTATGCCTCGTTGAAGATTATGATCAGTGGATTTTTTTTAAGTTAAAACTTGAATTTTTAAAAACATTTTCCATTGTAAAATTGGAAGAGAGTTAGGAAGCAACCTCTGAGAAAATTTGACTTTTGAAATAATTCTTCTTCTTAATCCACCAGGACGGTTGAAGATGATTTACTGCTCAAAAAGCCATTTCAGAAAGAAAAACATGGAAAAGTGGTCCATAAGCAAGTTGCAGCAGAGTTGCTGGACAGGTACAGTGTTTCAGTATAAATCATATTCTTTGCTTTAAGAATTTTTATAAACTCAGAGACTAGGGGATTTTCTGTATGAAATAGAATACATACATTGGAATTTACTTAAAATTTGTTTTAACAGGGAAGAAGCAAAAAATAGAAGGTTTCATCTCATAGCTATGGATGCTGTATCCTTTTTATATTTTTAGATTTTTTTATAACTAGTAGAATATTACTTTTTTTTTTCTTTCACAAAATCTCATGAAGTCAAGTAAGTATCTTTTATAGGTAAATGTGTGTTGAGGTAGCATTTGGCCATTCATACTTGAGAGTGCGCTTATCTTTTCCTAATAGGTAGAAAAGAGAGACAGAAGTAACGAAACATATTGCTAGTATACTATAAATAAGTTTACCAAGTCCTTACACCTGCAGATATTTTTCCAGCATGGTTTTGCCAAGCTGTCAACATTTCTCTCTGAAATTCATTTTAATCTCAATTTATTCTCTTTCTACCTGTTTCTTAGCTATTTAAAGCTTCTCAGAACTTGTATTTAAAATTAGGTGTGCCTGTGGGCTGTTGCTAGGCCTGATGTGACTTTTTTTTTCTTAGTATTTATTTATTTTTAAATATTTATAAATTTTAAAATATTTATTTATTTTTAAATATTTTAAATATTTATTTATTTTTAAATAAATATTTTTAAATATTTATTTTTAAATATTTTTATTTTTAGTTGATTAGGGTACAAAGGGTCAAAGGCCACAGGAAAGTGGGTAATATCATTGTTTCCACACTAATATCATTTCCCCCCCCAGCCCTCCGTATCTGGGGTCAGGGGAGAAACAAAGGGAAAAGCCCCACCCAGCCTCCCTCCCATCCCAGGTCCCCAACTGATGTGACTTTAATTCTCAAACATCATGTCAGCTGTCTTTTGACTCTTCCTCACTGTGTCATGACACTGCACTGTTAACACTGGCCATCCTTACTACTCTTGGGAATACTGGAGAGTGAAGGAGAGGCCAAATAAGACGTAAAGTATTGCTGGGTTTTTATTGCTTTGGTGAGAGTTGGAAGACAGAGAACAATGTCAATTTGATAACATTCCCTGCTCAAAGTTTAATCCTTCTTGAAGTTATACGAGTACAGTTGTGGCATTAACTTATTTACTCATCTTCATCTCCTGAAATTCTGGTAGTCCTGTCTGCTGCTTGTTGCTTCAGGATTGAAACATCTGCCTTCTCTGATAGCACGCCAGGGTGAGTGGGTACCTGGTTAGTCTGGTGAGAGTGCAAGTCTAGCGCTGCTTTAACCCTCAATGGAGTTGGGTCCGATGGGGACGGCAGAGGCCCTTGGAAAGGGAAGGAGGAACTGTACATGGTACAATCCTCCAAGAGTCTGGAGAGACTGAAAATACTACAGTGCAACCCTCAGCTAGTGTTGCAACCATATAATGTCCTGGACTTGTCTGACCACACCTGTTTGCCTGTGTAACAAGAGGTCCATGTTAGACCACTGTCGATTGGTCCTCGGCTAAACAAGTCACATCCAGGCTCTGCTGACTCCCTGATTGATTCACATAGAATACCTCACTGACATGTCACCAAGTCAATTGAATTTCCACCTTCAGGAATGTGTAAAGTCCAACCCAGGCAGTTGTGACAAGCAGTCCCTAAACTTGCTTTGGTTTGCTCACTCCTCCTTGGCCGTGTGCTCATTCTTCATGATCAGAAGACCCCCCAGCAGAGAAGAGGAGCTGCACCACAGAGGATTGCAGCGCCCTCGTGGATCCGGCAGAGGAGACGCACTGTGGTGGGTGTGCAGGAGAGGCTGGAACCGAGAGCTCACAGCACCCAGAGGCGAACCAGCAGGACTGTGCCGCCTCCAAGCAGCCAGGGAAAAGAATGTCAGGTCTCTGGGAGAGGAGACAGACCAGAGTAAGTGAGGCTGCGGACTCCCAGCTGCTGCTCCTCTCACACATCACACTGAAGCAGGGGTATTTATTCTGGTGCTCAGCACTTGCAGTTACCATCTAGAAGTTACCCATCTTGGGAGCTGGTGCTTGTTCATGTGGTAGAGCAGCCTTTTGTCGAGGCCTTTTTAGTGTCTGGCCTTTGGCATTTCCAGCATGGCAGCCTCTTCATCCCAGTCTGTAATGTGTGAGGCACAAAGAAAACTTCTGGAACTCACCACTGTGTCATGCCAGGAGTTCTGGGGTTCTTACCCGGCCTGCTTTCTTCTCTTTGCCTTTCAAAGTCTGCTCGTGCTAGCTTTAAATGTGAAGACCCAGGTGTTTACTTGGTATTGGTATGAAGAATAGAGAAGGACATCTTTTCTCCATCTTTTGGAAACATAACTGTGCTCCACTGCCTGTTCCTGTAGTAAGTTTATATTGGCAGACAGGGCCCAGTGCAGTAGCCTAGTGACTCAAGTCCTCGCCTTGCACATGTCGGGATCCATATGGGTGTCATTTTTTAATCCCAACAAGCTCCATTTTCTGTCCAGTTTCCATTTGTGGCCTGAGAAAGCAGTCGAGGACGGTCCAAAGTCTTGGGACCCTGTACCTAGGTGGGAGACCCAGAAGAGGCTCCTGGCTCCTGCTTCGAATCAGCTCAGCTCCAGCCATTGCAGTCACTTGGGGAGTGACTCAACAGATGGAAGATCTTCCTCTCTGAATATCTGACTTTCCAATAAAAATTAAAATAAATGTTTAAAAAAGAAAGATTACATTGGCAGATAGCAATGTAGATATTTACACGTTGTGTGCTTTCACACACAAGCAGCAGAGCTGAGCTCCGTAGAGGCCGTATTGTCTGCAAATCCCTGAGTGTGAACCACTTGGCCATTTTACAGGTTAGGTAACTTCTCATGGTCACGTGCTCACTTAGCCTGACCCTGAGAGCTACATTTGAATATCTGATTGTGTCTCTTCTCTCTGGAACTGCTTTGTTAATCCATTTTGGATAAGTTATATTCTGATTAAATACAATATTAGAAAGCATTGTGTAGTTAAATCACTACGTGTTTTTCGCGTAGTGCAGTGTGGAGGGAGTGTTGTGGGAAGTGAGATTCTGTGCGTGTTCAGCTCTAGAGTACCATCGAGCATTTAAATGCTCGTGTATCATAAAATTGCACTGGAAGAACTGAGCAGTAATGTAAGATATTAAAAGTGATATATTGCTCTTTTAAAAACATGATGTTGGAATCTAACGTTAGGGAAGTAGCATCTTCTCTTTAGAAGGTTTTTTACCGAAACAGCTAGCTTTTATTGTACAATAATGGAAGATAAATTCTGCTTCTGACTGTTACTGTGTTCCTTGTACTTATTAGAGTAAGCAGTGGGATGAGGCTGTGTGCAGTCCAGCAACAGAACGGGCGGCTCTCCTTCTGTAAAAGTGCTTGATCCGAAGAGTATGTGCTGGAAAACATCACGGACATTATAAACTGTGTTCAGTGGGAAGGCAGAGTCTTACTTTACATTCTTCACTTCCAACAGTTCAGTATAAGCCCTCGGGGAATGTTTGACTATATAAGCATGTTTGCATAGTCATGTAAAATAAATGATAAATTCACCCTATGCTTTCTTTCACTTAATGACATAGAACTTCTCCTAAGTGAATATCATCCTTGATTCTTTGGATTTCAGTACCAAAGGCACACAAAGTTTGTAAATGACTATATTTTATACTATGGTGGCAAAAAGGAAGACTTCAGGCGTTTGGGGTAAGTATTCATGAGGTTGACATGAAGTGAGAGGGGCGCAAGGGTGACTTCACGCCCCCCAGCTGCTGTCTTTGCATTCCATTGGTGCTCCGCCCTACCTTTTATTCCAGTTCTCGTGTCTCGTGAGGTGGAGGGGCCGTGCGCTGCCTCTGACTAAGCTCGTGATGAGCATCAGCCTCAGGCAGCCTGCTCACGTGCTGACTGTGCTTGTGACCCTGGTACATAACAGTGTGTGCGAGAACTAGTGTGTGTCTCGCTGGAAAGGACTGGACATTTTTAGACCTGATTGTTTGGGATCGTTTTTTGGAAGGTAGGGCAAACAAGAAACCTTACCTCTCTTTCCCACGCACGAGTCTTTCCTATATTTTTGACTTGTCTGTCTAAGCCTCTTGATTTTGTGAGGATTTTTTCCCCCTTTCTCTGACTTATTTTGCTGAATTGGTAGCATCCTAAAAAGCTTAGTGCCATCTCATCTTCCCCAAGTCTGTCTGCCTTGTCAGTGATCCTGTGCTCCCCAGCAATCATTATTCTGCCCTCACACTCTTAGCATTTATTTTGAGAGATCTTCACCTTGTCTTCCCCTCGGAAATTAATAAAAAGAGCTATGGACAGTGTTTCATACTTTTTAAAACTAAGTAACATAGTGATATGACTGACTTTTTGTTAGATCTTGAAACTTTCACTTACTTCTTTCCTAGTGTTAATATAAGTTTCTCATCCTAGCCCTGGTTAAATTAACACCATTTGTGTAACTGTTCTCACTATAGGGGATGGGTGGATTCCGTATTCATTTTAGCCGCTTCTGTAGCCACACTGGGGACCTTTTGAAAGTAATGAAGTGGTTTTTATAAATACATGTGTATATACTATTTTTATGTATTTAAGTTTTCAAAAAAAAAAAACTCACAGAACTGTTTAACCTAAATTTGGCTAATTTTATTTTTAAAGCAGATTGAAATAATCTTATTTTCCAGGGAAAATGACAAGACAGATTTGGATGTTATACGAGAAAACCATAGATTCCTGTGGAATGAAGAGGATGAAATGGACATGACGTGGTAATTGTAGATGCGGGTGTACGGCATCAGATGCTTCAGTCCCATTTCTCTTGGGTTCAGATGTTGTCACTATCCACATTTTTGCTGACTTTCCATTCCTTGATTTAGTCATTAAAACTTTTTTTTTTTACAATATTGTATATTGTTTTGTAGCATGCTACTATGCACTTCTTTTAAGACTGTCAAAATATTTTTGAAAAAGTACTACCTGAAAATGGTTTAAGAAATTCACAAGAGGTAGAAAGGATTTTCTTTGTCACTTCCTACTGTCCTGCAAGTCTCCCCCTGTGAGACCCACTATTAATAATTAATATCCAGATATCGTATGCATATGTAAGTAATAGGCATCTTTTAAAACATTAATATTTATATCATATGCACTATTTATGTGACATTGCTTCCAAGCAGCAGACTCTGGTTGGATTTCTAAGTATATTTTTGTGAATCTAGGGAGAAGAGACTTGCAAAGAAATACTATGATAAATTATTCAAGGAATACTGCATAGCAGATCTCAGTAGATACAAAGAAAATAAGGTATGTCTTCCAGATACCTGTAGAAGGGGATTCTTAGTGAAGTGCAATATGGATTTCTGTTGTTAGCTTTGCCTAATTTTAGTCTGAATTGTGGGTCTATGGTAGAGGAGAAGGGTGCTTCTTTGGGAACCAAGACAAGAAAAAGCTTAAACATGAATACCTCCTTGGCCTTGTTTAATCGTTTGACTTGAGTCCAGAGCCTCTCATGATAATAATGATGCTTGTTTTACAGATGATGTTTGAAATTGGTAGATTTTTCTTTACCGTTTTTAGAGAGGCAACTGCATAGCTTCTGTAACATAAATATGTCTACTCTGGTAAAGTTGAATGATCAGATTGTGATAATTAGTAATGGCAGGTTTCCCATCCCACTTTGCATCATTTTATCTATAGGTTATTTTTATTTATTTCTAGCTCAGATTTCAAATGACTAAGTTGGAAAGTGAGAGAAGGAAAGATTACATAAGGATGTATATTATAGACTGTATATATGTTATATAATAAAACCAAGCTCTATTTGAAAATCTGCCTTAAGTTTGTATGTAGTAAGATTTCAGTTTCAGTGTATGTGCTACCAAAGTGAGCACTGTGGTTTTTGTTTAAATGGTCTGATCTCATTATAACAGGACTGGCTTACTTTTTTTCCAGTAGTACCTTTAATATTTGTGTGGCTCACAATTTTTTACAAACAATGGTAATGTTCATTTTATACAATAATTTCTACAAACCCATGTGATTGGTATATCCTAGACTTCTGATTTCTTGTCAGTTAGTTGTGGACTGTCGTTCACAGCGTTTATCTCCATTCCAGCTAATTGTCACATCTAATCCAAAAAGCACTTCAGCCCTTGCAATTACTTGTAATCATTGCTGTATTACAAATCCAGTGTGAAATTCCAAATCTTTCTAAGAGCATGTAATAAGGCGGCTTTTTTTTAACCCTGCCTCGTTTATGGATTGTTTTTCAATATTGGAACTGAACTGGGTTCTGTGGACTAGTTTCTGATGATTTTTGCCTCTCAGAGAAAGCAGCAGTCTAACTGAAGGAAGAATGCTCATAAAACAAAATTACCATTAAAAATATTTCTAGAAATTCGTAGTTTAAGGAGAATAACCTAGAAATGCATTTCCTAATGGAATGTGATGAATGATTGCCTGTGAGACTAAGTACAAATAATAAATCAGAACTCATGGGTTTTGAATATGAATACTGAAAGAAATTTGGAGGGAGATGACTGGTTTTTGGCGTGCTATGTTTGACGTGTTGGAGAAAGTTGGAATAATGCCTTTGGATCCCTTGCTGGATTCATTTCCCAAGTTTTATTTACAAAGCCTATATTTTATTCATGTTTAATTAGCCAGCTCCTAACTCAGTGCCATATGTGTGTGTGATATTTTAATTAGATATATGTGAGATACTGCTGGTATTTACAAGAAGTTTCTAAATTTGCCCCATACTTTTATTTGATGATTTTTCCCTTTAATCACTGAGAATTTCGTTGGATCATAGTATCAGTATTTATAAAATTGAACTGGAAAGAACCAAAAGCAGTCCCCTCAAAACTAACATGAATGAATTATAATTTCGTTTTTCTTTGCATGTAAGTACAAGTACATGGCCATGGAACTTTGTGTTATCGTTGTTAGGATCCTTTCCTGTTACGGGGTGCATGAGTGACCTCTGTGTGGTAAGGGCAGAGTCAGAAGAGAGCTCAGGACCAAACCCTGAGTGATTCCAGCTGGAGTCCAACAATAAGCAGGAAATTTATGTAGGTAGAGAATATATAAACATATATATATATTTATTTATACATATATCTGTATATACCTACATAAATATCTATAGTCTCTACCTACATATATATACAGTCATTAGTAGGATATAATATAGTTGTTATATATCTTGCCCTTCCCATAAAATTCTAACTTTCTTGGTGACAAATGGTATTTTTTTTTCTTTTTTATTAATTACATTGTACTATGTGACACAATTCCATAGATATTGGGATTCCCCCCAACCCTCCCCAAGCCCTCCCCCCAACAAATGATATTTTCATCACTTTTTATCTCCGGGGAAAACCAACTTGATAAGTAGTTGCTTAGTAAGTATTTGTTGAGTAGATTGATAGTTAAAAGGAAAAATCTGGAAAGTGTTGTTTGCTGTTGGACATTTGGCTGTACTCCAGTAGACATTCCAGCATATGTTTAATGGCAGGAAAGCTCTACATACTTTCTCATATATAGACTTAAAAATATCATTTTTTAAAAGTTACTTTCAATTTTTAGATTCCATTTTTCTTATGACTTAAAAGATTTTGCTTGAATTTACTCAGAATACTTCAAGATCTCTTGAGCTTTTATTGGCATTTGAAATAGAAAATCACCAGGGCTTCGTGTTAAGGCTCCAGTTGGGATGTCAGCATCTCCTATTAGAATACCTGGAATTAAGTCCCAGTTGCTGCTCCCAGTTCCAGCATCCCGCTAATGTGTACCCTGGGAGTGGCAGGTGATAGCTCAGTGGTTGAGTCCTTTCCTACCCACTGAGAGAAGTGGGTTGAGTTCTTGGCTCCTGGCTTTGGCCTGGTAGTCTTGGTCACTGCAGTTGTAGTAGTGAACTAGTAGATGAAAACAACTCTTTTTGTCTGTTTCTTGTTATCTCTTCAAAAAAGGGAAAAAGAAATACAAGAGTAGGCATTGGGGCCTGGTTCAGTAGCCTAGTGGTTAAGCTCCTCCACCTTGTATGCACCAGGATCCCATATAGGTGCTGGTTCATGTCCCAGCAGCCCCACTTCCCGTCCAGCTCCCTGCTTGTAGCCTGGGAAAGCAGTCGAGGATGGCCCAAGCCCCTGGAACGCTGAACCCATGTGGGAGACCTGAAAGAAGCTCCTGGTTCCTGGCTTTGGATTGGCTCAGCTTTGGCTGTTGCAGCTACTTGGGGAGTGAATCATTGGACAGAAGATCTTTCTGTCTCTCCTCTCTATAAATCTGCCTTTGAAGTAAATCTTAGAAAACGAAAGAGTAGGCGTCGTGGTACAGGGGTTAACACCTACATTTTAGAGTGTCTGGTTTCAAATTCCTACTCTAGTTCCCATCCACCTTCTTATTAATGTGTGATGAATCAAGTGCTTGATCCCTGTCAGCAACACGGGAGCCTCAGGTGGCATTCCTGGAGTCTAGCTTTGGCCAGACCTGCCCTGGCTGCTGTAACCTGAAGAACGTCTGGTGGTTTGCATGTGTTGGCAATTATGAGTATAGTTGCTAAAAGCATCTATGTTCAGGTTTTTGTTTGGACTCAAGTTTTCAACTCATCTGGGTAAATGCCAAGAAATTGCTTGAAAGCAATTGACCATTTGCTTTTAACCATAACCTGAAATTGAATAGAAAACAAAGCATTATTGCTAATACTGATAAATCAGAATATACGTGTGAAAGACCTTAAAAGACAAGCAAGACAAATCATTTTTAGGCCAAAAACAGTTGTTTTAGGAATGTGGATGGAAGTTTAACAACTTTCCATGTTAAGGCTCCAAACTAGTCCCCGCTGCTCTTTCCCAGTATCCCGGAGCCCGATTCTGTGACAGAAGCTGAATAATACTGAATTTTACATCACTAATAGATTACTCAGATTAGCTTGATCCCTGGTGTGATCTTTTCCTACTGCTGAGCCCTGTCCTCGCTGGTAAAATGTGGGAACTAGCTGATTCCGTCCTTTGGTGAGCCAGAGGAATCGTCATCATATCGTGTGTTAGTTACTGTTCAAGTTGCTTTATATGCACAAATGGTGCTAGATTTTCAAAGGTTTAACTTTTTTTTTCTTTAAACTTTACTGTGGTAAACAAGGATTCACAGTTGGTAGAAACTGTCTTGCATTTGGGGTTTGATCTGTTCCTGGCCTAGCCGTGTGCAATACGATGCTCTGTGGGTGATGGAGAACAAGTGCTTCCGTGCAGGCACAGGATGGTGAGGGTTAACAACCGATGAAGCGGTAGACTGTGTTGCCTGCATTGTACGGATGCAGGTGTTTAATAAATTACATGAGCTATTCAACAGTTGATTTAAAATGTGTTCTGTGTTCATTGCTTTTCCTCAATTCTAGGCTAAGGAGGATGTCTGACCTCAATAACAGTGACTGGGCTATACTGTTAAGTTTAGCAGATGAGGTGTAGTAACTACATTTTGACTTAAACTGTTTTCATCTTAAAATGATTGTATCAAGAATGTAACCCCATCGAGAGTCAAGGTGCTTCCATAGTATCTCATTTAAATCTCTTTGCCAAAAGTAGTAGGTAATTTGTCTCTCTTCGTAAGAGGAAGCTGAGGTATACAAGGAATTCAGTAATTTGCTTGGTATGATTCGTGCATTAGAAGAGCTAGGATGTAAACCCGTATAATCTGATTCCAAAGACTGTACTTTCCGTGTAACATAACTGTTTCTGTACTGTACCATAACTGCTTTTCTGTGTTTTGTTTTTTCAGTGTCACAGATCAGAATGTTAGTTATTAACTGACATGTCTTATAGCCTGACACTTATAGTTTTAGGGTGTCTTAAACAGCAGAGAAAGTGGTTCTGAGCAGCTATGTGGTTAATTCTTCAAATGCTTGGTATGTAAAATCCTATCTTACAGGAGGAAAGACTATTCTGAGAATTGGGTTTAATTTTTTCTCAAGATGTATTTATTTGAAACGTAAAGTTATAAAGAACTCAGATGCACAGAGGGAGAGAGAAACTCTTGCACTGGTTCATTCCCCAAATGACCACAGCAGCTGAGGCTCTGCCAGGTCTCCTGTGTGGGTGGCAGGGACCCAGAAGTGGGCCGCCTTCTGCTGCTTTCCCATTTGCTAGGAGCTGGATTAGAAGTAGAGCAGCCAGGACATGAACCTGTGCCCATGGAGGATGCCAGCATTGTAGGCAGTGGCTCAGCCTGCAGCACCAAATGCTGGCTGCTGGTTTAATTTTTATGTTTGGGCCTGGTGCAGTAGCCTAGTGGCTGAAGTCCTTGCCTTGCATGTGTCAAGATCCTATGTGGGTGCCAGTTCTAATCCTGGTGGCCCCACTTCCCATCCAGCTCCTTGCTTGTGGCCTGGGAAGGCAATGGAGGACTGCCCAAAGCGAATCATCAATGGAAGATCTTCCTCTCTTTTCCCTCATTTCTGTGTATCTGACTTTCCAATAAAAAAAGAAATTTAAAAAAATTCTTAAATGTTACTCTTAAAGCCTTGTTAAAATTTACATACAATTTTAATGTATTATTTAAGTTTTTTTGATATAATTGTAATTCTTCTCAGTTTGGATTTAGGTGGCGAGTAGAAAAAGAAGTAATTTCAGGAAAAGGTAATTCTTTAAAATTTTCTTTTATGAGAGATGCTTCATTTTGTCATGTTATTGAAATCATTAGGCAAGAGTATTTCTAACATATATAATAAATTATGTACAGAAGTAAAATTAAAGAATATTTGTGTGAAGTACTGTGAGGTAAGGCCGGAATGCCGTGCTTGAGTGAATTTTACCTATGGAATTTTACCTTTAACCATTTCAGTTGAGAATATGTAGAAATGTTTAAAGAGTTAAGGGTTCTAGCAAGGAAACTTAGTAGACGCATGCTTTATCAATTTTTGGAATAATGCTTTGCTTTTGCTGTAGAAATAAACATCACTTTGAATGGAGCAGAATTTTTAAACAGGCTAGTCTGATTTTAAGGGCAGTCCGGTGCTTTGTGATAATCTGTTCAGGAAATGTTTCCGAAAGTGTTTCATGTCTCAGGCTATGAAATGAATTCTTTATAAAAGAATTGTCTTTTAACTGTTAATATCTTTGAAAACTGTATAAAAGCATTAGGGAAATAATGTAAAACCTAAGGACTTTGTATACTGGAAGCAGGTAATGTTTTAATATAAATTATCTTGAATATTTTTAAATTTTTCTTATGTAATCAGCATTAGTCCTCTTTTTCGATTTTAATAGCTGTGGTATTATGCTTTTTCCTTTTAAAAGTTTATGTAAGAAGTAGAGGAGTGGAGAGAGCTTCATCCACTGGTTCAAACCCCACATGCTTACATGGCCAGCCTGGGCCTGGGCTCGTCAGCAGTTGGCAACACAAACCAGATATGCCATAAGGTTGGCAGGAATTCAGTGGCCTGAGTCATTACTGCTGATTCTTAGGAAGCCGTAATCAGGGGCCAGAGCCAGAAACAAACCCAGGAACTCTGATGTGAGAACGTTGGTGTCCTACTCTGGATGCAATGAGGTATTAATATTAGTCCCAGGTAATTCTAAAATTTAGAATATCAACCTTGATTACTTACTGTACTTCATTTCAGTGTGCTAGAATTTTAAAATGTTTTTGATGCCTGTTTTGGCTAATACTTAGAATCAATACCATTAATGTTATTATCTAAAGTATTAAATTGGGGGCCAGTTTTGTGGTTAAGCCATTAGTTGGGACACCACATGTCATTTTGGAGTGCCAGTTGGAGTCCCAGCTCCTCTGCTTCTGACCCAGCTCCCTGCTCAAGTGCCTGGGAAGCGTCAGATAGTAATAATTCAAGTGTGTCAGTGCCGGCCATGTACGTGGGAAACCTGGATTGAGTTCCTGAGTTGGGCCCGCTGTGACCATTTAAGGAATAAATCAGTGGATGCAAGATGTTTCTTTTCTCCCTGTCACTCTGCCTTTTACATGAATAAATAAAATTTTAAAACTTTATAATTTATTATATTACTGTGAAACACTAAAAGTATTCCTTCAGGTATGTGTGTCTATACTTTGAGAAATGCATTTATTCTTTCAAGGTTATAGTTGAGTACCTTTTTAGTCCTCTCACTTTATCACATGTAAGATTACTTAACAGGGAATCATATGAAATGCATGCCTTGGCTTCACCTGCTGTGCCACAATGCCAGCCCTTCACAGGGAATCATTAAAACTCTAAATATAAATACCAAATCTGTTAAGTAAAGAATTCTTTTTTTTTTTATTATATTTTTGACAGTCTTTACATAGTTAATTAGGGTAAAAAGGTTCAAGGGCTATAGGGAAGTAGGTAAGACTATTATTTCCATATTGTTTCCTTCATGTATCTGAGGTAAAGGGGAATGTTGAGGGAGAAGCCCCACCCAGTCTCCCACCCACCCCAGGTCCCGGATGTGAGGCATGCTCTGAGATTCTTGCTCAAGTGGTTTTGATAGTTCACCATTTATGAATCGCTGCCAATCTTACCACTCCAAGCACGACGAGGTCGTTTAAGTAAAGAATTCTATAATTGAATTTTTTTGGTAACAGTTCAACTCTGATTTCAACCTTTGTTGGATATACTATATTTTTTGGTGGTCAGCTACATTTTAATGTTAATTTTATGTAGCTGAGTGTATATTTATTAAAAGTAAATTTTCAGAATTATTACCAGATTGTGTAGATAAATATTGTTATCGACTACTATAGTTAAAAATTCCTTTCATTTTTTGCAGGTCAGTTTTTCTGTGGAAATAAATACTGCGATGAAAAAGAAGGCTTGAAGAGCTGGGAAGTTAATTTTGGTTATGTTGAACATGGTGAAAAGAAAAACGCACTTGTTAAATTAAGTAAGTTGACTCTAGGAGGTAGGATTGTTTCTTCCAAGTTTACCTTTAGTATTTGACTTTAAAATCCAATCACAACACTTTTTAACATTTCTTCCTGGAAAAGCTCTTTTTCCTTAGTTTTCCAGAATCATAATTTAAAAAAAAAGATTCATTTATTTTTATTGGAAAGTCAGATTTACAGAGAGAAGGAGAGACAGAAAGATGTTCCGTCTGCTGATTCCTGATTCACTCTCCCAGTGCTGTAGTGGCCAGAGCTGAGCCAGTCCAAAGCCAGGAGCCAGGAGCTTCTTCTGGGTCTCCCATTCAGGTACAGAGTCCCAAGGCCTTGGGCCATCCTCTACTGCTTTCCCAGGTCACAAGCAGGGAGTTGGAAAGGAAGTGGAGCAGGCAGTATACGAACCAGTACCCATATGTGGGTGTATGCAAGGTGAGGACTTTAGCCACTAGGCTACCATGCCAGGCCCAAAGTCTTCATTTTTTGAGTGTAGTATTTTTATATTCTTAAAATTATAGTGATGTTTTGGAAAAATAATTCTAATATTAAATGTAAACATACACATTAGCTGAGTATGCAAGCATATTGTTGTGATAGAGACCAAATTAAATTCAGTCTCTAATAGAATTAATAAAGATATAAGGAGGGCATAATTCTTGGTATCACTGTTAGACGATTAGAAATGTACTCTAGAATGCAACAGTTTACCTTAATCCATTTGTCTTAAAATGTGTACTTTTTGTTGTTGATTTTAAGCTAGTCTTCATGTCAGCTGTTGCATTTCCTCTCATTTTAATGCCGTTGGGCCTTTTCTGGGTCCTAGACCTCAGGGTTCGTGCATTCCCGGTAGAAGTCAGGAGTTCCCTGGCCGCTGCTCAGTGCATCTGGTGTGTGGTTTCTCCTGGAAGTGTGTCTGAGGAGTAGTCAGCCCGTGTGGACTGAACTCTAGTCAGAAGAGAAGGACACCATTTGGGAACTGTCTGAAAATCTCTTCTGCATTTCAGAGTTGCTGGAGCACTTCAGAGGAAATGACTGGACTGTGCCCATATTATTAGTAAATAGGTTAGAGGAGAGCCCCGAGTTAGTACTAATTATGCAACACTATTTTTAGAACAACTTGACAGCATAGTTTTATAAAGTAATATTGGAATGTTTTCAAGTTCTATAGCATTCTAATGCCGCTTTTTGTGGTTTACATGTGCACTCAGCCCTCCGTATCTGTGTTCTGTATCTGTTGATACGGCCTGATTGTATCAGTTATAGATATTTTAGGGAAGTTGTTCCTGCAGCAAACATGTGTAGACTTTTCCCTTGTCATTATTCCCTGAACAATGTGATATAAAAATACTACATACTATTTACCTTATATCAATATTTATAAGTAATCTAGAGATGTTTTAAAGGATATGAGAGGATGTATGTAGATTATATGTGAATTTTAATACCGTTTTATTATAAATACTTCAGCATCTGCAGATTTTGATATTCAAGAGAGGGTTCCTGTAATTCTCTTTGCATAATGAGGATTAATTCTGTGTGTGTGTAGTTTTTGAGATAGTGAGGGGCAGAGCGGTTTTTGGTTTTGTTTGTTTGTTTTTTGATTATTTGCTTTTCCCTCTAACATAGTAATGGAAATAAAGAAAAGTAGAATTATTTTGTACTAGAGTCGTTGGTACAATTATTCCAATTCAATAATCTAGTGGTGCTTCTTTTTTTTTATCAGGGTTATGCCAAGAATGTTCCTTTAAGTTAAATTTTCATCACAGGTAATACTGTCTTTTAAAATGTGACTTGTAATGTGCACTGCTCTTGGACCTAGTGATTGATCTGCACTAAGTTTCTCAGTGCAGACTTGACTGCACGCAGGCATTATTGTATGACCACCTAAGCTAGGGAGTCGGGAGTTTACCGTTCCCTGCTACAGCCAAGCAGCTTTGAACGTGAGAGTCTATATAGGGTGGTAGATAGATGTTGTAGCTTTTAGTTTTGGAGCAGATGTTCAAACACCATATTGTAGAAACTTGTGCAGACTTCATAAATAGCTGTTTTATCCCACTTACACAGTGCTTAGACTGTGGTTGGCTGTGCTTAGGATTGTGAACCTCTGTGCTTGTTTCGGTGTTTAAACCGGGCTCCTGCTAAATACTTTTCAGTGTATCTGCCCTGGGTCCTCTAAAGTGCTCTGTGTGGAAGATCCTGGGCTTCAAGTCAGGGCTGGGCATTCCCATCAGGCACTGCTTTTGCTAGGCTGCTTCTTGGCAGGCTCTTAACCTTTCTAAGTCTCAGTTTGATTATCTGTGAAAATGAAGCTGTTAAGGTTATTGCAGGAGGTGGCAGAGAATGAAAGGCCATGTGAAGTGCTTGCCATGCTGCCTAGCACGCCATAAATCAAATGTTTTCTGGCATTGCAGACAAAATCTGTGGGACATGCTGTTGTAACAGTCAGAATTCGTTTTCTGAATAACAGATGAAACATTCTTTGATATTTTACAAAATATATACCTAAGCATGTTAATTTTAAAATCAGCTTTAGACAAAGCACTTCTCTTGTGCTTTAGTCAATAACTTTATTTCTTAAATCAGGTTTGTAAGATTACTGGAACGGTCTGAGCCTTTATTCCCCTTTCTATTGATGACACTGAAAGAAACCAGAGATGTTTGTTGACCTTCAACTTCATCAAAAAGTTTATCAAAATAATAAAATTTAGTTGAAAGAGGGAGACAGATAGTATTCTGATTAAAGAGGCAAAAGAGGTTACTGCCTTAACTAGTGGTAGAACATTTGATGTAGGTACCCCAATTTGGAAAGCCGGGTAAACAGGTTTTTAAAGTTATCCTCTGCTTTGTCATCTATGTCAATTTCGACTTCAGCAGTATCACCTTGCTAAATTTTTTTGAAAGGTTATCTGAAAGATAGAGTTACAGAGAGAAGAAAGAGAGATCTTCAATCCACTGGTTTTCTCCCCAAGTGGCTGTAATTGCCAGGGCTGAGTCAGGTGGAAGCCAAGAGCTTCGTCCTGGTCTTCCATATAGATGCAGGGATCTGAGGACCTGAGGACTTCTGCTGTTTTCCCAGACGTATTAGCAAGGATCTAGATTGCAAGTGGAGCAGACAGGTCTTAACCGGAGCCCATATGGGATGCTGGCACTGCAAGCATTATGCCACAAAACAGGCTCTGGTGTTTCTTCTCTAAACCAATTAATTTTAAATGCTGCCAGCATGGTGTCAACAGCCTTGTAAAGAGGTAAAGGTATAGCGATAGGATGATAAATTATGAACAGTCTGAAGTTGACATGTAAGTTAACAGTAAGCCTTTTCCATTAAACTGTTATTATATTCCTTTAGTCTTATATTTATCTGTTTTTAAGGATTTGTTTATTTGAAAGGCAGATTTACAGAGAGCAAGAGAGACAGACAGAAATATCTTCCATCAGTCAATTCACTCCCCAAAAATCCACAGCAGCTGGCCAGAGCCAGAGCTGGGTCAGTCTGCAGCCAGGAGCTGCTTTTGGGTCTGCCACATGGATGCTTTCCCAGGCATGGTAGCAGGGAGCAGGATCACAAGTGGAACAGTTAGGATTCAAGCCTGTGTGCATATGGGGTGCAACACTGCAAGTGGTGGCTTTATCCACTCCGTCAGAGTCCTGGCACAATGTCTCCATTGACTGATCTTCCCCTTGCAAGCACCAGGATCCCATATGGGTGGCAGTTCATGTCCCAGCTGCTCTACTTCCCTTCCAGCTCCCTGTTTATGGCTGGGAGCAGTAGAGGATGGTCCAAAGCCTTGGGACCCTGTACCCACGATGGAGACCCAGAAGAAGCTCCTGGTTCCCGGCTTTGGATCGGCTTAGCTCCAACTGTCCTGGTTGCCTGGGGAATGAACCAGTAGATGGAAGATCTTTCTGTTTCTTCTTCTCTCTGTAAATATGCCTTTCCAATAAAGATTCATATGTCTTTAAAACAGCAAAAAATTTTGTTTACTAATGTTTTGAACTGTTAAAGTTTCCTTGTATTTTTTCAATGTGTACATGGATATAGAGAAAAATGAGATTGCTTTTGTAGTTTTTTAAGATTTATTTTTATTTTAAAGGCCAATTATATATATACATGCATACACACATACATATGTGTATATATCTATATACAAACACATATATACACACAACGTGTGTATACACATGCACACATACACACACACACACACACACACACACAAAGAGATCTTCCATCTGCTGGGTCACTCCAAGATGGCTGCAACTGCCAGAGCTGAGCTGATTTAAAGCTGAGAGCCAGGAGCTTCTTCCAAATCTGCCACATAGGTGCAGGATCCCAAGGCCTTGGCCCATCCTCTGCTGCTTTTCCAGGCCGTAAGCAGGAGCTAGATCAGAAATGGAGCAGCCAGGAAATGAACCAGCACCTAGCTGGTTGGGATGCCCACACCACAGGATGGAGGATTACCTTGCTGTGCCATCACACCAGCTGCTGTAGTTTTCTTTTAAATGGCTGACAGGTTTTAGAAAGAAAGAAATAAGTAAAACAGTGATTTGTAATAAATCTTTGTTTCTTTGTTCAGGCTTCTTTCTTACAGAATTGTCTTAGACACTAAGCTAAAATAGATTAATTTAAGGTTGCTCATTATATAAATAGTATTTCTAAAGTGAATATTATAACTGATTGGACTTTTGTTCATTAGTTTTATTTTTGGTAAGAGTCAGTAGAAAAACTTAATTGTTACTTTGTGTGTTTAACATAAAGGAGGAAAGAAATCAAGACAAAAAAAAGGAAGGATAAAACCAAAAAAGGTTGTCATGAGTCATCACATAAAAAATCCAAATTATCCTCCGCAGAAGAGACCTCCAAGAAGAAGGCTAAAGGTAAGAGGAAATTGAGACACAATGTTTACTCATGTTTCCAAACACGAGATATAATCTGCAGTCTCTTAATTTGATGGAGCTAGAGATCTCTTGTTCGCTGGCGACTCTCCAAGAGCCAGGGGCAGCTGCACAGGGCCAGGCTGAAGCCCGGAGCCAGGGATTCAGTCTTCATTCTCCTTTTGGATGGCAGATACCCAAGGACTTCTGCCATCACCTGCTGCCCCTCGGCAGCCGAGCCAGGACTCGAGCCCGGCACTGTGCTATGGCGTGTGCGTATCCCAGGAGGCGTCTGTCTGCAGTGCCTAGCACCTGTTCCCCATCTCAACTGTGGGTGTTAATTGGTCAGTGTGATTAGAATTTCATTTTATAGCAGTTGGATTAAGCTGAACAATTTTATAATGAACTTTCAAAACTGTAGTTGATTTTGATTCATTTTTGGCAGATAGTATAATATTGCAAAGGTTACCTACAGATTTGTTACTTTGGACAAGTCATTTTACTTTTGTCCTATATCTGGGGAGAATGTGGATATTTGGCTTCCATACTAGTCAGAGAAGCAGCTAAGAATGTGGAGGTCTCTTTGAACTCTGCAGAACAGCTCAGATGTTTATGGCAATACATAAATTGTAATTCAGTGCATTTGGCTATAATAACCTGTGTTTTTTTTTTTTTTTTTACTATGTAAGAGATTCTTCAAATGAGAGATTTATATATGTATCTGTGTTGTCACCTGAGCATGGCACTGCATATTTTTACTTAATAAATAATTACCAAATTTACCAGGCACCTGCTGACTTTTTCCTCAGGCTTTGTGAGTCTCAGTTTATTCAAAGGTAAAGTGGTCGTAATAGTAGTGTCCACATTACAGAAGTTGAAATGAGAATTCATTAAGCAGTTTGCATGGTACCCAGCTCATAAATAGCTGTTATGAAGGTTATGTCTAGTTTCTTTTTAGCAGGAGTAAAGTGGAGTCCACTTAAGCTAACTTCGAGTGAATCAGACTTAGGGTGGGTAGGTAGTTGTATTGGACTCAGCTTGCTCGTAATGGAGTGTATGAACCAGTAGAGGGCTCCCTGCGCCCAGTTAGGAAAACTAGTAGCTTTGTTTTGCATTCCTTACATGCATTTTTCTCACATCTTTTACATACATAGAATTAGAATACTCAAGTATGTCACATCATCAAATTTTAAACTTGGTAAGATTGACAGATGCTAAGAGGAAGATGTTATTTTGTATAACACAGCAGAATGTTGCCTCTTAAATCATTTTTCATCTATACAATAAATTTTGACTAATGTGAAAATTTCATTAGAGTTTTAAAAATTTTACTTTGCTTAATATACTGGTAAAATATTTAGTGCGCCATATTTGAATTTTTTGCATTCATTTTAATGCATTGGTACCCTAGCTGTGATACCATGTTTTCTTCCCTCTGCATATCCCAAATTAAAGAAGGAGCCTGCTTTGTAAAAGGCCATTCGGTGCCTTCAATACAGAGGACAGGCAGCTGGATCTGGCAGATCGGTCCCTTCCGATCATATATACATGCCTGACTTTTTAGATATTTTTCCTTTAGCTTTCTTTCTTTCTTTTTTTTTTTTTTTCCAGTGTATGACACCTGTGTTGACCTAAAGATTAATATGAGAAATCTGGGAATTATCCTTGAAGGCTCTTTTCCCTGAAGGTTTAGGTTTATTTATTTATTTTGTAAAGATGTATTTATTTTTATTGGAAAGGCAGATTTACTGAGAAAAGGAGAGACAGAGAGAAAGATCCTCCATCCACTGGTTTACCCTCTAAGTGGCTACAATGGCTGGAGCTGAGCCCACCTGAAGCCAGGGAGCCAGGAATTTCTTCCCGGTCTCCCATGTTAGTGCGGTGTTTCAAGGCTTTGGACCATCCTCAGCTGCCTTCCCCAGCCACAAGCACGGAATTGGATGGGAAGTAGAGCATTTGAGACACGAACTAGCATCCATATGGGATCCCGGCACATATGGGATTCTGGCGTATGTAAGGCAAGGATTTAGCTACTGAGCCATTGTGCTGGGTCCAGGTTTATTTTTTTAAGATTTATTTCACTTATTTGAAAGTGTTTCAGAGAGAAAGAGAGAGATCTTAATTTATTCCCTCCCCAGATGACATTCATGGCTGGGCTAGGCTGAAGCCAGGAACCATGAGTTTCCTGTACTGGGTCTCCCATGTGGTACAGGGCCCCAAGCACTTGGAACATCTTCTCCTGCTTTTCCCAGGTGCCTTAGAAGGGAGCGGGGTCAGATGAAGCAACCAGGACTTGAACCAGCATCCATATGGGGTGCTGGCACTGCAGGTCATGGCTTAAGCCACTGCACAGTAGCTCTGGTCCCCATGGTTTAGTTTTCAGAGCCACTGCTGTAATCCTCTGACTGATTTGTCCGAAGTCTTGCCATCCCACATTTCTTCTCTTCATGAATTCTCTGTGAACTCATGATTTCCATTGTTTATGGGATAGTAAATACATACAGAGGTTATTTTTCACTATTCTCTATTTCACTTTCACACGCCACCCAAAAAGAGCCTTTCAGTTCTAGAAATGCTAAACTTCTTCTTATTTTAGGGCTTACAGGGAAGGAAGCTGCTTCCCTTTTTTCTGAAGTTCCTGGTCAGATCCTCCTTTCTTCTTCAGGGTTAATCTTAGATGCCATTTCCCAAGGAGTACATGCACATATGTGAGTGCATGATGTGAAGGGCCGGATCATCCCTGATCTGTCTCCCACCTTGAACGGCGTTAGAACTCTGCTTCATAAGGCTGCCACTGCCCCTGCGTCTTTCCTTCGTGACATATAGGATGATGACGTAAAAGCCCAAGGAGGACGGAGATTCTGCCTGCTGTGTTTACTGCTATGGCCCAGCACATGTTCAACATAACACGGAAGTTGTTTCAGGGCAAATTCAGGAACATTGGAGCTAGAAGAGCAAAGCAGGATAGAATTGAGACATCTGTTATTCTCTAGTTGGAGTGAATGTGAAAGCAGAAGCTCCAGAATACAGGTTTTTGTTTTTGTTTTGTTTTATTTTAATATTTGTGGTATAGAACAGGAAATAATAATTTTAGCAGACTTAAGGAAAATTGTGAGACTGGGAAGAAGCTCCTAGCTCCTAGCTTTGGAATGGTCCAGCTCTAGTCTTCGTGGCCATTTAGGGAGAGAAACAGAAAATGAAAGTTCTGGGCCTAGCACAGTAGCCTAGTGGCTGAAGTCCTCACCTTGAATGCACTGAGATCCCATATGGGCACTGGTTCTAATCCCGATAGTCCCACTTGCCATCCAGCTCCCTGCTTGTGGCCTGGGGAAGCAGTCAAGGATGGCCCAAGGCCATCACAGTACCGGCTCCAAAAGTTATATTCTTAAGGGTGATTTTGAACTTGTTGCCAGGACAATCTACCTATATTCTGCCTATACCTGCCAAAGCTGAATGGTCCTCATGGTCTAGCTACTGGTCTTATCTTCTAGCTATCCATTTCATTCAGCCATGTAGTTGTCCATTCATTCACTCACTTACTTATTAACATTTTCTTTGACCATAACTTAAAACTGGGAGTAAACAAGAATATATGAGAAGAAAAAATAATTGGTAAGAATCCTGAGGAGCCCAAACGTGAGGGTAAGACTGAGGAGGAAACAAGGTCAAAAGAAGCTGAGAGGGGCCTGCACTGTGGCATGGCAGGTAAAGCCACTGCTGATGCTAAGAGCCCAAATGGGCGCTGGTTCGTGTCCCAGCTGCTCCACTTCTGATCTAGCTGCCATTTGATGTGCCTTCAAAAACAGTGGAAATGACCCAAGTACTCGGGTCCTGGGAGAACAGGATGAAACTTCTGGCTCCTTTTCCCAAAGGCCAGTTCATCTGTCAAGTTTTGATTTAGTTTAGTTAATTGAGAGGGTCCTTCTGGCATACCCAGTAGCTCACTCCTACCCATAAACTTAATTTCCTGTTGCATATTTCAGTAGCACCTTGCCCCTTTTCTTTAGAAACACGGTATTACTCTTGGGACAATTTTTTTAAAAATTTCTGTGAGACAGTAGATGGCGTGACTTAGTTCACGGTCTCTGGTTTCCTACACAGTTTCTTCATATAGCAGGCCCTGATAGTTAGGTGACTGAATTAGGAAGTTCAGGCTTAATTTCTCAGAATGAGAAGAAACATCAGAGATGAGTCCTGGGCTTGTGATTGGAGGTTGTCCTGCAGCTTTGCTTTCACAGCGTGGTCCTCTGTCATCACTTGGGAGCTGGCTGGTAATGCAGCCTCGGAGTCTGCAGAGCCACTAGCAGGTTCCCAGAAAGGTCTGTTTGCCCAGCGCAGTTCGGGAGAAGTGCTGCTCTGTGCGTGTGCTCACTCTGCTTTTGCTGCAACACCCCTGGGAGAAGGCATCCACCACCTCACTTGAAGTAGTCCTTTAGAGCTTTAGGTAGTTACAGTTGACAGCAGGTTCCTGAAACCGACAGCTGCCTCTCTGGCTCTGATTATGTCCTTAGGCCCAGTGCAAAGCTGACCTCTTAGACTTCTGAGTATTTGAAAACAGGTGTCATGTTCTTGTATTTTAGAATGATAGGAAAGAATACATTTTCATGTCTCTCCCTGAGTTCTGAAGCCCTCTTTGGCCTCCAAGTAGCCATACATTTGGGCTTATTTGACCTGTCGAGGAATGTCAGAGGCCTCTTGTTTTAGGATATAATGATGTTGTCAGTTATTAAGAGCTGATTGTCACTTGTGTAGGACCTTGGAAAGGGTATTGTGATAAACGAGTATTCATGAACTTTCCAGATGTTGAATGTCTCCATAGATGTTAGAAATTGTTGCTGGTATCACAGCTAATCTGTTGCACACTAGTCTGTTGGGAAGTATTCTGGTTGTGGTTTGAACTGTTGCACTGGCCCACAAAGGGATCCGTAATTCTCACACAACAATGCTGCTTCCTTCCCAGGACACTCATCTTCAGAGAGAGAAGAATCTGTAAACAGTAAGTATCAACTGTTTCTTTACTTTATGACATTTTATAGATTCACAGTATTTACAATTTGGGTTTCTCATGATAGGAGATATTTGCAGTGCCGTAGGCCTGTGCCGTAGGCCAGCCCTGTGTGTCTGCTCAGGTATATAGTGATCCTGGTGGATTTTGGCAATTTCTGAGCCCAGATTGTACTGTTCCTAACATTTCTATTTGGATAATACTCAGCTACTGTCTCAACCTGTTTAACATGTGGATTATTAAAACCAAACTGATGGGGGAAAATCCATTTATATGGGTGAAAAAAATAACTTTAACTTGAATTTGCTGACTGACTACTCTGTCATCCACAGTAGCAAGTGCTTTAGTTTGTTACCTTATCTAACCTTCATAATGGGCATATAATATTCTCAATTTGTAGATGAGAAAATTAAGATTCAGAGGATTATTATTTAGGAAAAAAATATTATTGAGGGGAGGGCCTGGCCCAATGGATCAGTAGCTAAATCCTTGCCTAGTAACTGCCAGGATCCCGTATGGGTGTCGGTTTGAGTCCCCCCTGGTTCACTCCCCAAATGCCCATACATAGCCAGGAGCCATCACCTGCTTCCTCCCAGGGTATATGCTAGCAGGAAGTTGGAATTAAGGCTGGAGTTGGAATTAAGGCTGAAACCCAGGCACATAAGGGATGTAGGTATCGCAAGCAGTGTGTCTTAGTTGCTCTTCCGAACGTCTGCTCCCAGAGGAGTATTTTAAATGAATGAACAAAACCAATTTTAAGTATTGTGTGTATTAAGATATACAATGTGATGTTTTGCTACTTTCTTAGCAGTGTACAGTTCTATGTAATCACTGCTGTGTTCTCCCAAGAACCAGAGAATTTAATTGTCCAGGATTAAATAGTTAATGGCATGGCTAGGATTAAAAATGTTTATCATTCCAGAACACCTTCCCTTTTTCCTGTATCATCCGTAACTGTTAATCAGTGAATAAAATTTAAGTTCCTAGGATTTGGAATAAAAGACCTGTAAGTTCTGCTTCCAACTCAGAAAGGCAGTGACTCAAGTGCTGATCCCATTAGCTAATAATTACTGCGTGTGCGTGACAGCGAGGTTCTAAGAACATCCTTTGTGTTGTCCATTCTTCCAGTTATTTCCTTAGTTATATCTCACCTCCCTCTAGAAAGTTGCAGCAAATGATGCCCAGTGACTGTCAGTCTCAGGGATCCAGAGTATTACAGATTCTCAGGGTTGTATGGGCCCTTACGAGTCACTTAGTACAATCCTGTGCACTGGGCTCCCTGCGGATATTTGACTTTTTTTTAGAAAGATTTATTTGTTATTCTAGACTGATAATGATTTGTAGGGAAACTGGGTTGTCTAGCTTCACAAAACTGGTATAGGGAGGCTTGCTTGTGGGCCGTGCTGTTGTAAGACACGGGAACAGGTGGTGGTAAGGCCTTTTGAAGTTAATTGCCAGTTTTGAAAGACCTTGTGGGTTTTGTTCTGTGACATTGACAGAGGAGCAGCACACCTTTATTAGGCCTAATTTGCTTTTCTGCGCTTCCTTTATGTCATGTTTGTGTTTTGTTTATTTGTTTAATAAAGGAAAAGACATTCTTCTCAAAATAACAGATTTAGACACTGGCTTTCATTGGGTACACAACATAATTTAATCAGTGTTTGTGTGAATTATTAGAAATACAATGTCCCACCCCTCTCTCCACTTTTTTTGGTCATTCTTGTTAGAATTGGGGCCAAAACAGAGTGTCAGTTAAGCTCAAAGTGCAGGTGCACACGTTGGTTCACAGATCAAAGAGCAGCAGGTGAAAGGCGAGAGCCACTGCGACCGGTCGCCGCTGTTTGGTTTTTGTGTTGTGCATAACTAGGGGACACTCTGTACTGAGACAGGCCAAATTTCTGTCCCTTCTTTTTTAGATTAATGATTGTTAGAGGATGTCTCGCTAATGTAATTGCTTTGTAGAACATAAGTTTATTGCCTGGTAATAACTTTTTCAATATTTTTTTGTTGCCTTAAGGTGGTTCATTTGAAACATGTCTATTTTGTTATATTTTTAAGTCAAAGCCTTTACCAATTTTTAAGGTAACGCATGATTGTTTAAAATAAATAATTTGGAAATATGTAGAAAATGAAAGTATCTCAAGCACGCATGTAATATTACTCTTCAGTTTGATTATCCCTTAAAAATGTACTACCCATAGAAATTTATATGTACACAACATAATTTGATATAAATTGAATTATACTCTGTACTTTGTGTAACACTGTAAAAATTACATAAAACATCGGCATCTTTCCATAGCAGAACGTGTAGATATACTCGGGGTTTTTTTTTTCTGATGGTTGTATTTTTTTTTTTTTTAAATGAATCCTTGATACTAACCGGTGGGGATTTAGGTTTTGTGGCTGTTACACAGTGTACATCTTTGTATGCATGTGTGTGTACACACAGATGTATAGTGCTTGTTTATTCTAAGTAATCAAATTTGAAAGTAACCCTGTTTGTCATGGGGTATTTAATTTAAAGTCACTTATATTGCCATATTTTCCTCAAGAAAAGTTTGTGGAATTACTCAGAACAATGTATAAGAATGACTATTCTTCTTTCAAGAACAGCCTTATTTTTATTGTAATTAGTTTTTTTAAATGCCTGAAAAACGTTCTTATAATTTAACTATCTGGCCTTAACATACCAATCCTGATATTAGTATACTCTGTACAAAAGTCTTGTGTGGTTTTTGTATGATAAAACAGACTAAATCAAAAACAACTTTATGCAAGAGATAATTCCCTTGTAAAAGGTAATATTGAAGTTATTTAACCAAGTATAACTTAAGTTTTTGTGCGACTAAATTGTTGGGTGTTTTGCTGAGATGCCTTGGTATCTTTTGGCCTGTTTGTCATAGCTGGGAGAGGGAATTACATTTCTAGAGAACTATCAAAGTGGAAGCTAAATCAGTTAAATCCTAGGTTAATTACTTTAGTAATTAGTTTAAAATGTTTTAAATGTAAATCCCACATTTTAAAAAATATCTTTTTAATGAACAGCAAGCTCCGATGAGGAAGAAAGTGCTTCAGAATCAGCCCATCTGTGGAAGGGGCCGCTCCCGGAGACAGATGAGAAATCCCAGTAAGTGCTGCACTGATGGGTTGCTTGGATGCTTTAGCCACAGCCATTTTTGAGGACAGTGAAAATTTAATATCATGTCTAATGCCAAAGATTAAGATGCAAGTTTATTCACAGCCATTAGTGTGGCCAGTGACAGCCAGTGTGTTCAGCTTCGTTCTGGTAGGTAAGTGTTTCATCGGCTCACCTAACACATGACCTTCTTCCAGTCCTTGCCTGGATTCCTTCAGGGAAGGCTCTTTTCCAACTTCCAGAGCAGTCTGCCTCATGTTACTGTGATCATCACAAATCCACACAAAGGAAACCCTTCAAGATTCATGCAGCTGTGAGAATGCTTGCCAGCACCCTACCTTAGACAAGTAACTCCCTGTGCTTACTGTCGCCTGCAGTGGGATGGAGGTAGACACTGGGAATGGGTGGCATCTTACCAGCTCCACCTCATTGGAATGTTTATCACTTGGATTTTATGTAGCAAAAGAGGATAACATATCTGCCATAGAGTTTACTGTGAAGACGAAAAAGCACCAAGTATTACACTAACAAACATAGTAAGTGCTCAATAAATGTTAGCTCCACTTTGCCAGTCCCCAGGCATGTTGCTTCATATTAGAAAGAGATTTGTTAAACCAATTATAATTCATTAGTATAAGCTGATTATAAACCATTTGGCTAATTATATGCTCTCATTGTATTAGAATTCAGATGTGTTGGAAAGAAGTTTTAATATTTTTTCATTTTCCTGCGGCCATAATAATTTCTCAGCCAAATGATTTCCAAAACTGATTATAGACCAGATTTTTAAAAAATTGCTGTAAATAAACTATTACTGTCCAATTTAAACTATTAACCAAATTCCCATTTATTAAACACTTCCCCTTGAAGAACTTTTATAGGTGAGAATAACAGTAGGTCTTCAAAGCAGCTTACTGAGTAAATCTTATGAAAGAAGTCTTTCTTTTTTTTAATTGCATTTCATTTAATCTTATGACATTGTTTCATAGGCTCTGAGGTTCCCCCAACCCCTCCTCGTACGCGCCCCTTATGGTGGATTACTCCACCTCGTTGGAAAGAAGGCTTTCATACTACAAAATTCTCTTTGTATTCAGTTCTTTTGACATTAATCAAATGTCATCCAAGCCCACACAGACTCAACCAATTTCATGCATGTTAAGTTCTAAATACAATTTTGCAAGTTATACTGCATTTTGCTTCCATGCTAAACAGTAGTATTTGGGGAACGTGAAATCACAGATAACTACTTAACCAGTTTTATTCTTTAAATTTTTACATGGTTGTGATAGTTTTATGTATTTAAGATTTTATTTTGTTTATTTGAAAGGCAGAGTTAGGAGTCAGGAAGAAAGAGGCGTTTTCCGTCCTGTGGTTCTCCAAATGGCTGTAGTGACTGGGGGTGGGCCAGGTTAAAGCCAAGAACTAGGTGCTTCATCCACCTGGTTGGTACAGGGGCACACACCCGTGGGCCATCTTCTGCCTCTTTCCCAGATGCATTAGCAGAGGGCAGGATCAGAAGTAGAACAGCTGGGATTCAGCGGCTGCCTACATGGCATGTTGGTGTTGCAGGTGGTAGCTGTTAACCCAGGGCATCACAGCACCAGCCTTAGCTTCTCAAAGATTAAAAACAAATGGAGTCTGACCTAAAAGAATATTTTGTAAAGAGACTGACTGCTAAGCTGTCTACTTTTTATTATCAAACTTGATTCCCAAGATCCTAGAACAGCGTTTGTGTATAGATTTAATCCTCGGATAACTATAAGTAAGTGTGATCTTCCTTGTACAAATAAACTTAGTTCAGACAAGTAGTTTGCTCACACATCTAAATAGTGACAAGACTTCATACCAAGTAACTTGAATGCCTGTGCTATTGTACAGTTTATCACTCTGGCTCCTAGTCCTCATATTTATATAGTACTTTATCACATACCAAAACATAATGAAAAAAAACCTGCTATCTAATTTAGTATCTCAAGTTCCACTTTTTGCTTCCGGTGTCATCTGTACCACTACAGAGTATTTACTCCATCCTAGAAGACTTGCATTTACCCTTAAAGTTTTTTTTATTCTTATTTAAGCATACTGTAAGGGACAATGAACAGAGAAAGTACAAGTAAACCAAAAAACAGTTGAGAAGTAGTGACATCTCACAAAACATGTAATTTAAGTCAATCTGGGTACAATCATGATTATTCTAGAAACTAAAGATTACTTAATATATCATGAAATGACTGAGACACCAGCCAATATGTTGACATTTTATTTTCATTAGTTTCTTGTAATGTGTTGCCTCGTAAGTTTTGTTCTAATTATTGATTTTAATCAAAAGCCATACCTCTTTTTAACAGGGAAGAAGAATTTGATGAATATTTTCAGGATTTGTTTCTGTGAGATGGGAGAAAGAAGCCTGCCTTTCTTAATGTGGAAGGATACTTTGGAACTTCATACAAGTACAATCTACAGGTTGCAACTGGAGTGGTTTATCTTTGGAAATAAAAATACAGCTATTCTCGCCATCTGAGATGCTTCAAAAGTGCATCAGTTCCATGCTTTTCTCTGTCCTTTATATGAAGTGACTTCAAAAAATTCATGGAAAAATGGAATTCAGGGTAAGTTTACTTTGGTGCAGACCGTTTTGAAATCCATGCATATTCTTTCAGAGTATGAGTTTCCATGAACTGTTTGAAGACTTCAGTTGCTTATACACAACTCTGTCATCTGTAATTCCTTGAGCACCTGTTAACTCCTTGATCTACTAGTTTCAGTGACATTTAAATATGAAGGTATGGGTATTAAACTGCAAAAATGAGCACCTTTGTGTTTAATAAGATTTTCTCAGTGTCCACAGTAGTGGACAATGTCTACAGTAGCTAGTTATGACATTCGCAAGGTTCCTCTACCAGTGAGGCCTGGCGGGCATCTCTGTCAGGGGACCCCTAGGTAATGATGATGCAGCCATTGGTGGGCTTCCATTAGCAAGCAGGAAGCCGTGATAGGCTTATTAATATTTGAAATATTTCAAGCATTATTTGAAAAGAACCTCATTTCTTGAAGAAATTGTTTATCTCATGACTTAGGGTGAATAAAAAGAAATCTTGATTTCACAGTAAAAAATTTTGAAATTTCAGCAGCAAAATCGATGCTAGTAGAAAAATACATATAATTAACCGTTCTTGTGTAGTAGATGTCAGAAAATTCCTTTAAATTGATAACTAGGAAGAACAAAGGCTCTTAAATAGATCCTTACAATTGGTGCTTGTTTCAAGTATGATTTGTGACATTAAGCTCATTGATAAAATTTAGATTATGTAAAAGCACAACACTTAATCCACTCATACATAATGGCAGATAATGGGGAGTCTGAGAAGGCTTTTTCATGATGATGAATTTAGAAATTGAATCTTTTACTTTTCCCAAACTTTGTTCCAGTGTAGTCAGTGAACTTCTGCAGACCACTGGCTTAGGGAAGTCGAAGTTTTGCGTTTATAGATGTGCTGTTCATGCATTTGTTTCTGTGGCAACATATCTCTACCCTCAACTCAGCCTTTGGTGACTAAAGAGGGAAACTGAGCGGGCTGTTATTTAGGAGTTTAAAATTGCTAAATAGTTTATTTTGTGGCTTCTGAAACAGTGATCCTAGAAGTGAAATTCCAGAATAATTTTCAGTGGAAGTAAGAGAGTGTGTGCGTCAGTTACCAGTGGTGGTGTCTTTGATAAGCAGCGCTCATCTGCATGTATGCATGACTGAGTCGTTCATCACATCAGTTTTGACCATTATTCATTCCTATTATTGAGAGCCTACTTTGTGCCAGGCACTCATGTGGGGGTCAAGATAGCACTGTGAACAAAATAGAAAAAATTCCTACTGATGACCTTTATGTTGTAAGGTGACAGAACTTACTCTCTCAAATATCTTACTTGCTGAAAAACATAGTAAATGGTGAGTTATTTTTGGTCTGCTTAAAATTGAACATTATTTTGTTTATAAGACTTTGAGATTCAGATTTTAAGTCATTTTGTTATATACATATATTGACAAAAATATGACAAAATACATGGAATCACTATTTGTCCTATTATCAGATTTAATCCATGATTATCTGTATAATGCACATATGCAAAAGATTTACTTAGGGGCTGGAGTGTGGCATAGCAAGTTAAGCCTCTGCTTGTGGTGCAGTCATCCCATATGGGTGTTATTTTGAATCCTGGCTGCTCAACTTCTGATTCACCTCCCTTCTAATACCCTGGGAGAGCAGCACAGGATGACCTAAGTCCTTGGGCCATTGCACCCAAGAAGGAGACCCAGAAAAATCTCCATAGACTCCTGGCTTTGGACCGGCCTACCTCTGTCCATTGCAGCCATTGAGTGGACCAGTAGCTGAAGATTTGTCTCTCCCCCACTCCCTCTCTGTAATTCTGCCTTTTAAATAAATATTCTTTAAAAAATTATCCACTTGAAGGGTAGAACATCAGACAAAGATCTTATCCCCTTGTTCATTGCTCATATGGCTATGGCAGCTGGGGCCGGGCTGGGCCAGGCATCAGGAGCTCCGACCATGTCCCTAGCATGGGTGTAGGAGCCCAGGCTTTCGGTCCATCCTCTGCTGCTTTCCCAGGTGCACTAGCAGTCAGTGGGACAGAAGTGAGGCAGCCTGGACTTGAACCAGTGCTCTGAATCAGGACACTGTGACATCACGTGTGCAGCTTAATCCACTAAGCCACATCCATGATTATAGATGAGCAAAGGAAACCTGAACTTTTGATACCAGAATTACATATATATGTAGTTGAAGAAAATAATTAGCCTTCATTTTTTTCCAACAACTTAATATTTAGAATGCCTATGCTAGTTCTAGTAATAATTTTTTATTTTATATTTTAAAGTATTTCATTTTGTTTTATGATGTAGTTCCAGAGGCTCTGGGGCTCTTGTCCTTCCCCAAGGTCCCGCCTTCCCCATTGACTTCCGCTCTGGTTTTACAATGGCTTCCTTCGTGAAGAGGCACAAGTCCATCCTGCTGTTACAGAAGTGTTTCCTGACACTGTAGGCATGGACATGGTCAGAGAGTCCAGTAATCATTCTTAAAAGTAATATTAACTGAAGAGTTACCAAACCACACTTAATAGTAAAATTTTTTTTAACATGGTCAAATTGTATATTTCTTTTTTTTTTTAAAGACTTATTTATTTTTTATTACAAAGTCAGATATACAGAGAGGAGAGACAGAGGGAAAGATCCTCCGTCTGATGATTCATTCCCCAAGTGAGCGCAACAGCCGGTACTGCGCCCATCCGAAGCCGAGAACCAGGAACCTCCTCCGGGTCTCCCACGCGGGTGCAGGGTCCCAAAACTTTGGGCCGTCCTCGACTGCTTTCCCAGGCCACAGGCAGGGAGCTGGATGGGAAGTGGAGCTGCCAGAATTAGAACCGGCGCCCATATGGGATCCCGGGCGCGTTCAAGGCAAGGAAGTTAGCCGCTAGGCCACGCTGCCGGGCCCAAATTGTATATTTCTTAAATGCACATTGATTAGTTGTAGGATTATCCAGGTATGTTTTATAGACCGGTAATTCTATCAATAAAAAGTATAATTCTGAATATTCAAAAAATTTCTTTATTATATATAAGAAAGTCATTGACTTTGGAATTTGAGCAGGAGGCCATAGGATAAGGACATAGTTTATACTGTTTTTAACAATTTAAAAACAAAACCTAATCTCTGTCATTCCATTATTAGGGGCGAGTAAGTGAAAGAAACCATTTTAGATGGACTGTATACTGTACTACTATGTATACATACATTACATGTTACACTGTATCTAATCCTAAATTAAGATTGTCAGCATGATATTTTTCATTTAGAAAGTAATTTGGTGATTAAAAAGTATGACTTACATAGGCTGAATTGCCTACCACCTTTGAAATACACATACTGAATTCCTAGACCCCATACTTCAGGTTGTGACTACACAGCAGTTAATGAGCTCACTGGGATGGGCCATAACCCAGAACAATTAGGACACACACAGGGAAGAGCATGTGATGACACAGGGAGATGGTTCTCCACTAATCAAGTCAAAAGGCCTCCAGAAACCGGCCCTGCCAGTGTCTATATGGAATGCCCAGCCTCCAGGATTATAAGCAGTTAGTCTGACACTTTGCTATAGTGGTCTTAGCAAAATTTATGAACACCTGGTTTAAGGATTACACTTAAAATTTTTTTTTCTAAACAAGTCAGCACCAAAAATGCACTTTGTTTTTAACTTTGTGCTTTGATAAATTTTTTTTTTACTCAGATTGTTCAGGCTAGCAGTACATATAATCTTGATAGTTGCAGAGTAATTTTTCTAAAGTTCCTCTGACTCTATTTGATGATTTGCTGGGTGAAATTCTCTGAAGTTCTTTTGGACACTTTCTGTTTTTCTCCAAAAGTAAAATATCTGAAATTTTAGACCAGTCAGATTGCATTACAACATCAGGCATGTTTTGGACTTTTTGTCACTCGTGCCACCTTCCAAGTCTTCAGCAGCTACAAAAAAATGAGAAGAACAGTATTAGGAGTTAGTGGATCAGTGTTTCTGTTTCAGCATTCCTATGGTTGTAGGTGTCAACTCTACAGCCTAATTGATAGTTTTAACATATCAGGGACTAAGGATTTGAGCACTTGACACTTTGAATTCACAGGTGGGACTAGTGGCATAGTGAGTCAGGCTGCCCGTGGTGCTGACTCCTGCCCACATCAGAGCCCTGGTTTAAGTCCTGGCTGCCCTACTGCCAGACAGCCCCCTGCTGCTGTGCCTCGGAAGGCACCAGAAAATGGCGCGTGGCCTTAAGTTCCTGCCGCCTATGTGGGAAACACGCATGGCGTTCTACACTGCTGGTTCCGGCCCAGTCCTAACTGATGTGGGCATTTGAGGAGTGACTAAGCAGGTGAAAGATATCTGTTTCTCCACTTTTCCAATAAATAACATTTTAAAAACTTGAACTCATAGAACTAATCTATTTACTTTTATTTTTTTAAAGATGTATTTATTTGAAAGAAGAATAGAGGGAGAAACCCAGAGCTCTTCCATCTGCTGGTTCATTCCCCAAATCACTGGGGCTGGACCAGGCTGCAGCAGACCAATCTCTCTGCTCCTACCCCCATAACTGCCTTCCAAGAAGAAAAATAAAACTTTAAAAAAAATATATCAGTAAATATAACGGGACCGTCTAAAAGCAATGTTGTTGAACATAAAGATTATTTCTTTGTTAAACAAAAGATCCCTTACAAAACTTGTAAAAGTGCAAGATAAAAATCAATATTCACTTCCCAATAACATTTGAGTAATTTGATAAGCTAATTTAAATTTAAGTCTTTGTGTTAAAACTGAGTGACTTCAGGAATAAAATTTCATGCCCAGAAAAGTAAGACCATGTGGACATTCTGAGGGACAGAAAAAAAAGCCATGACGTCCTCCAGCTCACCTTGTAGAACTTTTTTAGGTTGAAATCTAGAAAAATCTCATCAAATATATTAAGCTCAGTGAAGTTAAGCAAGTTGCCCAAATTCAGAATGTCAGAACTAAAACTGCTAGGCATGATCCACAGTGTGATTTTCACAGTATTTCTGAAAAAGCAGTGTTCTGCCCAAGGGGCCTCAGGAGCCACCTTCCAGGGAGAGGCCACCGAGCTGCAGCCGCTTCCAGACCAGCGAGTTCCGTGTCTAATACCACAATTCCATCCTACCTTTTTGGACTGGGCTTCCTTCCTCTTGCTTTTTCGCCTCCTCTTCTATGACCTTCATCTTTGCATCATACTCATCGGCTAGGGTTTTCCATTCCACTCTGTTATTCTGAAGACCATCCAGCATAGGTGTGATCTCTCTGTGAAACCGCGAGAACTCCTAGAGGAAATTTTAGGTCAAAAGCTTCTTAAAGCACTAAGCTGGTTTTCAGTATTTTTGAAAAGCAGAAGGCACTGTAAGAAGTGATGGAGTGCCCAGAGCTGCCAGGCTGCGGTCCCCTCGGTGCCTGCAGTCTTGCCTGCTCACCTAAGGAATGTGTCAAGCTGTGCCCACTGCGGTTCTTTCCATCCCCGAGTGAGGTAGAACCTTAAACTATAAAGATATGATGACACTGCTCATGGCTTTCCCTGTGGGTGACTGACTTTTTTGTAACTTTTGTCACAGTTTGAAATTCTCAAATGATCATATACAATAGCACTTCCACGAGTTTGCTAAAAGTGGAATTAAAATTCTATGAACATTTGAAGACCACTCCCATTCTCACGATTGAAGTGATTTGTTTACTTACCTTATATACGAAAGTACAGACAAAGTCAATAAATCCAACTTGAAGTTTAGGTAGTTCATCTTTCTTGTTTCTGTCCATCATAGGCTGGAAAGAAAAAGTCGTTTAACATTGTCTTCTAAGACGTAGAGAACAAAATTGAATTGTGCAGATGATTTTATTTCAAGATCTTACAATGGGCTGTTGCTGCAGCACTGTTCTCTCCAGATCTCCTTGCTCCCAAAATTCACTTGCAACCATAAGTGCTACCTACAGAGAAGAAAGAAAGGCATGGTTCAGTAACTCCACTCTGAGAACTTGCATTTCATTATTCTGAGGGCTGTTAAGGGTCGAGGTAACAGCATTCAAAAGTGCTGTCAAGTCATCTGCTCTTTTGTTTTACAAAGATGCCCACGGATCAGCCTGAACTGAGACAAGGAGGCCAATCGCCTACGTCAGGTTCAGTGTCCATCCCTTAACTGCAGCTGCAGCAGGGCAGGAGGATGCTTAATTCCGTCAAGACACCAAGTTGCAAGCTGTAACTCCCCACACCCTCCTCTGTCTTCCAATTCTGTTGGCATCAAGCAGATATTGTATGTACATATTCACACACACATGTGCAGGGGGCAAAGTTTTTTCTTTAAAATGCTCACAGTCTAGGCAAAACAGTCATGAAAACAATATGGCAGGTGCCCTGGGTCAGAAGGAAGGAAAGCTGTTACATTAAGAAGGGAGGGTCAGCAAGAGTAACTCACCAGGTAAAGGGGGGAAGGAAAGCTGTGTGCAGAGATGACATGGGGTGTCCAGACCTTGCTCTCTGCTTCAGGAGTGACTGGGAGCAAGGGACAGGGGTGACCCTGGGAGGGGAGTTAAGGCCAGGTGGTGAGAGGCATTTTAAGCTTTGCTGGAAAGCTTGACCGTGGTTCTGCAGGCTGAGCCTCTGGATGCCTCTGAAGTGCAGTGCAGACAGGTGCATGGGATAAAAATGAACTTATCGAAAACAAGATGGAAACCATTGCTGATGGGGAATTTGGGAGGCAGAAGCGTGGCTAAACAGAGCTTACGTTAGTCATTTCAAAGCCATTTCTGTGTGTCATACTTGCTATTGTCCCATCTGTGTTTATGAACAATCCCAACAGTGGGCCCAGGAATGTGTGTGGAGCAAATGATGAGGGAGGGTCCAAAGGAGGCTGCCAACATGGTTCTGATAAAAATGTATGTGGAAGTCTGAATTGAGGGGTGGGCTTTTAACCCAACAGAAAGGACGCCTGAATTCCCCCCCCCCCCCCGAGAGTGCCTCTCTTGGTCCCTGGCGGTAGCTTCTAATTCCAGCGTCCTGTTGATGTGCACCCTGGTAAGCAGCAGATGATCACTCCAGTCCCCATGTGGAGATCTAGAATGCCTTGGCCTCGCCATCGCTGACACTGGGGACGTGACCCAGCAGCAGGGAGCCCTCTCAGTCTCCCACTACCCTAGATTGGCAGGCACATCCTGATCTTGTTCTGTTCTCTATCAAGAAATTCAGATATTCCCTGAAATAATTGTTTTTCAGCCTATTCAGCATGAAAGCATTTCCTATTTGTTTTATTCTGAGGCTTGATTAAGTAGCCCTTGGTTGTAATGTTTCTAATTTGTCAGAACAGAATTCTGAGGTTGCCCTCAGTCTTTCCATGGACTTTGACACAAGACCCAGGATGGTACCTGAGAAAGACAAGAAACAAAAATGACTGGACTTGCCTGACTCTGTACTTCCCAGGGCTTGGTGATAGCGGACAAGTCACATGCAGTCATCATCATTGCCCTTAGAAAAAAACAGAAATTGTTAAGACAGAAATACAGAATATACTTCTCATACCAAAAGAGAAATAAAATTCTGGCTACCCACATGATTATCTCTTTTTTGGTGGGGTCAATGGTTACATATTTGATAGCTTCCTCTTCAGTTTTCATTTGTTCACAGGCATCAACAATTTTCTGAAACATGGTTCTTTTCCTAAAAAAGATACAGCAGTGTAACAATATCTGCATACAAAAGCAGGGATAGAAGATACCCGGAGTACATGCTTTTCAGATTTTATGTGTCCACTTGGTGTAGGGATGAGCTCAAAGCCATCTAAGGGGCCAGAAGGTAGGAGGACAGAGAGCAGCTGTCAAACTTCCACACAGAAAGGGTTCGCCGTGGAAAAAGCACAAACACGGGAGAAAACCCAGAGCAGCTTGATTACATTAGAGCTCAAAGTTACGTGTGAGAAGAAGCCATGACATAAACAACAACGCCTTAAGCTGTGAAAGACATCACAACACACACAACCAACAAGCTAGAATCCCAAGAATGCGGGTGCATGGGCTCACTGGTAGCGGGAAAGCACCATCTCCTGCATCATCTCCTGCTCGTTAGGTTTGCTTGTTAGCAAAACAAATTTCCATTATGCCCAGATCAAGGAGATTATTCTAGAAGGGGGATAACAGCCACCCTTGCTGCTGGGAGTGTAAGCACTCAGCAGCCACGAGGGCAGTGGCACACTGACCACAACTGAAGATAAGAAGAGCCCATTTCTAGGTGTGTACTTTCATGTATACACTCAGGCACATACACTGCCACAGGTAGTGGTGAAAAATGGGAACCAGTCTACACGTACAGAGGAATGGTAAACGAATTATGACGTTCAGCTCTGGAGTTAAGCCATGTAAGTTGAATTTCTGTTCTCAAGGCTAAATCTCTAATAATCCTGTTGCATGAAAAAAGCAAGTTGGTAGAAATGTACATAAAGAGAATGTAATACTAGATATAGGAAAATATAAAACATTTAACAGTGTTACATAAAAACAGATGAGAGCTGGTGGTGTGGCACAGTGGATTAAGCTGCCACTTGGGACACCAGGGTCCTATGTTGGAGTGTTGGGTTTTGGCTGCTCTGTTTCCTGCTAATGTACCTGGGAAGGCAGTGGGTAATGGTCAAGTATTTGGGACTCTATTGCCCATGTAAGACCAGGATGGAGTTCTGGCCTGGCCCAGACCTACCTACTGCTGCCATCTGAGGAACGAACCAGTGTAGGGAAGCTGTTTCTCCTCTGTCACTCTGCCTTTTAAACAGGTATTTTAAAACATACGGAGAAGATGAATACATATCCATATCAAACGGTGACGTGTTTGAGAGGGAAGAGAAGGGATTGTCATGATGGAGTAGGGGTTAGCAGCCTCAGTTAACAGCACTAATCATTCTTTAAAAAAATGAGTCCTTAGAGGCTGATGCTGTGGTGCAACGGGCCAGTTCATGTCCCAGCTGTCCTACCTCTCATCCAGCTCCCTGCTAATGACCTGGAAAAAGCAGCACAAGATGGCTTAAACTTTGTGTCCGTACCACCCATTTAGAAGACCCCAGTGAAGCTCCTGGCTCAGCCATCTAGGAAGTGAAATCTTCTTTCAAATAAATTAAATGTATATATACACACACATATATTTTAAATGAGATTTGAGAAGAATGTAGAAAAGTTAAGCATTTGTTGAAAATAGGCTATGGATATTTGTATAGCCATCATAAAGTATATATTTCAGCTATTTAATTAAAATTGTAATTAAAGGTCAGAAAGGCATAGACAGACAAGGTCCACATCACTGAAAAGTTGAATCCTATGGTGAGTTCACCTTGCTCAAGCCCATTTTGACCAAACAACTTTATTGCTCACTTTTCAGAAACTGTGCAGATACATGAGCTATCTGGTCTCCATAGCTAGGTCGTTGTGGACAAGCTTCAGTTCACTCTGCTGTAGGTAACTTTTTCCGAGTTAGGTTCGTGGGCGATCAGTGTGTTATATTTAGGCCCCAGACTGACAGCGCCACGTTTCTGAAACCCTGGATAGCTTTGTTCTGGACAGCAGTGAATTTCCGAGGACAAAATCCACTTGCTAACAACACACAAACTTCACTACATGCGTGCAGCCTTCATCTCCAACTTCAGATCAACCAGCCACTTAAAGCTAGGAGCTGAAATTCCAGAACACAGCTTGCGATGTCTAATAAGTTCAGTGTCAGACATCTCTTGTGAGCGTAGTCTAATCGATCATTCAAAAGGAAAGCAAAGCATAAGCTACCTGTTGCCTTTTCACTTGAACATGACAAGTTATGGAGAAGTGAAGCATACAGAGCACGACAGCATTGTGTTGCACAGTTAGGTACTTACTTGAAATATAAAGCCAGGTCAGTGGCTATTATTGCGACCTCAAACAAATGAATAACTGTTTCAAACTGCCGCTTATTTAGGTTCTGGAAGATGTTTAAGCTCTGTAAGATGAAAATGCACAGTCAGCTGCAATCATTAACTTTTCTTCGATTCAACAAACAAATCCATGCTTTAGCAAAAAGAAAATCTAGGTCTTTCAACACTGTTTTGAGTTCAGTTTTTATCTCATAGATTAAGTAAATCCGTCTATTGTACTTTGAGTAGGAGAATTTAAACTATGAGGGTAGATCCTTTGAGCAAATATTCAACTAGTGTTAAAGTTTTGGGAGTCAAAGTGCTTTCCTTCAGGACCACTGAGAAAATCAATAGATTAAAAATCTGTATTAATTGGGATTCATTGAAGTATTTCTGGGAGATGTTCAGTTGTTCAAAAGTGCTGCATCATCCACTGGTAACTTCAGAGTGATCCCAGAAAACACGGTGCTTTCAGAGGCTGCATGCTGGGATAGTGTAACTAGTAGAGCAGTGGATCTGGGGGAAGAACAATGAAAAGCTCCCATGTTACTCCTGTGTCTTTTCCTGTTACATTTTTAAAAAGTCGGACTAAGCTTTTAAAAAGCTGACTAAGTGGCTGCATTTCTTAGCTGCTCTTGAAAAACAGCATATAAAGCTGGGAAGAGTTTTTAAAAGCTGAAATACTCCATTTTTTTGTAATACAGACCAAAGGATAGACGTATGCTGGTTTACAAAACACATAAAAATGTCACTGGCTGCCAAGAGGATATGGTCTCTTAACCTCTGTAGAGACAGAGGCAGCAAGATGCAGGGGCGGGGGGTGGTGCGGGGATGGAGCGGAATGGTGGACCACGTAATGATGGCATATACTCGGCTCTTAACACCTGCCAGGCTCTGTGTGCTGTGAGTGCTCTGAATCTCCTCACAGCAAGCCACAGCACAGAGGGGTGAAGTAGCTTGCTCAGCTGCGATCCATGTTCTATTCCTGGCCTCACCACTTGGTATAAGCTCACACACTGCACTGCACATCTGTATCTGTTTTCTCAAATGGGAAGAAAACAAGTTGAAATAAATCATTGTGGAATGTTAAGCCAAGTGAGATCCTGACTGGGAGTGTACAGAAAGCGACAAAAAGCTGTATCATGACAAGTTTTTGAAGCTAGCTCCAGATTCAAGCCGTATTTCAGGCCTAGGAACAAATATGGCTCTCAGCCATCCCTGGAGACTGAAATATTAGCAATATACCCTGACATGCAATTGTATTTGTAAAAAAACATATGGAAGCAATAGAAAGGAAAGCTAGCTGTGATTTCTTTTTATTAAAATAAGTTAACCAGCATTCTATGTTAATAGAAAATTACTTTCTGTTGAACACTGCAAATTGCAATAAACAGAAGGACTGAATCTAACTCAGTGTCTTACTTGCAGATTCAATAGCAGTTAAAACCAACCTTGATTGCTGTACCAAAGTTAAAAAACAGATGGCCAGGGAATTTATGAAAGTACCTTAAACTTTGATGAATTAATAGAGACCAGGAAATCACTTATAAATGCAAAGCAGTAAGTCCTGGAACAGAAACTTCTTGCCAGGATCGCAGAGGACAGACCATGTAACCAGTGGCTGAGTGGATCAGCAGTGATTATGCAACAGTTGCTTGTTTGTAAACTTGGACACCTGTTACTATTTCACAAGTATTCAGGTGTGTGAAAGAAAAAGTATAACACTAATTGGGCTATAAGCTATGTGTCATATCCCTTTTATAATCCAAAATAATAAAACTCGACTACAATTGACAGTTTATCGAAAAGCATTTTACTTTGTAAAAATAAATCAACACTGGAGTCTTAAAAACCTGGCATAATTAAAAAGTTCCATAAAAATGGAGCAGAAACCTTTGAACTGCTTCCTGTGTAATGCAGTCCACCTGAACATCACTCATATCTTTTTTTCTTTCTCATTTACACTGTCATCTGAAAACCTGTACAAGTCTCCAAGTTTAAAACACCTTCTTTAACTCTTCTTTTCTTTCTCACATGAGGTTCTTAAAAGAGTTTCTAAGTCATTTCTTTTTAAGGGTTGCATTTACAGATTCATCTAAAAGATGCTGTACCTTTTTCTGTGTGAGCCTAGAACACTCTTACAAGTGTAGCCAGTGTCCAGCAGACACTTGAATCTCATTGTATAACTATGTCTTGGTCATATACCACTTCCTCCACACTTCATCTCACCTCAGTGCCATTCCAACAAATAATATGTTTGCTCATATGTAATTGCTTTTTGACAGACTGTTCAGAAAACTTGCAAAGGGTCAACAATATGTGACTAAAGTAAAAGTTGAATTAAGAACAAACAATAAGGGCCTGGCACAGTAGCCCAATAGCTCAAGTCCTCGCCATGAACACACCAGGATCCCATTTGGGTGCCAGTTCTAATCCCAGCAGCCCTGCTTCCCATCCAGCTCTCTGCTTGTGGCTTGGGAAAACAGTTGAGGATGGCCCAAATCCTTGGGACCTTGCACCTGCATGGGAGACCTGGAAGAGGCTCTGGGCTCCAGACTTTGGATTGGCTCAGCTTTAGCTGTTGTGGCTGCTTAGGGAGTGAATCATCAGATGAAAGAACTTCTTCTTTGTATATCTGACTTTGCAACAAAAATAAATAATTTTTTTAAAGAACAAACAATAATTGGGGGCTCCCATCATGACAGGTAAAGCCACCACCTGTGATGCCAGCATCCCATTTGGGTGCCATTCTGAGTCCTGCTGGCTACTCCGCTTCCTATCCAGCTCCCTGCTAATACGCCTGGGAAAGCAGAAGATGTCCCAAGTACTTGGGGCCCTGTCACCCACGTGGGAGACCTGGGAGGAGCTCCTGGCTCTGGCTGTTGCAGTCATCTGGACAGTGAACCAGCAGGTGGGACATCCAGCTCTCTCACCCTATTTCTCTTTCAAAATCATTTTTAAAAAATGAATGAGCAGTGTGGAACTAGTGTTGGTCCTTACTGTAGCTCCTGGTCAGGCAGACCTTGGGAAGCAGTGGGGGTAGCTCATGCCATCATTGGGTTTCTCCCGTGCTGGACACCTGGACTGCCTTCCCTGGCTCCCAGCTGCAGCCCCGGGGCGGGACTGGGTCTGCTGCAGGTGTTTGGGAAGTGAGCTTAGTAGACTGGAGTGCTCTCCCTCTCTATATACATATAATTTAAAAAATAATAATGAACTGGAAATTAGTAAAATACAGATTTTATAAATATGGATGATGGTAAAAATACTAATGATAATCATACCTGATAAACAGAGACAAGAGATGTGACTGAAATTTAGACATGCCCAGGTGTTTAGGGCCTGAAACGCTGCAAGTGGCCCCGGGTAGAGAGAAGGCTCCTGTGCCCACTGGCAGTCAACCCATAGGGAAAACTGCCAACACAAAACTTTGAATTGAAAAACAAAACAAACATAAAAATCCCTTTTCATTGGAGAGGGCTGCCTGGCCAAGGGGCTCCAGCAGCCTTTTGGAGTAAGAAAAACGTGCATCTTGATTGTGGCAGTGGTTCCCAGGTGTGTAAAATCATCTAAAAAAATAAATAAAACTTACGGAATTCTGCGCTTTAAGGGGCTGCAGCCTAGTGTAGATATATTAGACTTGAGTGAGGTTGTTTTAAAACCTAACTGACTCTAAACAAGCAGTTGGAGTAGGACAGTCACACATTAAGAACATGTTTGCTGGCCTTGCTGTCTGTGCGGATTTGCAGGGTGACTGCAGTGCCACTCATCAGACGCGGGCGGAATGTCTGCTTCTCGGGCTGAGTTGTCTTTGGTCTTTTCTCGATAGCTTGAATATTCAGAGCGGGCACAGGTCATTCATTTTAAAACCTTGTAAGTACATGAAATTTCATTTGTTTGTCTGAGGTCTGTACTGAAAAGAGTACATAGAGACAGGTGTGCCTGAGCATGAGCGGGGCCCCTGCTTGCTCAGCTGCTTTCACTGGCTCACAGAAGGAATCTATTTTTGGCCTTCCCTATTAAAAAAAAAAAAAGGCCATGAAAACATAAATTCTGTGTGGCACACCAGAACAGGTAGCCATGGCTTTAATTCATGGTGGTTGGAGTTTTGTGGGCGAGGCCAAAGTACAGGCAGTTCTGCTCCTCAGAGCGTGCCCGTCACTGCCTTGCTGGCAGCCTAACACATGGTGTTTAATTTCTTTCTCACCGCTTTGTATAAAATGGGCTGGACTGATGGGGCTCGTTTGAGAAAGCATGAATACAATTTTCATATGCTTTGTAAAGAGACATCCTGAATAACAAAAGTGTTCTATTACCTGTGCTTAGCAGATTTTTTTTTCATTTCTACAGTATATTTTAGTATTAAAATTTACACTCCTGCAAATTTGGCTAGCAAAGTTTCCACCTATTCATTCAGGTGAGAGAGCTGGCTACAGTTTGGTTTAGAACTCAGGCAGTCCTGTTCCTTAAAGCAATAAACCCTACTCCTCCCACACATAAGGGTGTTTCCGTTCAGTTTGGGAATATAAAAACACAAAATGCCTGAGTCACATCCACTGATGTCAAAACTGTCAGGTAAATCCCAAGGATTGATCTCATGTAAATAAATTAAGAAAGTTAGTTACATTTTATGGGATGAAAGAACTGCTTTATTTCTAGGGAATACAAAACACATGTCCTGTGGCTCAAAGTGTCCATTGTCTCCAGCACACAGTTTGTTCATGAACAAGTACTGTGCGACTGCATCACCTAGCGACTCTATTGACAGGGCTTTTCAGGGCTGCAATTAGCCGACTGAATTGTATTATAGAGAGGCCCTTGAAAAGATGCTGTGGATTACCAACTGGCAGTATGCCCGTTCAAAATGCGTAGTAAGTCTATGTAGTTGCTCTGAACTGTAAAGTAAATAACATTAAAAAAAAAAGTAAGATGGAAAGTCATGACTATCACACACAAACCCAGCCCAGCAACCAAGACATACGAGACATCAAGAGCCTTCCAGTGTTAAGCAGCAAGATGCCAGGCTACGGTTCCTAAAACGCATTCTGATTCATTTGGTAAACATATCGTTGATAGCTTACAATCAGTACTCATGGTGGTATCACAGAAATGGGAGAGTACACAGAAAATTCTTACTGAGAAACCAGAGATTTTCCAAATCAGTAAAATGGACTCCTGCCATATCTTCCTGAACTATTTTCACTTCGGCTCTTCATTGTCATAGGACAAATAGTATGTATGCTATTAGCTGTAGCAGAGGAAGTTCCTGCCAGCATATTGGTGTTAATGGAAGTCGGAGGGGGCCTGGGATCTGTGCCCTCGTGAAACAACTGGTCTACACAGCCACAGCTGAAAGCCACCATCTGGAGTCACACAGGAGCTCATGATTTGTGTCCTTGTACACTCCTGTTGACTTTGGGTTCCCGAAACACTGGTGTTGAGGAGGAGTGTGGCCTTGCAGTGGTGATCGTGGCTTTAAGATGACTTAATGCTTTTTTCCGGAGAGCATGTTGTTACAAAGCACTCAGCCGTCACATTTTGACTTGCATCTACCCACCTGCCCCTCTACCATGGGGCCTCCCCAGAAACCAAGGAGTTTTATCAGCCTGAACTTGAACTGACAGCTTCCAGAGCCATAGCCAAAATGTGCTTCTGTTCTTCATAAATGCCCTAGTCTCCTGTATTATGCTGCCAGAACAACAACAACAACAAAAATGGCCCAAGTCAAGCCAGTGCTTGGCCCTGAGCACTGCAGAACTGGAAATGCTGCAGACTTCGGATGAGCACCGCACTGGCTGCTGCATCAGCTGATTACAGCAGCCGTTTTCTTCTCTTTGCACCTTTCTGCCCAGTCCCTCTGCCTTGTGGGGGCTCCCTGCTTGGCTTTGCCTCAGGCACCATTTTGACTTACCCCAAAGTCTCTAGTGTCATTTCTGAACTTGGATTCATTCAATTTCCTGCCTGGACCGTTAATGAGACATTGTTATTGAAGCAGAGAAGGGGGCACTTGGTGGTCCTTGTGATGGTGATCCTGAGCAAGCTCTCCGCCAAAGACTAAGCCATCTAACGGTGACTTATGTTCGTCCTCCTGGGCTTGGACTAAAGTATAACTGGACGACACCTACAGCTTCCACAAGCCCACATCCTCCTTACAATTGAAGTGTGTGGGGGATAGGCAGGGAATCCCACACAATGGGTACAAATCATTGTGAGTTCAAGTTCAAAGTTCTTCCTGTGTGAAGTCACCTCCTACCCTACCCCTGCCCCAGCCCTGCCCTGAATTTGGCCCCTTCCCGGGGAATTCAGGGGTGCCTCCCCAATGGCACCTATCTGATTCCAGTTTCTATCCTGATTCACGTCCACCTTCACGACCACAGCCTGCCTTGAACTGAGGGACAACTGTGCCCTCTAGTGCAGGCCCTGTCAAGGACCACAAACCCAGGGCCCCAGCAGCTTCCAGTCCCTGTAGGTTCATCCTGGCATTAGGGCACACGGAGCCCTGGCGTGGGAAGCCTGCTCTTCTTCCCCCCAAGACTCAACAGCGCTCACTGACTTCCCAGGAAGGCTTGCTGACCACTGTCTCAACCATGTCCTATTTGGTGGGTCAAAACTGACTGTAATATAGCCATTTCTCTGAGTTGCCTTTGATGAAGATCTGTGCTGCCAACTGCACTCACTCCAGGCTCTTCCCCAGCATTCTCTGTGGCTTGCCCTTTGATCCAGAGCCTGTGAGCTGTGCTAGCAAGGGGTTCCCCTACCTCGTCCTGCAGGAGAGTCTTACTGTACTCCAGGTGGTGCCTCTCCAAGATGGAAGACCCATGAAGCTTTGCCAAGGGAGATGTCGATCTAGGAGGAAATATGCCATGATTTTAGCCATTTAAAAGTTGCCCATAAGTCCATTCAATATGTAATCTTTACTGACATTCATGTTTCCCTTCCCCTCCCCAACCAGTGTTTGTAAAATCATTAGAAAGGACATATTGGGGGAAAATGTTTAGGTTTAAAAGATGAGAATTTGCTTCTTTTGGAAAAAGGGCAACAGCCCCCATCCCTGCCTTTCCATCCCATTCCCACAGTGAAGTGCCTGGGGTTGAGTCTCAGGCTCCCTGGTCCAGTTGCCTGCTGATGTGTCCTCTGATGGGTAGCAGGTGATCGCTCGAGCAGTTGTATCCCTGTCACGCATATAGAGCACCTAAATTGAGTTCCTGAATCCTGGCTTTGGTGTGGCCCAGCCCTGACTGGAAAATGCACTAGAGGATGGAAGATATGCCAGGCTCCCTCTCCCTCCAGTGCCTCCTGCTCCCTTTAAGTGTCTGCCCTGAAAATCAATAGAAACACATTAAAAGGTAATTTGTAGAGCCATTATTAAATATTTCAATGAGATACCGAGGAAAGAAAAGCAAAGTACAGCATCAAGCAATTTTCTATAAGTAGACTATCTGGCAATGGCCAACTTGAATTACTGCAATCCGTTTACAGTAGTTGTCAGCCACTCCAAAAATACTCAAAGAACAGAACCTCAAGCAAATAGCAACGGTGTGTGATTTGATCATTCAACCTACCATTTCCCCATCTTTCTAAGAATAATTTTTGAAAAGTAAAACTACAGTAGTGGATGGCCATAGTAAGAAAACACTGGGGGTTCTTCTAGCCTACCTCAGTGAACCCCCGAATTCCTCAGGATGGGGCTGATGCTGGCAGGCTCTGGTGACTCTGAAATGATCCAAGACTGCACACAAGTGAATCTCTCCCTACAACTTAAGTAGCAAATGGTGCAATTTGTGGATGAGAGAGCCAGGAGACTGGAAGGGTTCAGCAGATGGCTTCGAGCACCTACAGAAGCAGCAGTGGGTACTTCGGAATAGGTTAAAAAGGAAAAGCTATGCCCAGCCAGCACTCGGCAGAGCAAGGCCAGGCAGTGCCTGCATCTAGATTCCAGCAAGGCAATTGGGAAGATGCCTCCTGATATTTTTCTTCTGTGTGGGTTGAAATATTCAATGTGTTCATTATTTACTCAGATATCTGGAAAGCGGGGCCCACAGTGTGATGCCTCATTGACCACCTTGATTGTTTCCCTGGAAGCAGGCTTCCAGCCCGGCACCTCAAAACTGCCTTTGGTTATACCTCAGTGCGTAATATGCAATGACTGGAATATGAACAGAAAACCGTGACTATCTAATTTGAAGATGGTAAAAAGAAAATTGGGGAGAAGGGCCTGGTGTGATAGCCTAATGGCTAAATGCCTGCCTTACATCTTCTGGGATCTCATAAGGGCACTGGTTCATGTCCTGGCTGCTCCACTTCCCATCCAGCTCCCTGCTTGTGGCCTGGGAAAGCAGTCAAGGATGGCCCAAAGCCTTGGGACCTTGCACCCACAGGAGATACCCAGAAGAAGTTCCTGGCCCCTGACTTCAGATTGGCTCAACTCCGGCCATTGTGGCCACTTGGGGAGTGAACCCGTGGACAGAATATCTTTGTCTCTGCTCCTCCTTCTCTTTGTTAATCTGCCTTTGCAAAGAAAATAAAATAATTTTTTTAAAAATTGGGAAAAAATGAATTCAATTGCAGGCAGTCTAATGGAGGTTTCAGTCACCGGTTCTAATCCCGGCGGCACCACTTCCCATCCAGTTCCCTGTTTGTGGCCTGGGAAAGCAGTCAAGGATTGCCTAAAGTCTCGAGACCCTGCACCTGTGGGGGAGATCCAGAAGACACCCCAGGCTCCTGGCTTCATATTGGCACAGCTTCGGGGCCATTGCAGCCACTTGGGGAGTGAATCAGTGGATGGAAGATATTTCTTTCTGTATATCTGACTTTCCAATTTAAAAAATTAAAAGAAAATCTTAAAAAAAACATTAAAAACCTTTTTTAAATGACATAAAATTCTGCTTTGGCTCCAGAAAAATGACAAAATCATCTTAAAAACAGTTAAGGCAACTTGATATGTCCAGCACAGAGAAGAGTCCTAAGGGGCGGGGACATGATAGTCTTCAGTAGTGTATGAATGAACCACCTCTGGATGAGAAAGTAAACTTGTTCTAGCAGATCCAGAGAGCTGACTGAGACCAATTTCAGGTCAATGTCATACAGAATATTCAACTGTGAGAATTGTCCGGAAATGGAATCTTCTTCCTCATGAACAAGTGGTTCTTAATGATGGAAGTAATCAAATGCTGACCAAAGGAATGAAAACAGTAGAAAAGAAAGCCTACAGTGCTTGGATGGTAAAAATGAATTCTAAAATTCCTGATAAATAGATTTTTCCAGGTGTAAGATGAAAGAGACCAGAGAACAAAAACTAAATAAGAAAATGTGGATGCAAGGGAAAATGAAATCTATAAAAATATAAAACAAACTGGCCAGAGAAATGAAGTAAAGAGAATATAAGGACTCGTGCTCGCTTTGGCAGCACATATACTAAAAATTAGAACGATACAGAGAATATAAGAACTTGAAGGAAGAATGAAAATCTGGAAAATGACAAGGTGTTTGGGATAGTGTTAAAGGACACAGTCTAGAGCTGAGAGATAAGATTGGAGGCCAGCACCAAGGTCAGCCCTTTTGGAGACAGGTAGTCAGGTCAAGGGCACAAGGTCAAGCCAGAAAGCAATCACTCCACAATGGCCTCACTGCTACCTCCAGCGTGAGACTAATAATCTAGTCTCCTTCAACCTTTTCACTGGTTCATGTGCCAATGCAATCACAATATCATTTTGGACTCCTGGGCAATTCTTTCAACATGATGGGAACCCCTAAAGAGACTCGTTGAGTGTTTATCATTGAAAGAACTTAGCAAAGCTGCCCAGAGTATGTTAGATCCACGCAGAGACAGAAAGACAGGCTCCGTCAGAGACTGCAGTCAGCAATCCTTCCCATCCTTACATGTTCCTGCTAACCCAGCTTCCATCAGCAGAAAGTTGGGGTCAGGAGCTGGAGGCAGCTAGTGAGCCCACACACTGATGGGGATGTGGGTATTCTGACTAATAGGTCTCATGCCTACGCTGCCGATACATTTTGGAACATTGCAAAGACATCATAATGATTACTAATACATATCCACTGCCAAGAGCCGACCGTGACCTGAGGACTCTACATTTGTGATCTCATTGTATCTTTCCAACAGACTTACAATTTAAGTCTTGTTATCCTTCCTGTATTTCAGAACAGGAAATTAAGGCTTAGAAAGTTGAAGTAACTTGTGAGACCAGTAACCCCAAGCCTGATGACCTCAGAACCTATTCCCTTATTATTGAACTTCCTTTCTCAGGCAAGACAGGAAGACGGTGTTGATGTTAAAACCAAAGACTAGCTGAAGGAGAACTAGCTAGAGGCAAAAGGACCATGGAACCAAAGAGTAGTGAGTCTTGGAAGAAGTGTCTCTTGGGTTGAACTGGGGGTTGTTCCAAAGATGTATCAGGGTATCTCAGAATGTTCACAGAAAGTGAAATTCAGATAGAAGCTTCTCCTGGTCCAGAAAATTCTTGAAATCCATGCATAGCTTGTTCAGAACGTTCATGTTGCACAAAGTGCTTGAAGGCCCCATGTGTAAGCTAAAGATTAACTCAACTTACTATACGAATTCAATATTCTTATGATTGAACTTGTAAAGTGTGAAGCTATACACAGAGGAGGCAAAGGCAGGGCTGGAGGTGTCAACAAAGAGAGGGATGAGGACTCCTGCAGAGAAAGAGTGATGTCTCCCCAGAGTCCTACATGTGGCCAAGAAAGATGGCTCGGGTTAAAGGAGTAGAAAAAGTTTTCATCCCCACTTGGTGTCTGCAAATGCCCACTGATCCTAGCCAACCCTGTGTCTGTGTTCACTTACTTCATCTGGTACAAATTGTTGGTGCCCCTGTGGTCAATGTCATGGCAGAAGGCAGCAGCAAGCATGGCAAAGGCTTCGAGATCCGTAAAGTATTTCTTTAGTCTTCCTGTCTAAAAGATATGTGTATACATTGACTTAATAAGTGGAATTAATAGATTTCCAAACCAAGTGCAACTACATCTATCTGCAGTCAAGAAAGGGGATACACCATGTTTTAAAGAAAGTTGTCTCTACTGGCAGTGTAACATTCAGTAATGACAAAACCTAGCGAGTGGCTGAATTTTGCTTCAAGGTCAAGTACATGAACGTGTGAGTGATAATCCAACCAAGGGACAATGGACATCCAATTCCCCAGGATCCTCTGCAGGGAGATTCCTGATCTCCAGGGATGGCTCGTGACCATGTCTCATCACATCCAAGCAGGAAACCAACAGGTTTGCAAAGATTCGCCATACTATGTACATACCATCAGCAAGGTAAACATGGTCTGCCCAACATTGAATCCGTGTCGCCAGTTGTGGTAAGTGACTGCACGGTACCCTTTCCTCACTGTGTACATCCACCTGGTAAGAACCTGTTACCAAAGATGACAACACCATTCAGACTTTGGAGCCAAATGCCAAAGGTTAGAAGGTCTAGTGGTGATCTTATCTACAAAAGATGTGCTGGTCTTGTTGACAGGGGTTAAGCTACCGTATTTACAAAGTTAATAATAATTTAAGATCTAAACTGAAGCTAATCTTTTGAACCATGGAAAACATTAGTGGAGTGCACCAACACAGTCCCTCAGTAGTTTCAGCAAAAACACCACCTGACCTCCACAGGTACTTTGAATTTTTCCACCACATTTATCTCAAAAAACAGCCGTAGTCCACATTTAATCAAGCCATGTTCTGTGATGGGGAAGTCGCTGAACCGGAACTCGTATAGTTCCACCTCCTTTGGGTCAGGCAAGTCCTCCTTCTGTTGAAACAAAAATGATTGTTTCAGATTATACTGGCGTATGTTGGATACAACATGGAATGTAAAACAAAATCATGATTAAAGACTACCAGCCACGGCCACTGAGCCACTAGGTGCAAAGCTCTGGGTTAGCTGCTTGTATTGGTTGCTCTCCCAGTCTATACAGCTGAGGTTCGGCTAGACTGAAAAACTTTCTAAGTGAAGTAAGCTAGACCCCACAGGACAACTATCATATGTTCTCTCTGATGTAAGACAGTCAATACACAAGGAGGTTAGGAGGCCACACCCATAGGGATCAGGGAAAGGCGAGGGTGGGAAGCTAGAAACCATAATTTTACTTACAATAGGCACACACCATTTGATAGGAAATTTATAAAAACAGCAAGAATTGTCTCTTGCGGGAAATCTTGAACTTACGGAAGGAAGTGGCCCACCCATCCCCGCTTTGGTGCCTTCCTCAGCACAATCTACAATAATCAATAATGGAGCTGAACTGTTCCCCTTCAGGGCCATCTGGTAGCCCCTGGGAGCCATTGCTGAATGCTTCCCCTGAGGTTCCCCCTGTCCCTCCCTTCCCGCTGCCAGCTCTGCCCAAGACCTGGCCTGTAGGTTTTGGGCTTGCTTCCTCCCTTGACCCTTCCTGGGGCATTCCTCATCTCCTTCATCTCCTTGTTGGCTCTGCACTCTCTGATTGATCACTTCAGCCACAGATGGTTTTATTTCTTCCTGCAAGGTGATGGCTGCATGGGTTCTGATTAGAGGCATGAAAAAGCCTCAGTATTCTCATCCATGAAATGGGACAATAACAGCCTTGTTGTTTTAATGAAAAAGAATCCCACTTTTATCTACCCTTGGCAACAAATGTGAGGGGGAGCCTTTCTTTCTTATTCATTCATCATATATTCATTCCCAAATAGTTTGGGTGTGCAGGCATGCCCCAGGGATTTGGATGAAGCACTGGCTGATGCAGACATAACCCCTGTGTTTCTCTCACCCGTAAAACTGATGAGCTAGGAGGATTCGAGTTGCAGGGAAGGGTGCCCATGCCCTCCCAGCCTCCCCATCTGAGTGTTCTGTCCAGGATAGCCATGGAGCTGTATCTGAATGCATGGCAGGTGCAGTCACATGCATGTGTCAATGTGCACTGTAACAGGAAACAAGGGAAGAACTTCCCAATTCTTATTCTCGGGCCCGTGAGTAGCAGTTATGGGTGAGCTGATAAAATAATCCTCTAATACAGTATTCATCAGCTCTGTAAAGCAACAGCTTTTAAGTCTGTGATGCGCCAGGACAGATAAAAGGTTCTTAGTGATTTGATAAGCAGGGACTCTGGCCTCGCACGGCTGGGTCTCTGCTCCCAGCAGGAACTACACGGCCGAGGACTGATGGCACAGAGGAAGCTGCTCCACATCACGTGAGTCTGAGTGTGCCCGCCCAGCTGGCTCCATCTGCTCCCCAGCTAACCCTGGGAATGTCTGAGCAGGTGACTTTCTGACCCCAGCATGCTAGGTTGACCTTGTCTTGCCTCCTCGTCTGGTCCTGCAGGCAGCTTTGCTTTGCCCTGCTGCTCATGGGAGCTGCAGCCACACTCCCACCCGAGACACGCTAGTCTCTGAAGATTGATCATTCGATGGCTCCATCTGTCATTTGTCTCTTGGCTTGGTCTGTAGTGACCTTGCTTCCCACTCCCATCCCGAGCCATGGTCAGGCCCACCAGCAACTTCCTTCCATCTAGCTGACTCCTGCTTCCTCTTCCAACCTCAACACCTGGAGCCAAGGAAAGTGGGAGGTGGGAGCACCTCGGGGGCCCCAAACACAAGGAAACTAACCCCTCCATGGGGAATCACTGGCCAGTGGGATAACATCACCCATCAAAGGAGGCAGGTGAGCTAGGCCGTGAACCTGAGTCGTGAAGGAACACTTACATTACCAACCGGAAAGGGGCAGTGGAGACTAGAGTGAAGCAGCAAGGCTTCATATTAAAATGTCATATTTAAACTTCAATCAGGTGGAATTCAAACTGGAAATCTTGGTCAATGTCCCCAGGTTTTTAGAAATCACAGAAGAGCCACACTCTAGAAATATGGGTCCCAGAATAATAGAAAGTGCCAAACTCAGTAAAAACCAAAACCAGCTCTTCATTTGCCAGAAGAAAACCATATCCTCTTTTAAGAAAGATAAGAGCACCCAAAGCCACTACTACCTACCTAAATTTCTAGTTTTTCAGTTAAAAACGATGAAGCATATTTTAAAACAGGAGCAAATGAGCCTGGCCCAGTAGCCTAGCAGCTAAAACCCTTGCCTTACATGCGTTGGAATCCCACATGGGCACAAGTTCTAATCCCAGCAGCCCTGCTTCCCATCCAGCTCCCTGCTTGTGGCCTGGGAAAGCAGTGGAAGATGGCCCAAAGCCTTAGGACCCTGCACCTGCATGGGAGACCCAGAGGAGGCTCTGGGATCCTGGCTTCAGATTGGCTCAGCTCTGGCCATTGCAGTCATTTGAGCAGTGAACTGGCCAATGAAACATCTTGCTCTCTGTCTCTCCTCTCTGTATATCTGACTTTCCAATAAACAAATTCTTTTTAAAAAATAAAATAAAACAGGAGCAAATGTCTGAAATCCAGGAGCAAAAACAGACTTAGAGGAGACTCAAGCATTAAGAGGAGTCCGCCAACTGTGGCCAAGAATTGTTTTTTTAAAAAACGGAGTGAAAAATAGTCAGATAAAGTGATAAAGAATTTCAACATAGATCTGGAACATTAAAGACGCCAATGCACATTCTAGGACTGAAAAAGACCATCACTGAGCTCGAATTTATCCAGTGAGCTTGGCGACGGGTGAGACACAGCACAGGGCGTAATCAGTAATCTGGGGAGGCAGGGAACTTCAACCCCAAATCCCAGGGTTGGCCTGCCAGCAGCTACGGGAAAAGTGATTTCCCCTGAATCTGAAGGGAAGTCCAAGATGGGCAGTCAGCCATGCCTGGCAAGGCCTGTGTCCCACTACACTCCTGTCCCACATCCAGGGTGGCCTGACAACTACCCAAGCTGCCGAAATAACCAGGACCAAGGTAGCCCCAGGCTCAGGGCCTGGCATCCGGCATGCAATAGTCAGGTTCAGCCACAATTCTAATTCTCTGTGAGAATTGAACCAGAAGAGTTGAAGATAAGGCTAACAGGCAATAGGGAGGGGTCTACATTCAGAAGAAATCTCCTTTCCTTCTAGCCTTGAAAGGTGCCAGGACAGAGCAAACTCAACCTTCCTTAAAAAACAAGGAAGTACTTGCTGCTACACAACTACTGGACCAACAGGGCATTAAGGATAGAAAGGCAGCACTCACCAAAATCGTGAGAAGTTGTTTTTCTTCGCAGTCTTCAATTGCATCTTTGTTCAGCTTCTCCCTAAATTTCTAAAACATAAAAGCAACTGAGGTATGAAATTCCCGCCAAGGAGAGTTCTACCTGAGTTTTCTTCTGCTGAGGTCAGTGAAGGTATATGTGTATTTAAAACATACTGTAGTTAGTTCCATGCCTTTTAGAAATGAGTTAGGAAAAGCTTTATGTAAAAAATCATCTAATACAATCAATTTATTCATGCTCCCAAAATAGAACAGTAGCTGTCTTTCAGAAAGAAGGAAAAAAGAGAAGGGAGAGATGGGTTGTTTGTATGTAAGAAAGAAAAGGGGAAACGGGGGCCTCCAGCTGTTTTTCTAATAACTCATAGCAATGTCCTCCCTTACATCCACCCACATCTTTCAGTTTTAATACTTCAAGCTTTTTTAAGATTTCCTTAGAAATTGGAGTTACAGAGGTAGAGAGATAGAGAATTCCACCTGCTGGTTCACTGTAGGACGGTTGCCAGGACTGGGGCCGGGGCTGGGGCAGGCCACAGCCAGGAGATCCATCCCAGTCAGGTGGCAGGGGTCCAAGCATGTGAGCCATCCTCTGCTGCTTCTGCAGGCTCTTAGCCAAGAGCTGGATTGCATGTGAAACAACCAAGACCTGAACCAGCACCCATACAGGATGCGGAGGTTTCAGGTGGCAGTTTAATCCGCTCCACTAGTCAAATGCCTCCAACCTCCCAACAAAACCCAAAAGGGAAAGGCACCCCACAGAGCTACACTTACTGATACACTCTAAAAGCCCAGAGAATAAAAGGAAGAGAGACAGTGGGTGCATAACATTTTCCCTTCATTTTATGCAGATTACAACACTGCCAGCAAAAATCCACATGCTTCTGTATCATTCACAATGTTGGTGTTGGTCATGTGAGTTTTCTTTGTCCAAACAGCCTGTTAAGGCACATGACGGAGTAAAGACTTGAAGTGTGCTTGCATGGTGTGGCTTGGCCCCTTGCATTCCTATCATCACTGTGACAAAAACAGCTATTAGGTGGCTGCTGCTTCAAGAATTTAGAGAACCACAGAGCATACCACACTCACAGCTTGGAGCCACATCCAGCTCAGATGCATCAACATCTGGTCAACCACAAACGCAGGAGTATCAGATACTCATTACTACCCGCCATAGTCGTTACACAGCATTATATCATAGCAGCTGACTGATACATATCCCTTACTAGAAATTTTACTGAGTAAAGCACTTGAATTGAGTTGTCACTACTTCATTCCCTGCAGGCTCAGGAGCTGTTTATAATGAGCTGCTACTTCCAACCAAAGGTCCTGGCTGTGCAATAAGGTATGTGTATGCTGGACCCCTGGTCCCATCCTTCTCTGCCTCTCCTTCCATCCTTCCTGACTAAACCTAACCTCATCTGTCAGCACCCTGGGCATTTGCAGGATTTCTAGCAGCTGTGCTTAGGCAGTTCAAGCCTGATTCCTCCACTTACCAAAATAGACTCAATTTCTTCCGGAGTGGCCTTGGTATGGTTCATGAGCATTTCTTGAGCGATGTCCTTTCTGTTTTCTAGCTTATTCATTTTCTCATAGGTGTCAGTATTTAAAAGAGACCAACCAAGAAATTGTGTGAGAGTCTGGAAAGTAAAAATGCTGACTCAGTCCCCATAAGGTGAAGAAAAGCTTTTAGTGAGGCAACACAGCATGCCTTCTTAACCTGGCTCCCTTCCACCATCAACAACCCAGCTCTTTAATCGAAGAAAAATAATTATACTAATAGTCGGCCCTTACTAAGCAAAGCTGGCTAAGCCCTTGCATTTCCATGTGCATCATGCACCCAAAATATTATTAGTGGAGAAGACTTACAAACTCCAGGGGAATAAGGCAGGATCTACAAATCAGACAAATGGCTGAGGACAAGAACAAGAGGAAGCAGAGGCATCAAGGGAAAAATCTTTCCTGTTTTCTCATTATAAAGAATTTTGACTAAGCTCAAACTGTATTTTTTTTTGGTAGAAAATGTTGCCATTTGCTAGAGGTCAGCAAATAAATGACATCATAAAAACTAATTACAGCTGTCTTAATTGCTCTTAGAAAGATATTCTAGCACAATTCTGTATCTTCTATTATTATTTCATGCACTTACCCCCATAATTTCGGTAATGTGCTCACCTCAGTAATGTGCTCATCATGTTCATCAAAAGGCTTTCCATCCTTCCTGTTGTAAAACGTCGCCACGCCCACGATGTCTTCTTTCTTGTTGACAATGGGCAGCGACAAGACATTCTTAATGACCCAACCCGTTTCATCTACTGCTCCTTTCTAAAAATAAGAGAACATAAGTTATTTTTGAAAATGTATGGAAACAATTATAGACTTACAGGGGTCTCACATATCCTTCACCCAGGTTTGGCCAGTGGTAACACCTTGTGTAACAACAATACAGTATCCCAAGAAGGAAGTAACTGGTGAAGGAGCCACAGAGCTTATCTGAATTCACCAGATTCACTTATACTTTTTGTTCCTCTGTGTGCACGCGCATGTGAGATTCCACACAAGTTTATCCCCTCTGTACCTTTCCAGCCACCATTATACTCAGTATGCACAGTGGCTCCCTCACTCCAAGGCTTCCTCACACTCTTCTTCAGAGCTACCACCCCACCTCTCATCACTCAATTTATCATTAAAGAAAGAGCAATCTTTGATTGTGAGATGTACAATTCCTCCTTAGTGTCAGAATGTAAGATGTCAGTATTATATATACTCAAATCAGCAAAGCGGCTGTACTAGAACCAAGGGTCTTTGATCTGAAAACATTGGAATTTCCCTCTGTCCCCCAGTTCCAGGTACAGGGAATGCATCTGACCCCTCACTGTTTTCATTTTTTCTACCAACACTGGTTGAGCTAATTGTTTGTAGTAAGTTCTCTCCACTAAAATACTCCATATGGTTTCTGATTTCCTGGCTGATCCATCCAGTCTTTGGTTCTTTGGTGTGTTGTGCTTCAAAAACAACTTTCAAGACCCCGGTGGGCCCAGGGACTAGGCTAACTGTTGAGAACGAGTCAAAGATAAACAAAGCCACAGACTTCATCCTCAAGATGTGACCGGGGGATACGACCATGAAAGCTCAGGAATATTTCTCAAAGTGCAGCCCAAGGGCCTCGTGCAGCAGATTCTTTTCAGCTTGTTTCCTGGTCTCTGGGCACACATTCTAAGTGCATGCCCAGGTGACTCTGATGTCCTCTGAACAGAGAACCAAGGAGTAGTTGTTGCTTCCTGCACAGCCAAGACCCCTGCCGTAGTCAGCCATCCTCAGTGGCCAATGGGAAGACTTGCCATGAAGCAGTCTCTAACTTCTGCAGCTCCTAAGAGACTTTTCTTCTCCAGATTCCAACAGCAATGACAGCTCAGACCACACAAGTTACCACTCAGGCATTTTCTGAATGCTTTAGCATTGCTGATTTTGGTTTCTGAGCCTTCTTCCTAAACTTACCCAGGAATAAGTCCTATTTCATAAATTAAGTTTCATATAAATGATAGAACTGTGCTGAGCAGACACTAGATGCTCAGTAATTATCACATAAAGAGGAAACCTATTTATTACCTCGTAAAGACCTTTGTACTTGGAAAGAAAAGCAGAGAAAACAAACCTCAGTTTATGTGTCCTGATGTTTAGAGCTTTAGAAAACAAAGTGCATCACACAGTATTCTCAACCTTCTCCCTTGGAAAATACTGAGAAATATTTATGTACTTACAAAGAACGGGCACAAGCTCAATAACAGGAAATATATCACATGTGCAAAATAACTTCACAGCCATAAGTACAGGTGTATGTTACTTAAAGTTTCCAAAATAAGACTTACTGACCATCTCCCAACTTTTCCATAAAGATTCACCTGCCCCCTTTTATACTCAAGATTTTGCTATTTGTTTGGACTTGGTGATAGCAGAGTGATAGGAAAAGACTACAATGTAAGAAAACTAATAGGACAAAAAATGTAAAGCCAAAAAATCCTGTGTACATTTTCCCTTGTGTGTTCAGATTTCCTTACCTGATGTTAAAGAAAGAACTCTAACTTGCTTCAAGGAAAGTGGTGGCAGGTAGAGCAGTGCCCTTCCCCGCACCACCCCCCAAGTCCCTGGACCTGTGTTATCATACATGGCACAAAGGACTCAAGCTGGCACATGGGATTAAGTTGATGTCACTCATCAGCTGCTCTGAAAGTTGGCAGATCAACCTGGTTTCCCAGGTGGACCCAGTGTTAACAGCCAGGATCCTTGAAAGCAATAAAGTGAGTGAAGTCAGAATCAAAGATGGGGAGCTAAGATGAGAGAAGCAAGGTCATAGGAATGGCTGGCTTGGAAAACGGAGTGAGAGCCAAAGAGTACAGGTAGCCTCTAGGAGCTGGAAAAGGCAGGGGACCTCCAGAAAAGACCACCGCCCTGCTAGCACCTCCATTTTAGTCCCAGGAAAACTCACTTTAAAATTCGGACTTCCAGAACAGTCAGATCAATGAATTTGTATGGTTTTCAATCACAGGTTAGTCGTGACAGCAGTAAGAAGATACTGATGCTCTATGTCCCCAAGGGACAGCATCTGAGAATCACTAGCTCTTGCTAGCATCTCCTTGTAGCAACTGCCCAGGTGCACAGGGGATAGAAAGCGTCAGGCAGAGAAAGGGCCAGGAGAGGGTGGAGTCAGGGGAGGGAGTGTGCCCTGCAGAAGGCACCTGAGCAAGGCCTGAGGGAAAAGGTGGGAAGGGGCCTAGAGGGCTATCAGAGCAAGGTACAGCCCTGAGCCAGGCGAAGCAGCAAGGTTAAAGGACTGAAATTTGGAATTTGGCCCCTTGCACCTTAGCACAGTAGGGAAACTGCAAGGCTGTTGGAGCTTCCTAGGACCAATGGAAGGTGTCAGTGGAGTCCAGTTATTTCCTGAGGTGAGCTGCTTCCCCATTACTGCTCTTGCTCAGTCTCTAGCCTAGAGTGCTGTGGAGATAATGATCTTAGTGCACACTGGGTGTTAGAGCACAGAGCCCCCTGGAGTACACAGCCACAGCTGGAGAGCAGTGGCGGAGGATGCGGCCCTGGCCTCTTCTGGGCTGGTTCCACCGCCCCCGCCCCCGCCCCCACGCCGTTTGGACCATGACTGCTGGAGCTGCAGACACTTAGACAACCTTCGCCCTCGGTTTCCTCGGTTTGTGCATTCTTTCCAACACACAGTGACCATAAGCCTGGGCTTGTGCTAGGCACAGCATGGTCACTGCAGACTCTGGTTGCAAGCAGAAGCCAGAGCAAATGCAAGCATATGGTGTTTGCGTGTTTTCCATGTCAGTGAGCAAAGGGATGGGCAGTTGAATCCCAGGGAAACTGCCCAGGTAACCAAGCAAGCATGGACAGGGTTCTCCAAGGCCCAGCTTGAGTCTGTAGCTAGCAACGAAGCACTCACATCCCAGGAAGGCCAGCTTTTCCGTCCAAGCACAGATAGAACTGGGTTTGTATGTGTGTGTGCATGTGTGTGTGCCTGAGACAAAAAGCCAGATAACTCCTGCCATGAAGGACAGTCTTTATTTCTGATGGGGATTAGGGATCTAATTGGATATTTGTCAAATGCAGGACACAAAACAACATGTGCCAGAAGCCAGAAGAGGTGAAGCTGGCTTATCTTCAACAACTGGGAGGGGAGTGGGTGACAAGAGGGGAGCAGGTGGGTGGGTAGGGGGTGAAGAAGAAGTAGCAAGGGACTCTTTTGATGAACTTGGATGTGGGGAGAATGGACTTCCAAGTCTTATAGCTACATTAAAGAAGAAAGCCCTCGTGCTGCCGTGTTCTGCTACTGTAACAGAATACCACAGACTGGGTAATGATGAGGAGCTAGGTCTACCTCACTATTCTGTAGGAAGGCTTTTTTTATTTTCTGTCCTAATGGGTGGAAGGCATTCCACAGAGAGAATGTAAGAGCGTGCCACTTCCACACCAACCTGCCCCTCTTACAAAGCCCACTGGTGCTCTCCCAGAGGACACAGCCTATGACCTCCATCTACCTACCTCCCCAAGTATCCACCTTACATCCCATCTACATGGGAATGTGAGGGTAAAGTGCCTAGCATGTCAAAGTTGAGGAGCCACACTCAAACCACAGCAGCCACGTTGGAGAGAAGCAAGCCTGCTGGGCTGGTTCAGGGTCTTGTCTGGGAGTTGAAGCAAATCTGCATGCTGGAGAAAGAAGATAAACCAGGACAGAGGTGGGCTGGCCTCTGAGCCCCAGGAAGGTTTTGTTGCAATCACTTGCAGGGAAGGGCTACTGCGAAACCCAGCAGGAGGACCGGTAGCAGGTGCTGAGATGGGGTCAGACACCCGTGCATGCCAAACAGTGTTCAGTGAGCAGCCCCCTTCATGGGCCAGTGGAAGAAAACAATGGCAGGGGGCAGGGCCACTCTGTACCCTTTCTTATCTCTCTTTTCTTTCCCAGTCAGATTCTTCATTGAAAAATCTGCTACTTAACCTGTGCCCCCTTGACACACCTACATACTAGGCAGACTCTGGGAATGGATGAGGGGAGATACACACACACACACACACACACATACACACGCTGTGAGAGGGAGGCCCAATGGCAGTTACCTGAAATGTGAAGTATTCGTCTGCAGGGGCGTTGAGCATGTTACATATCTGGAGGGCAAAATGAGACCTTGTAAGTCATCATGTGGTGGGGTCACAGAAGCCACGGAGGAGACTCGGAACGTTCACCAGGCACGAGAGCCACTGACACAGCTCGCAGCTGATAGCAGCTCAGCAAGTCACCCTGCATGGCTGCATGGCTGCATGGCACCACTTGGCCGCAGAGCACCTGCTAGGGACTCATTGGAGGCAGCCTCTCTGCGGCTGAGTCCCCAGATGGATGGAGCACCATCTCTGCGCCTCCCTAATGCCCCTGTCTCTAAGGCTCTGCTTCCAATTCAAAGCAGCTAGCTGGGCTGCTCGGGCAGCAGAGGGGAGGAGCCTGAGCAGGAAGGCCTGGTGGCAGGGACAGGTAGCAACAGTGATGCTGGGAGGGCATCACTGTTTTTCAGGGGGAGCCCAAGATTATAAGAAAGGGCAGGAGGAAACCATCAGGCAACCTTTTAGTAACAGTGGAAGTGAGGATTCACGATGCCACCTGTATTACTGAAATTTACAGATTACTGCTCCCTCTACAGGGACTCTCCTTTTTCAATCATTTTGAGTTGTATCTTCAGTCATCTCCGCAGAAATTTTCATTAAAAGTGCTATATCTCTCTACAAAAATGACATACTTAAAACCATAAACTCCGGGAAGCCCGTGATCATAGAACAGTGGCTTAAGCTGCCACCTGCCATGCTGGCATTCCACATGGATACCTGTTCAAGTCTCGGCCACTCCAATTCCGATCCAGCTCCTTGCTAATGTGTCTGGGAAAGTAGAACAAGGTGGGCCAAAGCTTGAGCCCTTGCACCCACATGACACACCAGTAGGGAGCTGCAGGCTCCTGGCGTCAGCCTGGCCCAGTCCTGCTTAGTGCAGCCTTTTGGAGAGTGAGCACCTTTCTCTTTGTTATTTTGCCTTTCAAATAATTAAATAAACCTTAAAAAAAAAAAAAGCTGGAAGGGACACTGATATCTAAATTAAAGTTTTTGTTTTAAACATGAGGAAACTGAAGCCCAAAGAGTTTGGATGTTCTGTTTAAATTTATGGGAAAAAGCTAGAATAGTGACCTCCGGAGAGGATGCTGGTGGAGTCGGACAAAGCCCCGTGCGTGTCTGTGTCTGTGGCCAATTGCCACAGTAGGCACTGTGGGCTGCCAAAAGTTTAAAAATGCACTTCCCTAAATTCCTAAAAGTCTACCAGTCTTGTGAATAGGTGTGAGTGGGCAGCCTCAACAAGCCTTACCTTATCCCCACATGCTTTCCAAAAGTCACTGAACCACTGAGTTTTGCACAAAGAAAAGGTGACGATCTCTCAGTATATTTATTTGAAAGGCAAAGGGTGGAGGTGGGGTGGCAGGGTGGTTCCTAACCACTGATTCGCTTCTCAAATGCCCACAAGAGCTAGAATTGCACTGAGCTGAAGTTAGGAGCCAAGAACTAACCTGGGCTTGCCACGCAGGGGGCAGGAGCCCAAGCATTTGAGCCATCACTGCTGTCAGCAGAGTCCGTAATCAAGCCGAGACATTCCACAATATGGGGCAACTGGCTTCCCAACTGCTAATCACTCCCACCCCACCAAAGTTTGCCAAGGCATACATACTCTAAGAATTTCAAGACTCTTTTGTGCCACTCATTGATTTCCGGATCTAAGTTGAATTCGATTTTTGCATTATCCAATGGGTCAGGCATCCCTTGGGTGTCTTAAAAGGGCCAGAAGAAACTCACTCGTCTTGACTGGCCTCACAGCAGTGAGTAGTGGCAGTCGTACTTTGGAGCCGCTAGAGAACCTTTACGGATAGATGGAAATCCTAGAACACCTTGCTTTCCATCCATACCCAGAGGGCTCACTCTCTCTCCTTCCCTCTGACTAGTTCATGCCTCAAAAAACTGACCATGCCACTTGAGAGAATTAAACCTAGCATGGATCTCAGTCGCCGACTTCCACAGATGTCTGCAATCTCTGGCTGCAGAGTGAGAAGCTGAGGAACAGAGCAAGCATCTCGCCTAGTGGAAAAGAAGCAGGTTAGGATCCCACTTGCCACATCAGACGCAGGAGATGGACTCCCTGCTCAAGCTCCGACTCCAGTTTGCTGCTGATGTGGATGCTGGGGACAGTGCAGATGGCTGGCATGATCAGGCTCCTTCCTCCCACGTGGAGACCTGGCTTCTGCTCCCAGTTTCTGCTTTGGCAGGCTCAACTTCAGCCATTGAGGGCCTCTGGGGAGTGAGCCAGTGGATGGGAGCTGCCTATCTGGGATACAATTCATAAAATGTAGCTTCACACTTTAAAAACAGGAGTTTATGGGACGATGGCCCCTTCTCATGTTGACTATTTTCATGCAGAGCTTAGAAGCTTCTGGTTAACCTACTTGTGACTGCTAAGACTCTTCTTGGTGTGTGCTGTGCTAATGGACATGGTCACCTGACCTTTATATGGTAATTTTTTAAAATTTTTTTTAATTGGAAAATCAGATTTACAGAGAGGAGGAGACAGAGAAAGATCTTCCATCCGCTGATTCACTCTCCAAGTGGCTGCAATGGCCAGAGCTGAGCTGATCCAAAGCCAGGGGAGCCCAGAGTCCTAAGGCTTTGGGCCATGCTTGACTGCTTTCCCAGGCCACAAGCAGGGAGCTGGATGGGAAGTAGAGCAGCTGGGACACAAACTGTGCCCATTTGGAATCCCAGTGCATGCAAGGTGAGGATTTGGCCACTAGGCTATCACACTGGGCCCTTGCCTGCTCATTCTTACATTCACAGTCACATCTTTGCCTTAGCTAATAAGGCAAATATCATTTATGATTTGCATTGGTTCAGCAACTTACAAATCCGTTTTCAGCAACATATGTTGGCAACCCACTGATGAGTGTCCAGTGGTCTGCAGGAGGCGACCTTAGGGCAGAGTAGAAGAGGAAAGATCACTGCTCCACAGAGAAATGCACCATGCACACAAATGAGACAACTCTGGTGGGACACCATGGCGATACTCACGGGATTACTTTAATCTCTTCTTTTCCATGTAGAATGTAATCAATGATTTTGTAAAAGATGACTTCCTAAGAAAGAAGGGGAAGGTTTTAGCCCAGTATTATTGCACAAAGGAAACACTTTTTCAGTGAAAAACTAAGACTTTATAAAGAGTCCCTTATTTCCTAATCACACATGCTGCAAAAAATAACACTACTCATAACCCGATTACAAAATTGTAATAAAACCAGAAATATTACTACACGTAGGTCAAGGTTGAGGTAAACTGTCTTTGAAGAGTTGAATGCTCACATCAGCTTCTGGGGGGAGCCTATGGCTTTCAAATCCATTTTACATTGAACTGATTCCTTTGATTCTCCAGAGATGCGTGTGGTGGGGCAGGCATTGTGGAACAGTAGCTTGCATCTAGCACGCTGGCATCCACATCAGAGTCCTTAGTTCGAGCCCTGGCTGCTCTGTGCTTCCAGTTAAGCTTCCTGCCAGTGTCTGAAAGGCAGCAGAGGAAGGCCCAAGTATCTGGCTTCCTGCCACTCGCATGGGAGACCCAGATGGCATTAATGGCTCCTGCTTCTGGCCCAGGTCTGCCTGCTGGGGAAGCCTGGGGGAATGAACCAGCGGATGCAGGAGCTCCCTGCCACTCCTCCTTTCAAATACACAGATGAAGATTTATGCATATTTGAGTGAGATCTAGTTACTTCACTAGATCGAGTCATGATACTCCTTAACTACCTAAGGGCACATCTTGTACAGACAGCGCACTGCCCCTTTCAGCACTGGATTGTCTGAAGAGGTTTGCTAGGCTTGTGTGTCCTGGCTGCTCCATGTCCAGTTCAGTTCCCTGTTTGCAGCTAGGAAAGCAGAAGAGGATGGCTCCAAGCCCTGGGCCCCTGCACCCACGTCGGAGACCTGGAAGAAGCTCCTGGCTTCTGGCTTCAGATCATCTTGGTTCTAGCCATGTAGCCATTTGGGGGTTGAGCCAGTGCATGGAAGCTCTCTCTCCCCTTCTCTCTGTGTAACTCTGCCTTTCAAATAAAAATAACTAAATCTTTAAAAAGATTTGAAACCCCCGGGCCTTTCTAAGCCAGTGCCCTTTGCTCCATGCCCTGTAGTCAAGAGTTTTGCAGCTACACCTTTACTTAAAGAGCATCAAGGCAGATATTTGTATTTACCCGGCCATCTGGTGTCTTTGGTCCTTTATAAGGTTCCACTTCTCCAAGCTTGATTGGCCATTCATCGTAGAATTCCTGGAGGCAATTAAAGTTAAACATTATTTTAAAAACTCCCATGACCTGCCACTCCAAAGAGAAATTGTGTGACCTGTATATGTATGTGAATGTTTGTATATGACATGTTTGTATCTGTCTCTATAGCTCTGGAATATTGAAGCTGAGAAGATCTATGTTAGAAAGTTCATGGAAGATGCATGTTATGAAAAACCTGGATTTCAAAAATTCTTAAACCAGGTAGTATATTTTAATTCCATTTTTCCAAGAATTTTGGAAATATCCTCATAAAATTCATGAATTTATATCATGAATTTTGACATTAAATAAGTTACTTAACCTTTTTTTCACTTGTAAAACAGGAATACTATTTTACAAGTGTTGTGGCTTAGGGAGTTAAGCTGCTGCCTATAGTGCCAGCATTATATTAGTACTGGTTTAAATCCTGGATATTCCACTTCTGATCCAGTTCCCTGCTAATGTGCCTGTGAAAGCAATGAAAGTTGGCCCAGGTCCTTGGGCCCCTGAACAGAGAGCATGATGGAGTTTCAGGCTGGCTCCTGCTGGCCCAACCCTTGCCAATGCAATCACTAAGCAGTAAACCAGCAAATGGAAAATCTGTCTCTCCTTTTCTGCAAACTCTTTCAAATAAATAAATAAATACTTTAAATGAGGATAATAATGAACTTTTTGCTAAGGGGTGTGGACTAGGGTGGGCACAAGCTTTCTAGGGCTCTGCAACTCTCCTGCACAATCTGGCTTTGGTGGCCCACTCACTCTCACTGTACATAGTGCATCTATTTCTCATTGAATCATGTCTCAGGTGGTGCATATCTGATAGAAGGTTTTGGGTGAGACAGACATATGGGATAACAAGACCTTCTCCTTGGTCATGTCCAGGAGGCCAATGGAGTACCGTTCACAGTTCAGGTACATTCTCACTGTATAGAGCGCTTTGTGAAACTGTCGTTCTACATCCGTGAGCTCCTCGAATACCTTATTGGCTGACCACATGAGGATCTGAAAACCAGGATTGAAAACATTAGAACACAGAGTGTTATCTATAGGGAGATAGAACATTGGCCAAAAAAAGATAGGAAGCATATGAAATAAATGTGTACACATCACTACACATGCAATCTGGTTTTGAACATGCATGTATCCATCCACTACCCAGATTCTCAAGGGTGCTGATGAGAAGACCTATGCAAAGCTATGAGTCTGTGGGAGGAAAAAGCCCCAAATTGTTTCCCATCTCTGAACGTTTGGAATGTAAAGGATGTCCAAAATGAGGGTGCAGAAGCAGACCATTGGCCAAAGGGTCCAGTGTTGGTGGCCTACTGGCTTCCACTGACCCTCACGGGGAAAAGCTGCATGACTCCTTCACATATCCTAAGCTAGTCACACATGACCCAGCCCATTCAGACAGAATGCAAAGGGCTGGGGGAAACACTCTTTGACTTCTGCACTGATGAAAAAATAGGTTCTCAGCGGTACAGACTACAGTATTCTGGCTATGAATGCTATTCTCAGAGGTGTGATTTGCTCATCACATGGACAGCTTTTTCCTTATCCAGAAATTGCTAAGAGCTTTACATAAGAGCTAATGACCAGTTAATAGTTATGCCAACCATGTGATGTAGGCACCATCATCATCATCATTTCATAGAGGGAAAAAATAAGGCTACCCAGGATGTAGAGTGCAGAAAACCAAGGGAGTTACACACACTGATGCAGAATGGGGAGGAGGAAGAAGGGATACTACGAGGGAACACCAGCACTAAATCTTGGACCCTGGTCCATGTGGCTTACTCACTAGGGCTGGGAGGCAGTCTGAGTTTGTTCCCTCTGGGTCACTTTGTCAGGATAGGATGACATCACCCTCCCCTTACCTGGCTTCTCCTGGATTCAATGTTGTAGAGGTAGTTGGTATGATGAAGCTTTAGGATGACAGAAACAAAATTGATGTACTTGGAAAAGACCTACAGATGGCAGAAAGGAAAATAATTATGCCTTTCCCTTAGTTGTAAAACAAACACATTTCCTGGGCCTGTGATGGAATGCTCAGGGTTAGCTTTACCTCTTCATCCTGCTTGGAAAATTCAGGTGCATTTACTTTGTTCACTGCCATAACCACACCAAGAACTTCCTTGCCCATCACAATCGGAGTTGCCAGCAGGTTCCTAGTAACATATCCAGTTTGTTTGTCCATGAAGTCAGAAAAATGACTGTTCTGAAGAAAAAGTGGCATAGAATCAGGGAACAATAGATGTAGAAATGGGGACAGATTATTTTCTAATCCAAATCATATCAGCAGGTAACTAGGGCCCTAGTGCAAGGGTTATATTTCCATACCGCCCACCATTATGAAGTTGCATGGAATAGCATTTCTCATGTGAGCTATGGTCCATCTAGCTTAGGTTGATGAATCAAGTGGATAGAAGTGATGTCATGGCCAGGTACAAAGTGAGATGTTTAAAGGAAGGGTGGGGAAGAAACAGGGCTATAATGGACAAAAGGTGTGTGAGGGAAGGAACAAGCAGAGACCATATAGTCCAAAGAGCTCCTATCTTTAACTACAAAAGAAAATATGCATGTGCTACTGGTCATCTACACATCCCAATGCAATGAAAATTATTTTTCTTGCCAAACTCCTAACTCACCAATGTGAGATCAGCCTTAACTGCTTGATATGCCTCTTTCATGTCCTTCTGTTGGTTTAGGCCAGATTTTTAGTTTTTCTAGATGCAGAGACCTTTTCTCATTTTATATGATACTTTGCTCACTTACCTGTCTCTGTCCTTCTCTTCAGACCGATGGCTATGGATGAGAACCTACCTCTTACATTCCCACATCTGCTCCACACTGAGTGCTCTGCGACCCACACAAATCTCTGCTCATTCAGCTGTCTATAGTTCTCCCCTTGACAAAGGGTAGAACCTTAATCATCATTCCTTAGCCTTCATTTCATATGACGGCATCCCCAAAGTATAGATCTCTTTTCCTTGATCCACCGGTATGAGCAATTCTTATTTACATAGATTAGTTTTATAAAAGGTTGAAATTCTTACTGAGCTGGTGTGAGAGGACCACCTTTTGCCAGCATCAGATATTTTCTTGAAGACTTATTTTACTAATTTAAGGCAGAGTGAGAGACGGACAGACAGATCCTAGAAATGGGACCTTTCTCAAAGAAACTGTGATGCTACGGGAGCCAAGCGCAACCCCTCATACCAGCTCTCCCCCCTATCTTTGCCAAACTAAAAACTAGATCCTTCTCAGGCAGCCTCATGCAATGGTAAAAAAAAAAAAAAAAAAAAACCATCCTGGACTCACACTCTTCCTGGGTTACAGCCAGGCCTGGTGCACTAACATGTGGCCCTGGGTGTGTTCCTTATCTTCAGTATCCTCATCTTCTAACCTTAAAACAGGCAGCAGGAGGCTATCTCCTACAGTGTAGAGCTCCTGCTGCGAGGAAAGGCCAGCATGGTGAGGGAAGAGCATTTAGGGAAGTGACAGTGGGCATGCTCAGGAAGGATCAGCAAGAGAAGCCCAAGGTGGGTTTAGCCCCATCGAAGTAAAAGCAGCTTTGTTGCATGACTCGCATTTTCCTCTGCATTCTAATGTTTCTAAACATTTCCCATCACCGAATAAGTGAGATGCCCTTAGCCAGATGCAGGCCCCCTGTGCACGTTTCCCTCGAGGCCCAACACTCACCCCCCTGCCACCAATGGAGGTATTTCTTTTCCAACTACAATCTATTACTTCTGCTTCTTGCAGCATCTTGACCCTTAGGATAGAATGCCTCTAGAATCTTCAGATGTTTTCTCAAGAATTCACAGTGCTTGGGCCACTGATTCCATTTTTTTTCCTGTCAGGCACTGCAGCTTGGGAGGAGTCACCTCCATCCACAGGAATCCAGAAACAGGCACCATGGTGTGAGGTCGGGCAGCATTGTTTTCCAAACACATTTCTCTCAGCACCTGCAACACTTGGTGCCATTTGATTCTGGATTCTAAACATACAAACATGTCCTTAAGGTCAGTGGGATATTTTGAGAAAATGATTTTAAGTTTCAAAATTAAATATTTGTGGGCAGGGGTTTGGTGTAGGAGCTAATATGCCACTTCAGGCAACTGCATTCCACATTGAGGTGCTGGGTTGGAGTCCCAGCTCTATCCCAATTACAGCTTTCTGCTAATGCCCACCTTGGGAGGCAGCAGGTAACAGAGCAAGCTGTGGGGGCCTTGGCACCCGTATGAGAGACCCAGATTAGGCTTCTGGTTTTGACTTGACTGTGGATCTTTGGCAGAATGAACCAGATGACAGAAGACCTCTCCCCTTCTTTCTGTTGCTCCATCACTTAAATAAGTAAGCCTTTCATTACAAATAAAGATACTCATGGAGCCAGGACTGTCGTATAGTAGATTAAGTTTCTACCTGTGATGCATCAGCATCCCATATGGGTGCTGATTTGAGTCCAGGCTGCTTCACTTCAAGTTTCCTGTTAATATGCTTAGGAAAGAATGAAGGGTGATCAAAGTCCTTGGGTCACCGCCCCCATGTGGGAGACCTGGAAGAAACTCCAGGCTCCTGACTTCAGACCAGCCCAGCTCCAGCTGTTGTGGCCATTTGGAGAGTGAATCAGCAGATGGAAGATCTGTCCTTCTCTGTAAACCTGCCTTTCAAATAAATCGATCTTTTTAAAAAGTAAAAAAGCCTTGTTCATAACTTTAATACTTGCTTACTGAGGTTTCTGAAAGCCCCGGATAAACCATTCCATAGATTCCTAGGTAGGAAGATGAGGCCTTCTAGATTTTCCCACTAGCTGAAACAGACCTCAGTGCAGCTTCTCTAAGTAAATCCCCTGCTTTTCCAACTCCCAAACTCCCTTGGTGGCTGTCTCCAGAGAAGCCCCTGAAAGTCCCTGGAGAAGACTGCTCAGGGCGGGCAGGAGCCTGCTCCCTGCTGATCTGAAATCCCACAAGTCTTGGGGATCAGAGAAGAGCCAGGTGGAAGGAAGGGGTGCTCTAGGCACCGGTTAATTATTGAAAGCCTCAACCTTCTCCCTTGGCTTTCTCAGAACCTATCATCAGAACCAGGGCCACCCAGTTAATGAACAGCTTTCCCCAGCAGAAGAAGGAACAATTAACTTCAAGGGACATTTGTGCTGCCTGTTGTCACTGTTTTCCAGCCTTTAGCATAATAGCTCGACTCTGTCTGCCTCCTGCCGTGTCCAGCGTCCAAGCTGGAACATCAGCTGCACCTTAGCAAAGCCATCCCATGTTGAGCAACTGTGGTGAGGCAGGCCCTTAATTTCATTTAGTCTGTGTCCTGGCTTTTCTCCATGTTCCAGATGCAGAAAATCAACACAGCCCCCTGTTACTAAGCCTCAGACCCAGACCCTGACCCAGTGCGGTGTGGCTGAAGCAAAAGCCCTCGTCCCACTCTATGTGACTCCCCATCACCACATTCACAGGCCCCCACCGTTGGGAATATGCAGCTGACTCTGCCCTGGTGAAGAAGTCCTTTCCTCGCCTGTGCCAACACTGCTTTCCAGAAAACAGGCAAGGGTGCTTAGTTGTCTGGGAGGGCGAAAGGGAGTCCTGGCAGATCCAGGTGGCACTGTGGTTAAGCTGCCACGTGGCAGGCGCATATTCCATATTGGGGTGCTGGGTTCAAGCCTTGGCTCCATTTCCAATGCATATTCTTGCTAATGTGTACCCTAGAACGCGGCAGGCAGCTCAGTAATTAGGTTCTTGCCATCCATGTGGGAGACATGGATGGAGTTCCAGGTTCCTGGCTTCAGTCTGGCCCAGCCCTAGCTGTTGTAAACATTTGAGCAGTAAAACAGTGGATGGAAAATCTGTCTGCCTTTCAAATTAAAAAACAAAAAAAAACCTTGTTTTTAAAAGATCCAGTTCTCATCCCGGGCCAGCCACATCCTGCCTACATAACCTTAAGCAGGGTCCTGCTCAAGAGGGAACAAAACTGTGACTCCTGCCTTCTGTTCCAGGTCTTTAGCAGAACCAAATAAGATTATGAATGAGAGAATATTTAGCCAATCCCAAGAAAATGAAAAGGTGAAGAATGGATCAGAAATTTCAGCGGAAACGTTAGTTTCTACCTCCTGGCTTGGTGCAGACCACAGCAAAGCTGTGGGAGACAGGGAGGTGCGTGGGGTCAGCAGGAAAGCCCTGTAAGGCCTTGATCCTATTGCAGCCTATCCTACTCATTGCCAGGTGGAGACAGAGCAGAAGACACCACGACCGTCTGTCCGCCCTTGCACAGAGCAGTGCTGGACTCACCAGGCCTTATCCATCTTTACGGGCCAGTAGCTGTTTTGAAAATCACATTTCCCACCCCTTCGGGCCACAGGAGGCTCTTGCCCCCATCCCTGGAAGCTCTTAATCCTGATTGCATATGGGAATCACCCGCAACTTTTACAAAAGCACTGAACCCGTGGTGTCCCAATCTCAAGGAGTGAGGTGGAACTGGCCAATTGAGAGCACAGCAGACATGAGTTTTAAAGCAACTACCAGTCAGCCAGAGTCGGATAGAACCCAGTAGAGGCCTTGGCCTCTCCTCGGAGCTCAGGAGGGCCTCTGTCTTCCACACATGCTTCTCTGTCCCACCACAAGGCCAGGAGTCCTCTTTAGGGGCCGCTCAGAATGAATCTTCCCCTCGGATCCCACCAGGTGGAATCCATTTTCCCACTCAAGCAGCTTCATTCTGTGATTTTTCTCCTCTACAAAAATAATTAGCATCATGAACTCTTTTTTAAGACAGTATTATTACTATTTTGGAAAGTCAGATACACAGAGAGGAGAGACATAGAGGAAGATCTCTCGTCCATGTTGATTCACTCCCCAAGCGGCCACAACCACTAATGCTGATCTGATCTGAAGCTAGGAGCCCAGAGCTTCTTCCGGGTCTCCCACGCTGGTGCAGAGTCCCAAGGCTTTGGGCCATCCTCAACTGCTTTCCCAGGCCACAAGCAGTGAGCTGGATGGGAAGTGGGGTTGCCAGGATTAGAACCGGCGCCCATATAAGATACAGGTGCGTGCAAGATGAGATCTTTCGCCACTAGTCTACTGCGCTGGGTCTACCTCATGAACTCTTACGCAGGTTATTTTTTCCTATCTTTTCCTTCAAACATTTTCCATAAAAAAATCTTGTCCTTTTTCTTAAGGTTGATATTCTAGTCGTTTTAAAAATAGTCTGTATTGAGGCCATCAAGAGAAAATTTCAGAGCCTTCCAGCTGGGGGCCAAGAGTTTTGCCGGAAGGGTAAGCAGCATCAGTTCAGCACCTGAAGCAGCTGCGGCCTTAAAGGCAAACCTAAAGGACAAGGAGCGCCCCCACAGCAACCCTTGCACCCACGGGGTGTCCTGCAACTATTTGTCAAGTGTTAACTGATGTTTGACAGCTTTGGCACCTGCAGGGTCTGAGTGAGCCCCCTCCTGTAATCAGCTTTAGGAGGCATTTAGGAGATTATCTTGCTGCCTCTCCAAGTGCCCCTGCTCCCAAGATCACCACAGATTCCTGCTCAGAAAGCCGGTGAGCAACCACTCCCATCCCCCTCTGGTCCCTCACAGCCCAGCTCGCCCTGTTGTTAGCAGTAAATCGCACTGCTGAGACGTGTACAGAGTACAGGGCTGCCAGGAGAAACTGGCTGCTACTCCCGGCTGTTGTGAAGTGGAGTGGTTATCAGTGAATCATCCATCTTTTTTGTTTATTTGCATCTTACAGTCTTTCTAAAAGTGCGTGTGCATTCTCATGATTAAGAAGGAAAATTGAGGCCTGGCGTGGTAGCCTAGTGGCTAAAGTCTTCTCCTTGAGCATGCCAGGATCCCATATGGGCGCCGGTTCTAATCCTGGCAACCCCACTTCCCACCCAGCTCCCTGCTTGTGGCCTGGAGAGCAGCAGTTGAGGATGGCCCACTTGGGACCCTGCACCCATGTGGGAGAACCTGGAAGAAGCTCCTGGCTTCGGATCAGCTCAGCTACAGTCATTGTAGCCACTGGAGGAATAATCAACACGAATGGAAGATCTTTCTGTTTCTCTTCATCTCTATATATCTGAATTTCCAATAAAAATAAATAAATGAATATTAAAAAAAAAGAAGGAAGAGTTAACTCTTCTGCTCCTAAAAAGGGTGATGCTTTATACTGAGGCAGTGTGCTCCTAGTTTCTGGAAAGGTCTGAGTGTCCCATTTACATCACTGGAATTCCTTCCTGAGAAATCTGCATTATGGACGTGTGGGGCAGTTAGTCACCCTTAGCCATCACCCAGATCCACATCTGTAACTGCCCAAATTAAAAATACCTAAACCTTCAGATGAGATAATCTTGCTTTCTTTTTTTGCACATCTGATTGGTAGATGATGTACATTAATTTGTGAGTCAGACTGTCCCCCGAGAACCCCAAATCTCCAGGGGAGCGGGCTTGGGAGGCCTGGCGAGCAAATCATAAGTCCTGGCAGTGAGCGGGTTAGCTGAGCTCCTCTGGGGGTGACTTGTTTGATAAGTTTCTTCAGAAGACAAGTCCTCAGAACCATGAGGGGGTGTGGCATGCACCAGGCTCTGGCAAGACCACCTGACAAAATGCCCAACATTCCATGGGACATACTTATACTTAAAAGTGGGGCGGGGCAGTGGACTTTGCATTGTGGTGTGTGGTTAAAGCCGCTGCTGTACCCACATCCCATTAGGGCACTGGCTCAAGTCCAAGCTGCGTCATTTCTGCACTTGATCTTAGCCAAAAGGCCGAGAAGCGATGCTGTGTCATTTCTGATCAAGCTTTCTAAAGCACCTGGGAAAGCAACAGAAGATGGACCAAGTGCTTGGGCCACCGCACCCACTTTGGAGATCCACAAGAAGCTCCTAGCTCCTGGCTTCAGCCTGGCCCAGCCCCGGCTGTTCTGGCCATTTGGGGAATGAACCAGAAGATAGAAGATCTCTCTCTCTCTCAAACACAATCATTTTGCCTTTCAACTAGGTAATCATAAAAAAAAAAAAAGTTTATCTGAAATTCAAGTTTAACTGAACACCTTGTATTTTTTTTTTTCTGAAGGTAGTAATGCTAAGCCTGGGTAATTTTCTTCCCCCATGCATCTCTGTCCCATTGGATCCTCACGGACCACACTCCCTCCCATTACAAAGTCACCTACCTTTTTCACATCTGGAACATTAAGGGTTTTCTTCGTGTGAGCAACCCAACCTACAATCCCGATGTCCAGTGGGAACACAACCTCTCTCTCAGGCACTACCAGGTTGTCCTCAAACTTGGAGGTGGCAGTCACATCAAGCAGCCGGGAGGCTACCTCCGATGTGCCATTGCGGGCTCGGCACATGAACAAGCTGCAGCGCTCGGCCTGCAGCAGCTGGGCCAGCCTCTGCAGGGCCCGGTGGGCTGCCTGCTCCACGCTGCTTGCCTCCTCCTGCACGCTCAGCAGCAGCTCCAGACACACGGCTGCCTCTTCCACCTGTGTCAGCTCAGCAAATGACATGCTGGTCCGGACTGGAGCCTGGCTGTTCTTGAAGATTTCACCCAGTGCCTCTGCCCGCAGCCTCTTATCAAAGTACTCCTTGGCAAACTGTGGGTTCTGCTCCAGGTATTTCTCCACGGCGTCTTGGCTGAGGTCACCCATGATGTGGTTTGCTGTGCTGCAGCAGCTGGTCAAAAAGCAAGATCTTCAGAGCGACACCTGAGGCTGAGAGCCAAGAAGCAAACACATCTTGGTGAAAATGTCAGAGAAAACCCTAGGGGTACTTCCTCAGGACCCCCAGAAGTAGAGTGGAGCCTACCAGCCCTGTAACTCCTGGGACGTGACAGAAGGCCTCGGCTTAGGGTGGGATTCAGGAAGCAGAGGATTAAGGAATTCAAGAGGACACCAAATCCCCGAGCATTATTAGCTCCTAAGTCCTCAGAGAATCTTTGGGGCATCTGAGATCAGCCAGGCAAGTGTCAAGTCCAAGTGTCTGTTCCAGATAAAGGACTGACTGTCAGCCACTGGTCCCAGCAACCAAGAGTCGTGGACACATCTGTTGAGTACACTGCCTCAGCAAGAACTGGCAACTGGAATTGCTCTTGCAGGATAGGTATATAAAGCGGCACTATTCGGAGATCAGAACGCCTGGGCTTCCCCCTCCCTCACCCAGCATTTGTTTATACAGCAGCTCTAACAAGCATTTGGGGAGAGTTGGGAGTCACACAAACACAGCAGAAATCAATCTGACCACCCAGGTTTTAGCTAAGAACTAATTCTTTCTCTAAAATCCTCACCACCCAACTCCCCTCACTTCAGAAAGCTTGGCCTTGGAAGCATTTTTATTTAAATTTTCGTAAAAGATTTATTTACTCATTTGGAAGTCAGCTACGAAGAGAGAGAAAGACAATCTTCCATCTATTGGTTCACTCCCCTGATGGCCTCAACAGCCAAAACCTGCCAGCTGAAACCAGGAGCCACGAGGTTCATCTGGGCTTCCCACACGTGTGGCAGGGGCCCAAATATTTACGGCCATCTTCCACTGCTTTCCCAGAACATTAGAAGGGAGATGGAAAGGAAGTGGAGCAGCTGGGACATGAATCAGCATCTATGTAGGACACCAACGTAGCAGGTGACGGCTGCTTTACCCGCTACACCACAATGCCAGTCCCGAAAGCATTTTTAAAGGAATATATCTCGGGCTTACTACTTGAGAGGCAAACACTGAAAACCCCTTGCCTATGACCCAGGCAACCAACTGAACCTTGACCCTTGTAAGGAGACATAATTACAAGGGCAGCCCATGTAGTTGCTAACTGGGTTTTCCTGCTAAGCATATTAATTTAGATTTTGTTTTCAATAGTAGTAGCCAGACATCATGCATTTTTGTTCTAAGATATGGTCAATTAAATCCCCTGGATAACAGCTGCTTTGGCCGTTGCTAGGATTCCTAACATCTCAGGGCTACCGGCATGGAAAGAACACTTGCTACTGTTTAGTTTTGCTTCATATTCAGTTTATTAAGCTTTTACTTCTGATTAAGCAGATTTCCCCCCAAATATTTAAACACCATTAAGTAACTAATAAATCAAACTACACATTTCATGAATCAATTGCCTTGAATATTTAAAGGCTGATTTCAAACTTAATAAACATCTTTTTAAGATTTTAAGAAAGCTCCCACCTAATAAGACAAATTCTCCTAAATGAAAACACACAACGTGTGATAGTGACTCTGAAACACTGTTATAGCCTCATGTAAGTTCACCTGGAAATTAGCAACCCCATGTGTTTCACTTAACTTTCTTAACTAGAAGTTTTGCCTCAGCGTAGATTCTGGGCAGGTCCAGTCTCAGCTACTCATCTTCTAATTCAGCTTCCTCTCAATGTACCTGGGAAGGCCACAGAAGATGGTTTAAAGTCTTGGGTCTCCTTCTACCTGCAGGAGAAATGCAGGTGCAGTTCCTGGCTTCTGCTGGCCCACTCCTGGCTATTGTGGACCTTCGGGGAGACAACCAGAAGTGGAAGAGCTTTCTTTCTTTCATATTGACCATTTAAGCAGATTAAAATAAGCATTTTACTTAAAAAATAAGCTTTACCTTGCTAGGATAATCTTATTAGTTGCAAAAGAAAAAGGAACGCATTGGGGTTCCTGATCGTGAATGGAGGGATTCTTGGTCACATGATGGGTTGGGAAACAGACCTTAAAATGACGTTGGCTGAGCTATGCCAGTTCTTACAGAAGAGGCTCACTGTAATCTCTTTTCTTGTACCTCCCCATGTCACAACCCAGGCTGGTCCTCTCCAAACAACGACTAGCTTCAAATCATCCTATCAGTGTCTCTTTATGGTTAGGACACACCAGAGGTGTATCTCAAAGAACAATGCGTTAACTCAATCAGGTCACCCCTCCTATCAGATTAGTGTGCTGGAAATTCTGGACACTGTTTTCCAAGTTGTTCCTCTGTGTGACCACAGTGCAGTCCCCATCTCTCTCAGAAGCTTGCAATGTATTCACAACCCCTTTTCCACTCTCTCCTCTTTAATGGAAAAACATATACTGATGTTTCCACATATGGAAACCCGGTTGGGAAAACACATGCCTGTATATGTCATTTTCCTACTTAGAAGAATGCAAATAATTTTGAAAAATAAGCATTCTTTCATTTTTATAATGATATTCTCTGCTTGCTCATTCTTACCACATGCATCCATCGACTGTTCATTAGAGGGAAGGCACTGTTCTGCTATGTGGTAGAGACTGTATCTTTCCCTATAGGAGTCTTCTCTCCGTGGTCATTGGGAAGGTCACCCTGCTGTGCTTCCTCCTCTGGGGGAGTCATGAGGCTAATTATGGCCAATGGGTTGTGGCAGAACGGCTGCTCTCAGGAACAATTAATAGCCAGTGTGGAACTCTCAGCTCTGCTTCCCCTGCTGCCCCATCAGTTTCAGAAGGCAGGTCTCTTGGATCCCACGGTGGTTGTGTAGAAGACAAGCATGGAAAAAAAAAAAAGACAAGCATGATTTTTGATCAGCAGACAACATTTTGCAAGTGTCTGCCAACTCAAACTCTTCTGCTACAGCTCAAACTGTTACCTGTATGTTTCTACCGGCATGCATGCTAAGCAGAAATTCACTGGTTTCCTGCCTGATCACACTGAGACCCTAACATATTTCACATAGTTCTTAAAAAATCTTATGAAGTAGGTATTATTATCATTTATATTTCACAAGTTAGAGCTTGAAACACTGAGAGATTATCTTGCCCAAAGTGATACAATGAGAATAATCTACCTTAAAACTACCTTCTGGGATGACTAAATTAAGAGATAGATGAGACATCATACCAACCACCATTGGGGAATATGCAAAGATTCTTTTTAAAGAAATTTAAAGTGCCATGAATATCATGATGTACATAAAATACCATTAAATCTTAAATAGAAATACAATTATTAAATAAAACCACCAGGCAATTCTTCTTTAAAAAAAAAAAAACCTTACAAATGTAGCAGAGAATAGGACAATTTCCTTAAACTTTCTGTTTCACAAACTGACATTTTTCAATGGTGTTCTATAAAAATGTCATATTTAATTTCACCATTGCCAACATTTTCCAGTGTAAAGATTTCTACTAAAGCTGACATGCATACAGTAGCCAAAAAATATGTATATGACATTGAACCACCAACATGAGGGCTAATAGTACTTCAGTTCATCCTACCGAACCCATCCCTCAGCACCACCTTGCCATTCTTGGTTCCTACCACTGATACGACACCACAAGGCATTGAGTTCAGAAACTCCCAACTACAAACAATCCTTTCCTGTGTCCACTGGCTCTCACAAGAGCTCTCTGCCTTCACCTAGCAGGACAAGTTACCTAAGAGAATTCAGTTGAGGGATCTCACACTGTTTTCCAACTAATTTGATGACATTAACTTGCAACCACTGAAAAAAATTAGTTTGACGCTTACTGTTAGAACATGAATGTAAATGTCATTTTGTCCAAAATGGAGCTGGTTGGAAATGCTTTTTTTTTTTTTTTGAAGGCAAGATCATAAGTATCTGTAGTTCTTTGTTCAACTATGGTTGAAATATTCTTCAACATTTTCTAGGAGTTACTGATTTGTTGGCTTCTGTTAGTGTGAAGGTAACGTTAACTTCTATTATACACAATGCCTCCAATTTCAGTAGTTTCATTCAGTAGCAGTTCATTTCTCATGCACATAAACTCATTGTGTGTCGGAGGCCAACGCTGCTGGTGTAAGCTCCACCAGGAGCAGTCAAGAGAACCCAGGAGATAGCAGGGTGATTGAACAGACAGCTTTTAGGTGCTCTGAGAGTGACACAAGGCACACCTCAATGACTAGAACTTAGGTTTGTCCCCAAGGAGCTTCAAGAAGGAGGTGGCAGAAGTAGGGGCGGCACAAGGACTTCCCAACCCATATGCCATGGGAGGGCAGTGCAAATTTTTTGGTGAAAGACAAGTAGCCACATCTGGTATATGTGCTTAAAACTGAGACATTATTTATCGAAAAGGCTGACATTTGACTTGATAGTTTAAAATACGAAAGCACTTCAGAAAGATCACAGAAAATGGAATGAAGACATGCTTATTCTGATTCAAAAGGTTTTCACATCATGCATGATTTTTTCATATCATGCATTTCCATGAACTTTTTGAAGCTCCTAGGCAAATGTTTTTCTGATACTTAAGTGATTAATTTTAGTGAAATTAAATCAATATCTATTGATATATGCAATTGATATCTATTGATATCCACTATATGCAATTCGCTTGATACATTTTCAAGAAGATTGGGTAAGGGACCCATCCACCATGGTGACTGAACCACGGTGCGCTTTTCCAGGAAGCATGGCAAGGTGATGACCTTTTATTTCTCTTACATACCGCCTGTGGATGTAATTTAAGCATAATTTTACTTATGGAAAGAGAATCAATAAAAATGTAAAAAAAATAATTGAAACATGTAAAGAAACATTTAAAAATTTATTTGAGATGCAGAAATAGAGATCCCATCTGCTGGCTCACTTCCTAAATGCTGGCAACAGCTGCATTTGGGCTAGGGTGAAGCCAGAAGCTGGGGACTCGACGCAGATACTCCACACGCTCAGCCGGGCCCCAATCCTGGCTCTGCACTGGTGGGAAGCTGGAGTCAGCAGGAAGAACTGGAGATCAAACCCATGTGCTTGAAGAGGGGCAAGGTCATTTTAACCATCTGGCCAACTGGCAGCTTGCCTTGTTTCCTGAACAAATGTTTTCACTGCAGAAAGTTCGAAAAATATAAAAAGGTACAAAGAAAAATCAACTTTGAATGTCCCTAATCTTATCACACAGAGGTTATCACTGTAAGAGGTATAAATACATACTTTGAAAAGTTATTTTATGAAAATAAATTTGAAATCATCAAAGTTAAAACCATCTGTTGACCTGAATTCCCATGTTGGTCATCATGAAGAAATTTGCGTGAGAGCGCCAAAATAAACTGTTTTTCTGTGCTGGCATCTGGAACACAAGGGTCATGATGATTGAGAGAAAAAGAGAGAGAGAAAGGGCAGGGGAGGAACAGTTACACTAATTTGTAACCACTTAACAACAAAGAAAATGAAAACATGTTGCTGTAAAAACAATTATCAAAAAATGCACTGAAATCCCCTATACTGGCTCAACATACAAGGTGCACAAGGTCCACCAGAATGTATTCTAGGAGAAATGGGCCAAAGGCCGAAGGAGCGTTACAACTTCCTGACATGATGGCTCATGCAGCATAAGCCAGGAGCTCTTCATTTCTGTATGAGTGCGAGCAAAAACTGGAAGAGGGGGCCTTGGGAAGATGGAGAGAGGACCAAAGCACTGGACAGAAGCCATGGCCCTCTGCCACGGGCTGCACTGACACATACCACACAGATGGCCACGATGATCTTGTGGGAGGGGCTCTGGGAGGACAATCTACCTCCTCCCTTGTATCCACATCTGCGGAGTCACAGGTTAATCAAAACTATCCCAAGAAAAAGCATTCCAGAGAGTTCCAAAAAGCACATCTTAGATTTGCTGTGCACCCAGCACTCTGCTGCATCCAAGTAAATGAATACTGCGAAGGCTCACCCTGCTGGGGTCCCCTGGGTCCTCAGAGGCCCCCCTCTCTGCAGCCCACACTGGAACACTCAACACTTCCCATCTTGCTCCTGTACCACATAGCCACCCTCAGAATGGTTGTATCTCTTTTGAACATGTACTGAGTTTTCTTCCATGTCATTTTTCTCTAAACAATGTAGTAAACAACTATTTACGTAGTATTCATGCTGGCTAGGTATTCCATAGACTCTAGGTAAACATTAAGCATTTTTTATATAAGGTGTTCCCTGGAACTAATCCCCTCAGCCACAGAGGAATGACTGTATGCATTCCTTGACTAAACAGGCATATCCAGAAGCTTCAACAAGTTCGCTGGCCAGAAACAGCCTTTGCTTAAAAAACTCGGGGTAGCAAGCAGTTAAGCACAGTGTTGGCACCCCAAGGAGGGAGGGACTCAAACTGGAGCGGGGGTGAAGGGGGGAGAGAAAGGATGCAGAGAACCAAGCAAGCAGCTGTCCAGATGGCTGTGGGAAGCTGAAAGAAGCCACAGGGTTCTTCTCAGGGACCAGAAGTAGCACCCAGGTACGAGACAAAGGGCTGAGCTAGGAACCAGCATGCTCCGGGTCTCTGGGTACCGAAGCACCTTCCCCTTCATCCCTGCATCCCTGACTTCAGGCTTCCAACCGACACTGGCCGGAAGGAACTTAAAGAAAAGATTGTCCCTTAGGCCTGGCATGGTAGCCTAGTGGCTTAAGTCCTCCCCTTGCATGGGACCCATATGGGGATCCCATATGGGGCTCCCATATGGGTGCCGGTTCTTGTCCCAGCTGCTCAACTTCCCTTCCATCTCCCTACTTGTGGCCTGGGAAAGCAGTGGATGACAGCCCAAGACCTTGGGAGCCTGCATCCACATGGCAGACCAGGAAGAAGCTCCTGCCTCCTGGCTTCAGATCGGCTCAGCTCCAGCCATTGTGGCTACTTGGAGAATAAATCAGCGGGTGGAAGATCTTTGCCTCTCCTTCTCTCTGTAAATCTAACTTTCCGATAATAAATAAAAAATTAAAAGTCTTCCTTGGGCATATTACTAAGAAAAGTTCCCTTTTCATCAAAAGCTGTCTGTTCTACCTATCGGACAAGCGGAATTCTTTCAAAGAGAAAAAAAGTTCTGGTGAATGTCGGGTGCCATTATCTGGGTGAAACCTCTTGTGACCGTCATGCCCCTTGCCTTGATCCATGAGGTCACAGAATTCGTCCCTTTGTCTCCCTGGTCCATAGCGCAACTCACCTTATTTGTTCTGAAAACAAAACTCAATTGCAATGCATCCATGAAAGAAAGGCGCATGCAACCGTCAGTAGCTGCGCGTCACTGCGGCTTAAGGCCAGCGTAGCAACTAAGAAGTCAACTGCAGAAGGCTGCCGAAGCATTTCCGCTGCTGACCAGAATATTCCACAGAATATTCGACAGGGAGGGCGTTTCATATTGGAACTAAACAAACACTGACGCCGAGGGCTCGGCGACTCTCCTAAAAGTGTGTAAAATGCTTCCTTTATAAAATGAAAAAATTACTCGGTCAAACTCTTTCCCAACTCTGCTCAACAGATCCTCTGAGAGCAGAGGAGGGACCCATCTGGACGTGCCAGCCCTGGGCACTAACGCACCAGGCCTTCCTGGTGCGCTGTGGCCACCAGCCAACCGTGCTGTGTGTCTTCCCGCCAGGCTCATTCAGGCCACGAGCCAACGTCCCGGCCCCTGAGGCCACGCCAGGCCGCAGCTGGCGGCCACTGGCACGAGGGCCGGCACCCGGGCCAGGACTGGGCCCTGCACTGCCCATTGCCGCGGGCTGCAGGGGTTGGCTGGGCCGCCGAGGCCACCCTGAGCGCCGGCTGCCGAGAGCCCCCGGGGCGGCCCTGGAGGTGCAGACGCCCGGGCGGCGGTGAGTCAGGCCGCGTTATGCAAGGGCTGGCCGGCCGGGCCGCCCCGGCACCTCCCCTTCGGTCTTTCACCCCAGCGCGGTTACGAAAGCGCGACCCCCTCCCCCCGGAGCTATAAAGCTGCCCGGCGGCCCCGCGGCGCTTGCCTCCCTCGCTCCACGCGCGCCCGCACGCGGCGGCCAGGCTTGCGCGCGTCTCCCCGTGGTGAGACGGGACGGTCCCCGGGCGGAACGGGACGAGACAGGGCGGCCCGGGGACGGGCGGACGGGCTGGGGGGCCCCGGCTGCGCGGCGCTCACGGCTGCGGCGGCCACACGCCGCCTTTCCCCACAGGACGGACTCCTGGGCAAGATGGAGTGGGTGTGGGCGCTCGTGCTGCTGGCGGCGCTGGGCAGCGGCCAAGCGGAGCGCGACTGCCGGGTGAGCACCTTCCGAGTCAAGGAGAACTTCGACAAGGCTCGTGTAGGTATCGGCCCCGCCGGGGCTCAACAGGCTCCATCCTCGCCTCGTCGCCCACTGGGCTCGCTCAGACGCCAACCCCCCCCCCCCCCAGCCCCCTCGAACGCATCCTTTTTGCAGTTCGCAGGCACCTGGTACGCCATGGCCAAGAAGGACCCCGAGGGTCTCTTTCTGCAGGACAACATCGTCGCCGAGTTCTCCGTGGACGAGAACGGCCACATGAGCGCCACAGCCAAGGGCCGAGTCCGGCTTCTGAAGTCAGTGGGGGCGTCTGGGCGGCACCAAGCATGCGCTCCAGCCTGCCCGGCGGCGCAAGCCCCAGACCCCGGCTGGGGAGGGAAGGCGGCCCCCGGGGTTGGGGTTAAGCCTTTTGCCTGGCTGGGCTTGGCTCAGGGTTCCTTTGACCTTTGCAGTAACTGGGACGTGTGCGCGGACATGGTGGGCACCTTCACAGACACCGAAGACCCTGCGAAGTTCAAGATGAAGTACTGGGGTGTGGCCTCCTTTCTCCAGAGAGGAAGTGAGTAGGAAGTAGGGGGTCGGGCTCCAGCCTCCTGGAATGCCCAAGGATGGGGAGGCACACCTTACGGAGAGGGCCTGGGCTGCTGTTCCAGGAGCTCCTGCGGGGAGATCTGCAAGTGGCTAGATAAGCAGAGGTACTGGAGATTAGGACCGTGAGATTGGGAGGGGCTGGTCATCCTCTCCTGATGGAGAAACCTGGTCCAAATTCAGCTCCAAGTTTTTCCCTCCTGCATCCTTACATCCCACACCACTCCATTTAGGTCAGCCTGCCCTCCATTTCCATGAACCGAACCACCTGTGAGCCCGCAGAGGCTGAGAACTCCTCCCCTCCAGTCACAGATGGAGGAGGTCTTGGTTGTGCACTCCGGGTGTGCTGCCTCTCCATGCCAAGGTTCTGGGTGGCAGAGGGCTCCTTCTTTTCCCCCTAATGCTGAAACTCAGACGTGGTGCCTGTATCCAGAGGGTGTAGAAAGGCATCCTGACCCTTGGCATCGTTTTGAGAACACAGTAGATGTGCTGGCTACCTCTCTCCCATCCCATTGCTCCTAAGTTATGTGCCTATTGCACAGTGAGGTTTGAGAACCACAGGTCTAGATCATTCGATCTAAAGAGCTCTCTTGGCTTACACAGATACCGAGGCCTCTGCCATTCACTTGGTTGGATCCTACGGGACTATTCTGACCATTAGTCAAAAGTGTCACCTGTCACCCAGCAGCTAGTTTGGCTGGACTCTGGGGTCTGAGACCTACAAGGAGCAACTGGTTCACCCAGTCTGGCTGTGGGTCTTGGGTGTTCTCCCAAAGGAATCCCAGCAGCGGGCTGCAGGTCTTCGACAGAGCCAGTTCTTTTCTTAAGTGTTCTCCTTGGCTCTTGGACTAACAGCCAGTCTGTGTGGGTGGATTGTAGACACAGCTGCAGTGTGGTCCTGTGTCCTGGGATGGTGAGAAAGGAGTCAGGGCGCTTGGCCACATAGCAGCGCCAGGAGCAAGCTCTCTCCTCCTAACTCTCCCGATGCCCTTAAGCAGAAGCACTCGGGACACCCTGTTCTGAGAAGGAGTCCTGCCCAGCTGCTGGAAGCACTGAGGAGCTGGGCTCATTCTTTGCCACAGGGTCAGGCAGTTCAGCTCTTGCCAGTACTCTAAGAGACTGGGCAAGGTTGTAGCAATTTGACCTTTTCATCCCTGAGCTGTTTGACCCAAAAGAACCTGGAGATCAACCCCAGCAGTACAGGCCTTCTTTTCAAATCAAGAATAGTGGTCAAGTTTGCTAAAACCAAGCTCTGTGTGTTGGTTCCAATGACAAAACTCACATTTTGGCAGTAATTTGGGTAAAAACAAGCTGCACACTGCTGAGCTAATAGCTTCCTGGGTAATGGGTCAGAGTCCTGTTTCCAAAGCACTTTCTTTTGTATGGAACGCCTGTGATCGCCATAAACGGGCAATTGACTTCCTTCAGGGGTGAGGAAGATGTGGCTTGATGTGCAAGAGAGACTGAGGGGGCACGTGTGGTGGGAATAAGGTCCAGCTCCGTGCCTTCTGTTCCTGGCCAGCTGTTCAGCAATGGTGTGGTCACCACTGAGCTCTCATCATTCCACAGCTTCGCCCCTGACATCTGTACCCTGGCATGGCCTGGGGAGTGCGGGTGGTCGGGGAGTGGCTGGTTCTTCACCTGGCAGGCTGGGGCTATGCTGTGGACAGGGATCCACCCCCTGGATGTGTGCCCTTCTGCGGGGGCTGGGTTTGGGCTGAATCAAAGCCAGCCCTCCAAGGTCCCTTAGGCACACCCAGAGGTGACTTCAGGCGAGTGGCAGGGATGGTCTTACTTCCTCCAGGGTTATCTGCACTGTGGATGCATGTCAGGGCAGGACATGTATGGCTTCAAGACTTGCAAGTGGGATTGAGCCACAAAGCCTTCTTGTTTCAGCCCCTCTCCCCCAAGTTTATATCTTATTAGGAGCCCCATGGTGTGGATTACACATGCAGGCCCTGGAATCATTCACTTTGTTGGCTTCCCTTTTCTGCCCTGAACTCTGTGGTCCTGGGAAATAGTTCACTTTGCTATGCTTTAGTTGCCTTGTTTATCAGTAGGGAGTCACAGACGGTAATGCGTGCACTGGGGATCATGCAAAAAATATTAGAAAACCAAGTGGGAAAGGCCCCTCCCATGCCTGGCACACAACCCAGTGCTCAGGAGGTGCCCGTAGCAGTCATACATCACCTGGGTTGCAGCACTCTTATCCTGGCACAGGTTATTTGGATAAACCCAAACATGGTTTTTTTTCCCTGTGGCAAGTTGCTCACCTTCGTGAGACAGCGGCTTCCCTTCCTGCCTTTGTTACTGCTTTTACTGCCTTCATCTGCCCTGACTCCCTCTGGCTTGCATGCCAGTGTGAGGAATAAATACAAACTAGGTTCTCAAGCCGCTCAGCTGTGCCCCTGTAGGGAGAGCCATGAAGCACACACACTGTCAGCTGTAACAGCTGCTGCTGAGCATCATGCACCCGCAAGGCGAGATGGTGCTTTGCCAGCAGGGAGCAGGCTCACGCAGCGGGCATCAGCAGGGAGAGAGATGTCACAGTCTCTCGAGGGACTGAGAGGCAGCAGGGTGGCATGGTTGGTGGTGTGACTGAGAATCAGCTGATGTGGGGCATGGAACACCACGCATCCTGCTGCCCGGGCTGGCACAGGTTGATGGTTATGAGACCTGAGTCCTGGAAGACACAGGTAGTGGACAGTGAAGGAGACAGTGGGAGGCCATGTGCTGTGCTCTCCATGGGCCCACATTCTCCCTCGTCTTTGGGGAAGATTCCATCCCATGGACATCGGGGCATAAAGCACAGAAGTGAATGAGGTCCCCCGCAAGGCCAGGATGCTTTTCTGCAAAAGCCCCATCTCACCTCCTCTGTGCAATGTTACAGAAGTTGACAGCATTCTCCATAGTCCACTGCTTCCTGAGGACATGCAGCCAGCTTCGGGAAGTCATGTATCCCAGGCCTGGTTGCGCGCTCCCCCTGCTCGTGAGCCCTCGGAGGGCAAGATGCTCATGGCCACCGTGGTCTTTGTGGCTTGCAGATGATGACCACTGGATCATCGACACAGACTACGACACATTCGCCCTGCAGTACTCCTGCCGCCTCCTCAACCTGGACGGGACCTGTGCTGACAGCTACTCCTTCGTCTTCTCCCGTGATCCCAACGGCCTGCCTGCCGATGTGCAGAAACTGGTGAGGCAGCGGCAGGAGGAGCTGTGCCTGAGCCGGCAGTACAGGCTGATCCTGCACAACGGTGAGTGAGTGGGCACAGTCAAGTGCAGGGACCGGTTCCACCCGCACACCAAGGGAGCATGAGGAGCATTTGTTTAAGCCTTTATCAATCAGGTATCTCCCAGGCTTTGTCTTGGGACCCATGCAGGAGCAGGCTAAGGCCTTTTCTCTCCCAAACACTGGCAGTTTTAATGGAGTAAAACTAAAAGGGCATACTGTAACTCTGCTCCCTTCATAACTTTCCACCCTGGCTCCACTGCCCTCCTAAACCTTTTCCAACACTGTTTGGAAATGGAGTCTCAGCCCCATGTGACTGTGGGGTCCTGTCTGCCAAGAGGCACTGGGACCAAGCCCAGCTTCCAGTCTGTTGATATCCACACACATGCTGAGTCCCTCCTGCTGTCACTCACAGCGTTGTTTTCTGTGTTCCAGGTTACTGCGATGGCAAGTCAGTAAGAAATCTCTTGTAGCAACACCAAGCATGCACAGTTTTATTTGAAAATTTCCAGTTCGCTCTCTTTCGGTCTTTGAATTCTATTTATCTTTGGAGTTTCATCAGCCCCTTTTGCCTCACTTCCATGGGTAAACACAGCACCTTCAGGACTCAGAAGAACACATGTGAGAAAGGCAGATCCCTTTGTGGTCAAATGTGTATCTTCTCCAAAGTTTTTGGATGGCGTTTGAGGATTAGAGTCCCAGACTTTATTAAAACAGTCATTGGCTTCCACTGATTTGAGGTTGTATTTGTGTTCACATCCATAACCAAAATGAGAAGTCCTATGGTTGGTATGGCAGGTGGGGGTGTCCTTTTATGTATCAGGAGGGACTCTTTGCACTAAGACTCTTGGCCTCTTCTAGTGCCTTCTCTCCATGATTGAAAACTGGCTTCTCTGCACTTTCTGAGAAGAGAGATTCCTCATCAGCTCAAGAAGGCCTTACCTACCTGCCTTGCCAGGGCCCTGAGGCCAAGAGAGCTGGCTGGGGAGCCTGAGACCTCCTGCAGGCCCAGGCCTGAGAAGTGGGCTGGCCAGCAGCCTCCTCTGGCCTGGAAGTGAGTGGCCAAGAGGCCTGTATCAAGGAGTACTGCACAGTTCTTGACCCCCACCCTGTGTCATCTGCAGCAATGGCTCACGGCTCACAGATTCCAGATGTGGCCCAAAGGCTGAGGAGAAGGGAGGCCTTGGTTTCCTTGGCTGAGTGGGCCCTGGAAGCTGGGTCTGAAGGAGAGCTCACAGCATGTCCTGCCCGGAGCATGCAGAGGGAGAGACAGGTGCGGTGGAATGCAGTGAGGCCTGGGGAAGAGCTGCAGGGCCCAGGCCTTTGGCAGCACTTGAGGACTGTGGGGTGTAGCTACAGGCAAAGGCACTAGCCTTAATTTCCCAGCTTGCCAAAGCATCAGGACTCTTGCTCCTGGCAGTCTTGGTTTTAAGTCCAAATCCAGCTCCACTGTGCCTTGGCTGTATGGCTTCTGGCTGATGCCATGGCTTCTCTGAGCTGTACACTCATGTGTGGTATGGAGAAACTGCCTAGAGAGCTGTGTGAGGATTCATCTGAGCAGCATCTGGCATAGCACCTAGGAGTGGGGCAAATGCTGGCCGGGCCAGGCAGGTGTCTAGGCAGAGTGCCTGGATGTAGGGAAGGGCACTTCTTTCCAGGGTGTGTGGCTCCTGTGTTCCCCAACCTGGTGGGCCTGGTTTTCTACCACACAGGCCATGGGCAGCCTTGGACAGGAGAGCTGTGCCTTTCCTTTCCTTGGAACAGCAGGTCTCAGAGCCTGGCTCGTCAGCTTCACTCTCAAAGCCAAGAGGCCCTTAAGACATCACCCATCACTTAAAAAAAAAAAAAAAAAAGCTGGAAATGACCCAATCTGTTAGCTAAAGATGCATGAAGAACCCCTGTGTCCTTTTGCCCTTGAATATGTATTGCCATAAATCTTACTTCACAAGGAAGCTGTTCCAGAAACTCCTTGAGCCATGCCAACCGCTTGGGCAGCCATGCCAACTGCTTGGGCAGCCATGCCAACTGCTTGGGCTGCTTTCTTCAGCAAGGAAGATGTGTTGAGCACCTGCTGCATGCCGGGCCCTGTCTATTCCACCAGCCCAACCTCCCAAGTATTCATGTGTCCTTGGGCTCAGTCCTTGACTCTGAATTGCCTCTCTTCACCTCTCAGGGATGTTTCATTAGACCGTAGTTGCTAAACACCATCGGCATCTCCCAACATTGTCACTCCAGGCCTAAGTTCTCTACCTGTAAATGCACCTGCCTGTTCTATTGGGATCTCCCATTCAGTTTTTAAGTTTGAATACTCAAAGGACAATGTGGTGTTCCACCCTTTCTGCCAGCCTTCCCCCATTTTTGTTACCTGTTGTGTCATCCAACCAACTAGTATTCAGATAAAAATCTGGACTCACATTATAATCTTCACTCACATCCTCTACTTTTCTGTCAGTCATTTATCTTTGCTCCACATTCCCAAAACAGACCTCACCATCACTTTGTGCCACTCGCCCCGCCCCCAATGTCACCCTGCTCTGAGACCTCCATCATCTTCCCCTTCAGCAGCTGCCTAACTGGTCCGCATCTTCATGCTTCCTCCTCAGTCTGTTCCCTGCATGGCAGCCAGAGGAACACCCAAAAAGGTCATGGACATTGGCTCCAGTACCTGCCCCTGGATTCCTCTGGCCATGTCACATTTCTGCCCTGATCTAGGTCTGTGACTTCCCTGGTGTGCACTGAGGCACTCCATCTGCTCCTCAGCCTGTCCCAGCATTAAGGATGATGTGTGGTGTGGAGGAATCCCAAGCAGTACCTTGCTTGACTTGGGTCACCCTAGTCTTCCTTTAGTTGCATGAGCTTGTTAGTGCTCTGTGCCAGAATCTTGTCCACCTGCAAGCCCTTTCCCCTGGCTCACATGCTGGTTCTTGTCCTCCACCATTTAACCCAAACATCACTCCTCAGAAAGGTCTTTCCAGGTCCCCACCCCCACTTAAGTGACCATCACCTCTACAGCACTATGTCCTAATATCTTCACAACATCTGTTAGCTTTGACGATGTGTTCTTTATCAACTGGTTTGATATGGAAGGTAAGCTGGGAGCAGGGGCCGTGGCGGTTGGGTCCATGCTGTATTTCTGGCCTCAGGAACACTGTCTAGCCACAGCAGGTACTGTGGGGGTCGCTGAGGGCTTGGAACAATGAAGGAATTCACTACTACCATCACTCAACACTCTGGAGTCTTCCCACCTTCTCTTGGGTTTTATGACACTGCTATTCTTAAACAAACCCATGACATAACATTTTGTATAAGTGAAGTAGGAAGGGCCCTTGGCATTAATGACTGATCCTGCAGCCTCATGAGCTCAAAATGGAGAAATCAACATCCTAAATCCATCCCAAGACTCACTTCAAAAACTGGTCAGGTGTAGCTTTCTTTATAGGCAGGAGATGGATTGCTGATCAGTTATAAATAAAAATCAATTCACCAAAATCATATTTCGAACACACCGAAAAAGTTCAGGTAAGAGAGGAACCCATAATGCGTCCTTTGGTAAAGGAAAAATATTGCTATACTGCTCAGCCCTTAATTAGCCAGCGGTGTGTATGCAGAGGTGACACTTGCCTAAAGCAAGCTAACCTGGCAGATGTTCTTGCAGTCACTCCCTTGCACATGCAGTGGTTGGCCTGGGAGTGAGACCCCCGCCTCCAGGCTGAAGCTCCTTAGCTGGAGATAACAGACAAGTCATTTCTCCTGGCAGATGTGTCTGTGAAAATGGCTCCCTTTTCTGAGAACAAGCAACAGCAGAAGGTTTTCCTCCATTCATTCCTGAACAGGGACATGTTGTAGAGGATGGGGTTCAGGGCTGAGTTGGAGAAGGTGAAGGCCACCACCCAGAAGAAGAGAGACGGCCAGATGACCAGGTCCTGCTGGAAGTTCTGGATCAAGATGAGCAGAATGGTGATGATGATGGGACTCCACATGATGAAGAAAGAGACCATGAGCAGGAAGAGGGTGCGGAACAGCCGGAAGTCCTGCTGTGACACGCGGACCTGGTGGCTCTCGGAGTAGGCCAAGCTCACCGTGAGCCTCCTCCTGGATGCCTTGGTTATCTGCAAGAAGCCAGGATAGAATCAGAGCACACGTCACTGTGGATCGTCAGGGACTTGGGATCTGCCCTCTCCTGATGTGCTGATGAGGTCTGGCTTAGAACTTGGAGTGGAGAGAGCTACCCTCCCAGAGACTGACCAGCTGCCTGCACTTAGAATGTGCTGGGAAAATATGGCAGAACATCACACACATTGAAAAGAGGCGATGAGAGGAATAGAAGCCTGGATTATTCATGAACACATTGTCTGTTCTGTTCCCCTCACCATTCCTGCTCCCCAGAGGTGACTGAAATGAATGGGCTCCTGGGTAAGCTGCTGGAAATGTACCAGATTCACACACATGGCGGGCAATGACGTCTGAGCTACCCTTGTGCCGGACACACAGCGCAGTTCACGTATATTCCCTATGCAGCTGTGCCAGTTTCCCCAGGTGCCTACTGAAGGATACTCTGCTTGGCTGAGCTGGTTTGTCTGGGAAAGTGGTGGTTTAAGGGGCAGAAAGCACCCTCTCACCTGCCTTCCTTACAGGCTGCTTGCTGGAGAGAGGCTGTGGAAGTGTGGTCAGGCAAAGCAGAAGCATGCCCCATTCCCCACCAACAGTGGTCTTTTCCTGTCTCTGAAGCAGGAAGGAGTATATCCTAATCTGCCCCTGAGCCCCTGGGCTGAGGGCTGTGGAGGATCAGTGGACTTCACAGGCCACTGCCATGGTCAACCAAACATGGGACTGGCAATGTGCCAGGCCACCCCTGCATCTGGAGTGGTGCAGCTTAGCAAAGACCCCCTCATCAGCAGGACCTGTTGACACCATCACCATCATCACCATCACCACCTGGAAACCAGGGGCAGTGATCAACAGATGGGATCAGCTTCTCAGCAGGGCAAGCATGACCTTGAGGGCAACTGCAGATAGCAACAGCCCATCCTCCTCCATCCCTCTCTCAGCTCTAGGGAAGCTGTGAAGTGACTGGGGGATGAATGTTTTAAAAGAAGAAGGCATAACCAAAGAAGGACCTGAGGCTTCTGGAATCAGCTGTCCCTGCCCAGTATGAAAGAAGAGCTGGCTAGGGCTCTGTTGGTGACATTTGCTGAGAAAACACAGCTATTGTGTGTTTATGCCCCAAGTGAGCGGCGGTAATTGGAAGAATCAACGTCCTCACACCTAGCTTGGCACACCTAAGTGAGAGGGTAGGTACCGTAAATCCCTCAGTGGAAAGATGATGGTGACTAATATTTTGTCCTGACAAGCAGGGTCAGAATTTCAGCAGAGGGATTGAGGGCATGAAAGACGACCCTGGTTATGTGGGTTTTGCAGGGGGTTCTGAGATCTGTTTTGAGGGGGCTCCTACAGACCTTGCTCAGTCCTATTCCTGGTTTATTCAGTTAGAAGCTCTTGCTTCAGCGTCAGTCAGAGAGCGTTTGGGCAGGGGGCAGTGTTGGGCACAGAAATGGCCCAGCTACTGACCAGGCTGATCAGACTAATAGAAAGTCCCTCGTCGGCTTCCCTTCACGGAGCCACACAGGAAGGCAACATGTTTGACCTGCACAGAAATACCCCCCTGGAGACCGCCAAGGTGATTCGTGTCTCTGTGGACTAGGAGTCGGCAGGTCTGCGTCTCCAACCAGCTCTTGCAGGGTGCCATCTCAGCTGCACCTGCCACTGCTGCTTCTGATCTGAGGACCACACTTTAGCGTCACCAGGGACCGGTTCATCCTTCACCCTACAGATGAGGAAGCAGCCCTTGGAGAGACAGCTTGGTTAAGCTGCCTTGAAAACAGATAATTTGGGCCCAGTGGCCTGGTAACTAAAGTCCTTGCCTTGCAACCTCTGGGATCCCATATGGACACCGCCAGTTCACGTCTTGGCTGCTCCACTTCCCATCAAGTTCCTTGTTTGTGGCCTGAGAAAGCAACTGAGGATGGCCCAAAGCCTTGGGACCCTACACCAGGATGGGATCTGGCTCCTAGCATCAGATCAGCTCAGCACCAGCCACAGTGGCTACTTGGGGAGTAAACCAGCAGATGGAAGATTTTTGTCTCCTTCTCTCTGGAACTTTGACTTTCAAATAAAAATGAATAAATGTTAAAAAAAAAAAAACCCAGAAAACAGGTGACTTGTAAGTGTTCACTTTAGAAAACAAAAAAGCCCAGTGACCTAGCTACCCCGTAAGCATAGGGCAGAGGGGAGACGGCCTGGCCAACTCTTCTCTCTCATTTGGCTTCAGTGGTGCCCGTTGGGGAAGGGGAGGCACCAGGCTAGAGGTGGCCAACTAGCCAGTGTTTTCATGAAACACAGCATTCGTGAACCTGACACCCAGCCTGCTTCCTGGAAAGGAGACACGGGCTGCAATATCCCCACTACACTGGTTGTTGATGCTAACTCTGGCTGACTTGGTCTGGTCTGGGTCCTATTGCTTCTCCCTCAGGAAAAGCCTGCTGGCCATGTGGGAGGTGTTTATGCCACCTGCACAGGAAACTGAGCAGCCATAGATTTCATTGTTAGCCCCATGCTGGTCCCATGGGCCTGTTTCCCTGAGGCCCCTGAATTTCAGCAGGGAAACTATTAAGCATTCTTTGCAATGTTGACAAGCTAAGATCAAGATTTAAATGGCTTACAATATTCTCTTTAGACTACATGTGACCAACTCATTACAGGAGAGTTTTTGGATTGCGTTTTGATTCCATGCACTGATGGCTTGCCCTCCGTGGTGACTGGTGCCCTGTGCAGTGATTTAGTGCGCCTGGTGACAGTGACCGGGACAGCAGTCTTTCTGTCTTGCAGCTCCCCATCCTCCAGAACCACAGAAATCAGGGCAGCTGCTTTAGACAAAATGTACATATGCAGCCAGCTCCGTGTTGTGCATTTGTTCAATTTTCACATTTAACCTTCACAGCTTCTTTTTGGATTTGTTCCATGATAGTTCCCATTTTTCAGATGAGAAACTTGAACCTCAGGATGTTTAAACCACCTTTTGAAATTAATTCCACTCATCACAATAAAGGGAAACCTCCATCTATGAAAACCCAACTTAAGATGACCCGTCTCAATCCTCTACCTCCCAGCACTAGGAGCGCATCTGGGTTCCAGTTCATGTCCTGGCTGTTCCACTTCCCATCCAGCTCCCTGCGTGTGGTCTGGGAAAGCAAAGAGAATGGGCCAAGTCCTTGGGACCCTGCACCATGTGGGAAACCCAGAGGAAGCTCCTGGCTCCAGATTGGCTCAGCTCTGGCTATTGCGGCCATTTGGGAAATGAATCAGTGGATGGAAGTTCTTTCTCTCCGTCTCTCCTTATCTCTGTGAATCTGCCTTTCCAATAGAAATCAGAAGGAGAGGCAGAGAGGAATATCTTGTATCCTCTGATTCATTCCCCAAGTGGCCACAGTGCCTGGAGCTGTGCCAATCCAAAGCCAGGAGTCTCTTCTAGATCTTCCATGTCGGTGCAGGGTCCCAAGGCCTTGTGCCATCCTCTACTGCTTTCCCAGGCCACTAGCAGGGAACCGGATGGGAAGCAGGGCCACTGGGATAGAACCAGAACCCACATGGGGTCCCAGAGAGTGCAAGGCGAGTACTTTAGCTGCTAGGCTACCACACTGGGCCCCAGTAAATATTTTTTTAATGAAGTATTTCATAAAAGGCTGCAAGGAGCTGGTGTGCTAAATCAGCAGGCTAATTTTCCACCTGTAGCACTAGCATCCCATATAGGTACTGGTTTGAGTCCCAGCGATTCCACTTCTAATCCAGCTTCCTGTCTCTGGACTGAGAAAGCAGTGGAGGATAGCCAAGGCCTTGGGCCTCTGTACCCATGTGGGAGACCTGGAAGAAGCTCTGGATCCTGTCTCGGGCTTGGCTCAACTAGGGCCATTGTGGCCATTTGGGGAGTAAATCAGCAAGAAGATTTCTCTCTCTCTCTCTCTCTCTCTCTCTCTCTCTCTCTCGGTGATAGGGATATACCAAGTCCCAAACAGCCGGCATTGACAACTCAATCAAAGGGATTTATGACTTTCTGGGAGGCTGTTCCCACAGGAAAACTTTGGAAAAAGGCACTGAAGATGTATGGCCTGGGTCACAAGGAAAGAGGAAGCAGGGACGGCCACTGCCCCAACCCATGAAACAGCCCGGGAAAGGTGACTGCTAGGGGAAGCGCCAAACGGCAGCCCGCCCTGAAATCTTGCCCAGGTCAGAGCTAGCAGCCAAGGGGAAGACCTCAAAGGGCATGGCATGGGGCGCCAGTCCCAGAGTTACAGGGGGAGGAGAAGGAGAAGGCTGTGTGATGAGCCATTTAACAATGCTGCCTGTTAGGTTCCTGTGTTTGGAGACCCCGGAAGTCTATTAGCAAAATAAAGGTTCTGAAGAAAAGTCCTGCAGGAAAGAATTCCAGCTAACTTCAGTATTTTCCAAACTGGGCAGACCACAGGGTCCTTTCTAGTACCTGACATCCTGTACAAGTCCAGGAAGTGCTCAAGGTGAGCATCCAGGATCAGGCGTTTGGTGCAATGATAAGTCAACCCTTAGGATGCTCCTGTCCCACATTAGAAGGCCTGGTGCACAAATTAGCCACACTACCTCCCTTTCTGTTGGCACCTGTGGGCAGCAGGGGACAACTCAAGTACCTGGACCCCTGCCACCTTTAGGGGAGAGCTGGGCGGAGTTCTGGGTTCCTGGCTTTGTTCTTGTGCTCCCATAAGCACCACATAGCCGTGGCTTTTGTAGGCATTCGGGAAGCGAGCCAGAGGATGGAAAAATCTCTCTGTGTGTCTGCTTTCAAATACAATTAACATACAAAGCTTTTTGAATGTGACTCTCTTTGGAAGAATAAAAGATCTTAGAACTTGATGATAGGAGCGTAACTCAAATACAGAGCTGGACCCTGGGGCTGGTGTTGTGGCCCTGTGGTATCCCACATCAGAGTACCAGGCTGAGTCCCAGCTGTTTGACTGTTTCATCCTCCATCCAGCTTCCTGCTAATGTACCTGGGAAGGCAAAGGAAGATGGCCCAAGGACTGGGTGGCTGCCACCCACATGGGAGACCCAGATGGAGTTTCTGGCTTCTTGCTTCAGCTTGGTCCAGACTTGGCTGCTATAGCCATTTGGGGAGTAAATTAGTAGATGAAGAATCTCTCTCTCTCTCTGTCTCACACACACACACACACACACACACACACACACACACACACACACACATACACATACACAATCCCACTCTGTCTTTCAAATAAACAAATTTAAAAAGAGAGTGATAGAGCCTTGGCAAGGGGCCGTAGTGACAGATGAAGGTGTGGACCACGGGGCAGGAGGTGAAGTGAGGCTTGCATCCCATGCATGCAGGTGATGTTATGATTGGGTCTGTGCATGTAGCTCATTCCCCATGATGCTCAGTTGATTTTACTGGGCCCAGCTCCTGCCAGGTCCAGCTTGGGCAGAAAACCTGACTCAATGTGTCTGAGCCATGTATGTACCAGCCCAGCAGGCTCACAGGCACCAAGTGAGGACCAATGTCATGGTCCTTTTGGAAAATGGGCAGCAGCCAGTTTGGATGGTGGGCTAGAAAGGAGCTTTTTAAAAGTTGTGGGTTTGTATTAATGTGCTTTTAAAGACACGATCACCATGGCTGATGTGGTGGCATGTAGGTTAAACCCCTGCCTGTGGTGCTGCAATCTGATATGGGCACTGGTCCAAGTCCTAGCACTTCTACTCTGATCCAACTCCCTGCTATTGCATCTGGGAAAGCAGAAGAGGCAGACCCAAGTCCTTAGGACCCTGCACCAATGTGAGAGACCTGGAAGAAGAGACCTGAAAGAAGCTGACGTTGAACCGACAGCTCCAGGCATTGCAGTTATTTAAGCAGTAAACCAATAGACAGGAGATCTCTTTCTCTCTGTCTTGCCTCTCTCTTTAAGTCTGTTTTTCAAATACAAAAGTTATAAAAAAAAAACACCTTAAAACTTTATTTTTTAAAATGTTAAAGAAAACAATTATATTTGCTTTTTCATCTGACTCTGTTAAAGCATTCACTGAGGCATACAGGACTGTAGTGGAAACTGGAAGACCACATTAATTGATTTGCCCAAGGACCCACACAAAGCATGCTTTAGAGACCCAGTCTTAGGACTGTGTTCCCAGTGGTTTCCCCACTGCCCAAGAAGACGAGGTCCCCTGGGCCCTTCCATGTGAGTCAAGACTCCTGCCCAGCTCCTCCTACAAGCATCTGTTGAACACCTACTGTGAACAAATCAGGCTTTGTTCTGTGCCTGAGGACAAAGCAGTGAACAGAACCAAGCCTCTGTCCTCCTGAAGTGGGCAAGAAAGAAGATGTGCAAAGAATACATAGTATGTGTCATGGGCAGAGGTGCTCTGAAGAGGACTAAATCCGGGTAAGGAGCTAGGAAAGGGATCGGGAGCCTTCCAGGGACAAAACTTCCTGGGACAAAAGACCTAAATGAAGTGGGCTGTAGCCTGTGCAGACATCTGAGGAAAAGAAGGCTAGAGAACCTGGCAGGCAGGTTCCAGAGGCAGTAGCAGTGGCTTGGCACATGTGTGGCAGCACCCAGACCAATGTACACACCAAACAGGGAGAATGGAAGGCCAGAGGAGCAGACAGGGCCTGATCAGATAGAGCCTTTGGGTGAGGGCTTTGGGTTTGTTGCCCTGTGGGATGGAGGTGACAGGATCCAAGTTCCATTTCACTCATGTGAATCATGACAGGTGTGCTGTGACTGGGAGATAGCCTGGGGTCTGTGATGGAGAGAACTGCAGGCTGGGGTGGGTGTCGGGAGAGCAATGCACCTGCATTGGGCTGCATATGGGCCCGTGGATCAGACAAGCTCACCCACTATTCACTGAATCACCCCAAAGTGATCACCCAGGTGGCCCTTAGCTTGGAGAAAGGAGCACACCAGAGTCCCCTAGGCATTCAAGAGACTCAGGAGTGGGAGACAAGGGGACCCCACATGCAGTTGCCCCCTTGCAACCAGCCCTACCCCAGCAGCTGTTCCTTGTGCTTGCTGGGCTCCACAGCCAGGCTCTTGTTCATGTACTGGAAAATCTCAGCAGTGTGTCTGCCCTGCCTGCTACTTAGGACACCTGTTGAAAGCATAGCTTTGCCTACCAAATAATAACAAGCACCATTTATTCCTCACCTTCCTCTGGCAGGCATGCCACTGTATATCCCACCAACAGTCTCTTGCAGGCTCATAATAACCTCACTCTGCTGGTACAATGACCACCATGCTGCATAAGGAAGAACCTGATGTTCACAGGGTAAGTAAGTTTCCCACGGCCACGTAGCCAGTAAGTGGCAGGTGCAAGACTTAAAGCCAGGAGATTGAAGTAACCCTTCCAAGGCTCTGTGTCAGACTCCATGGCTCTTTACACTCCTTCTCTACAGCCTTTAGAGTTTGTAAAAGTAATTGCTGACTTGACTTGAGCTCATATCCACGTATTCACTTCCCAAATGCCCCCAGTGTGATCAGTGGCTGGAGATGGGCCAAGACTGAAGCCAGGAGGTAGGCACTCAGCCCTGCGCCCACATGCAGGTGGCAGGAACTCCACTGCTTGATCTATCACCTGCTGCCTCCCAGGATTTACATTAGCAGGAAACTGACAAGAACCACTGCTGTGAGACACACGTGTCTGAGCCACCAGCCTAGACGCCTGCCCCACGCCTGACATTTGAGCAGCATTTTGAAGTTGGCATGGTGTTCTCACCCCAGTCTCAGCCTCGCTCCTCCTGTGCTCGAGGGTCTCTTACTGGGTGGCAACACCCTTTCCTGGCCACCCTCTTTCTCATCTGTGCCTAAGTCCCTTCTCCATGGAGATTACAAGCTGCTCACTCTTGACCTGCCTCCACTCTCCACCAGGATTAGGCACACAACAGACCCCAGAGAAATGCCCGGGGAAATTAGAGTAATGAGACCCTGGGGTTGGATTATCTAGGCTGAAATGTTGACACTGCCACCTGCAAGCTGTGTGACCTTGGATGAATAGCATAGCCTCTCTGTGCCTGCCTGGGTTTCTAGTTCCTGGCACATGATAAATGCTATGTAAATATTTGTTCAATAACTATTTAAAAATCCATTCTGCATTTCACTTCTTCCCATTTTCCCCTGCTCCCCCCATGCTTCTTTCTTTTTCAGTTTAATAATAGCTAATAGATCAGTAGCATGAATGGATTTGTATGTGAAGCCCTTCTTCTAAGCGCTTTCCAGGCCTTAAATCCAGGCTTGCATCTATCTCACACCCTTGCACGAGCCTTAGGCTGAGAGCCTTGTAGTGGTACGCAGGTCACCAGGGAGCGAGGGCTAGAGAATCACGTGGAAGGCCCAAGGACCACTAGGCCTGGAGAGTGGCTCACCTGGCTTGCGCTCTGAGCACCCAGGAAGATGAGAGCCACATCCTCAACTACAAAAAGGCATCGTAAAAGTGCCAGGTAGGAAACAGGATCCATGGGGCCCCACTGCCCATCTGCTTATCAGGTGATCCATACACAAATGGCTGCAAAGCCAAGATTCAACAACTGTAAACTTGCACAAGGATGTGGAGGTTTTGCATGCAATCTTCTATCATGGGCGTAGCTCGAGTACATGCTATTTGCCGTGCCAGCACCTGACATGCAAATGGGCTACCTGAAGACGTAGGAACCAGGCTGGCCTGCCTTTGTGTGCCTGCCGTGCATATTCACTTCGAAGACAGGGATTACTTCCTGAGTCAGGAGACAGATGAGATGGCCATTCCCTTCAGGGAGGGGCTAGCCACTGGAGATGAGAGGAGGGGCTCCGGGAAGCTGCTTTTATGAGTGTTCAACTGGTGAGCTGCTCTGTCAGCCTACTGTACTTCCTCTAGGTATGTTAGGCTTCCGTAAAGGGACTTTAAAAGTGTACCTGCTCCCTTGCCCCACCACTGCAACCCCGACAACAGCTGCGCATGTTACAATGGACCCAACCCACAATGTCCATCAACTGAGTTATGTCGTATTTGGTTGAGGATTGATCAGGAAGCCTTCCATATAAAGGGCAAGAGTGATAGGAACTGATACAGGGAGATGGGCAGATACAGTGGCTGGTGAAAAAGGCGAAGCTGCAGAGCAAGTAACAGCTCTCATATGAGAGAACAGAGGCTTGAGTCACATCAGATGCTCTCTAGGCATCTTAACCTGAAGCTTCACGTGACTGGCCAAACACACACACACACACACACACACACACGATTGTATCATGCACTCAAAGGATTCACCGAACACACAAGAGCTATGACCTATTCAGATCACTCATTAAATCCACACACACACACGAAATACATCACAAACACATGAAAAGTAAGCTAAAGCAGATAAGAAGGGGGATGAAGTTGATTTTTCAGTTTCCAGGTTATACATTTCTATGTCTGTTTTCACTTTCATTTATTTTTTATAATGAGCTTGTACTTATTACTTTAACGATGAGTTAAAAAAAAAAAGATAAAAATACGATTTAAAAAAAAACCAAGTTCTCATTCTTTAGGGTTGCAGGGCAGGTATGATTGGGCAGTAAGTCAGGTTTGGCTTTCCGAGAGCCTTCAGGTACCTTCCCACACAGAAATGGGCAGATTTTTACCATGAATGTGAGCCACGTCCAGCTGCAGCGTGGCACACACACTTACCTGCAAAATCTTGGAGTAACTGACCACGATGAGCAGTCCTGGCACCAAGAAGTTCAACATCACGAAAGACACATCCCACAAGATTTCGCCAGCAATGCTGGGCCAAACCAGGGTGCAAATTGGAATCTCCTAGTTACAGAAAGGAAAGAATGTCATGGAGGCACTGGCTGCTTCTTTGGCCATGAGCTGAGTCCTCGTCAGAGGTGATAGTGTTGTGTAGTGCTGTTTCACTGCTGGCAGGACCATAAATCTCAGACTCCTTCCCACTGATGCTCTCTCTCAAAGCCTTTGCTTCCGACCCCTAGAAAAACCATCATTATTATTTCCATTTCCCAGTGGACTTCAGCGAGTCTCAGGATCACAGATAGGAACTAGAGAACTTAAGATCCTGAGACTCACTTAAGTTCACTGCAAGGAATTCAGGTGTCTGACAAGTGACCACAAAGTCCACCTTGCAGGGGGCCTTGCCAAACCATTACTTGATGCTGCTCCCACGATTTCCCACAATGAATAAAGAGGTCAGGGAACAGACATCCAGCTCTGGTTATCCTCCAACAAAGTTCCTGTTCCCATCTGATGGCAAGAATGAAATGATTTAGAAACTAAGTTGCCCTCAACCCTTCTAGGTAGAAGAGCCTCACACGCTCTGTAAAAGGACTGCGTTACTGGTTTGGTGAGCAGAGCTGTGTAACCCACATCCAGAGGTAATACACCATCCTAGCATTATTCTTTCATTCATTTGGCCAATATATATCCAATGATATTTTTGGCAAAAGCAGAGAATTTACCATTTCCCAATTATGTATTATTAAACTCAAAATAAGCACTCATTTTCCTGTTGGGGTTTAATAGAAAACAGCAACTTCTGGTCTACCGGAGCATTCACTGTGCCCCAGGAAGCACTTGGCCTCCATTATCTCACTTAATGCCCACAATGTCCTTATCAAAGTGCACATTATGATTTTTCCCACTTCAAAGAGGAGGAAGCTGAGGCTTAGAAACATCCCCCTGAAAACCCTAGTCTAACACACAAAAAAATGTACTTGTTCCTAACCATACGAGATTTTTCCCCTGACGAGTTTGGTGACATGAGGGGCCATCCAAGGACCTAGCAAGAAAATCCCAGGCAAGACAAGCAGGAAAGAATACCTTAGTCCTGCTTATGCCTGGGAAGGGGAGGGTGGGAAGGTTACATCCCTCCTCTGTGTTGTGGGATGGTGTGCAGTGCACGAGCCTTCTAAAGAAGTGCTTCCACACCAGGTCCTCTGCACCTGACGACAGAAAGTTTGTTGAGTCTTGTCATGTTCTGGTGGGTGGACAGAGAACTTGTGCCTCTCCAGGATCAGCTGGCTGCTGGCGGTGAGGTTACCCCTCTTCTTCAGACAATCTGTGGGGCCTTCACTTTCTACTCAGACCTCTGCTACCCACAGGCCCCTCATTCCAGCTCATTGGTGGCAACAGGCAGAGGCAGATACATGGAAACATCAGCTGGAGGAAACGAATCCCCAGCTTTCATCTGCTTGGGTCTCTAATTCCTGTGGTTGTGAGAGAAAAGTGCACAGGGAGAATAGAAAAGCATGACCTTGGAACAATTTCTTACGATTTTGTTTGTTTTTGTTGGAAAGTCACAATTACAGAGAGAAGGAGAAACAGAACGACCCTCCGTCTGCTGGCCCACCCCTCAAGTGGGTGCGCAACAACCAGAGGCAAGCCGATCTGAAGCCAGGAGCCTGGAGTCTCTGCCAGGTCTCCCACACAGGTGCAGGGTCCCAAAGCCTTGGTCAATCCTCCACTGCTTTCCCAGGCCACATGCAGGGAGCAGGGTAGGAAGTGGAGCAGCCAGGACACGACCCAGCATGCCCACAAGGGATTCCAGTGCATTCAAGGATTTAGCCACCAGGCCATTACTCTTGGTCCAAAACCATTTCTTAAAAGCCCTCAGGTTTTTGTCTCTCTGCATTCCAAATACAGAGAAAATTTGAAGCACAATTTTAATGGGGCAGATATTTAGCACTGTAGTTAAAATACCATTTACTTCGCTTACATTCCATATCAATGTGTGTCCACTTCTGATCCAGCTTCCTCCTAGTGTGCACTATGGCAGCTAGTAAGTGATAACTTAAGTAGTTGAGCTCGGCACAATTACCCAATTGGCTGATCATTCCCTTGCAAATCCTTTGTAGGTTAGTGTCCCAATTGCTCCATTTCCATCAAGCCCCCTGCTTGTGGCCTGGGAAAGCAGTCAAGGATGTCCCAAAGCTTTGTGACTCTGCACCCACATGGGAGATCCGGAAGAAGCTTCTGGCTCCTGGCTTAACATTAGCTCAGCTCTAGCCATTGCGGTCATTTGGGGAGTAAACCAGCAGATGAAAAAAATCTTTCTGTTTATCTCTCGTTCTCTGTATAAATCTGTTTTTCCAATAAAAATAACTGATTCTTTAAAAAAAAAGTTTCAAAATAAAAAATACTGGGCCTGCTGGGTACTGAGTTACAGAAGTGGGCTTGGCAGTGCCAACAACAGGGGCTCTTGAATTCATTGGCTCAGTTACTCATGGTCTCCAGCCACAGGGGCTGAGCCAGAGGGAAGCCACACAGTGAGGACGAGCAAGGCGCCCGCCCCACCTGCCCTCCAGGAGGTCACGATGGGTTTAGACAGGGAGAAGGATGCAAAGACACCTCACTCCAGGACAGGGAGCAGCAAGTGGGACAACAGAGTCACTAGGAATGTTACATCCAGGACAGCTGCCTCAGCTGTGCCAGGGCAGCTTAGGGCAGTGGGGCTGCATTGGGGGTGTTAGGAGGAAACAGACGCTCAAGTGTCAGAAACAAGAGAGGAGGGCAGAAGGCCACAGACCATAGAAGTTCAGTGTGCCTAGGATACCTAAATGTCTTCTGCCCCATCCCCACCTCTGCCACTTCATCTAAGCCAGAGCTTCTTTTGGGGGTGATGCTCCTGGCCATCCTCCTTAGCCCAGTGCTATCCTGCCCAGGGACACCCGCCATCACTGCCCTACCATCAGTGCCACCAACTCATCCTGGAGGATCCATTGCAGGGTGACTAAGCTTTGACCATCCTATCCCTAAAATCCTTCCACTTCCTGCCAAATCACTCCCCAAGCCACCAGGAACCTGCCTCCGTACTCCGCAGTCCTCAGTAGCTGTCCAATCTGCCCACCTCCCTCATTCTCACTGGCAAGTGCAAACTTCCACAGGGCCATAGCTCACCCTTCCCGCTTGTTCCTGCCAGGCTCCCATCACCACCTGTTGTCACTGCTGCATTTCATGGGACATGGCTGGGGACCCCTTGCAGGACCAAGAGCAGCAAGTAGGGCTTCTGGGGCCTCCACATGATCTGGTTCCTCTGCTCATGGTGCCCTTGAGCTCCCCTATAACACTGCACAACTCAGTACCCCTTATCCCCACAGCCAGTGGAGACACATGCTCAGGCTTCCAACATGCAGCCTGTGTGGGAGGCACCTGTGTGGCTCTCGGGAGGTATCCTGCAGCAGGCAGGGGCATAGCCTAACTCACCGCAGCATCCCAGCACCTGCTGGGGGCACAGCTGGAGGGCTTCTCTAAGACTCTCTAGGTAGGACTGACACACTGGTCTCGGTTCACTGCTCACGTGCCCAGCCCTCCTCCCCCCAGCACACTGGCTGACCTGTGTGCAGGTGAACCCATGTCTGACTCCAGCAGTTCACTTGTCTCCCTGCAGCACCTGGGGAGCCCCTGGTAGAGCTCTCCCCCTGCCCCAATTCTTCAGGTCAAATGGATGATGCCAATGCCATTGAAGGTAAATAGGAATCTTTTCTATCAGCTTCCCAACAGAAAAGAAAGAAACCATCAAGACAAGAGACAGACTTACTCTCCTGTGTTTTGAAAGGATATCGGATAGTGCCAAAGGCAAGTGAGCTGTGTTTGTGTTCTCAGGCTCCAAGCCCTCCACAGAGCCATGGAAACATTACTGATCTGGTATTAAACTCCCTTAAGGAAATATGAACTCATGGGGCAAGGATGCCGGAGGGACCAGACTTGGCCTACACTCCAGCTGCATCCTTTGCCCGCATAGCTTTGGGCATTTCCTCCTACAGAAAGTAAACCCCATGACACCTACTTGTGGGTTATGGCAATAACCATGTAAGGGTTTACTGCATGCCCAGTAAATTCACTTCCTTTTCATTTATGTACATTTATGTGGTGTGTGGTGGGGACGAGTGGAGATGGACGCTCAGTATACGTTTGCACAATGAGTGGGTGGCACAATCTGGCCAGGGTGGAAAGTCTTCCCCACCTGCCCAGTTGGGTCACCGCCCAGCCGGGGCCACAGCACACGCCAGGAGGAATCCCCATCGTAGCAGGTAGAGCACCCCAGCTGACATGGGAGCGTTGCTAAGAAGTATCCACCCTTGGAGAGTGGCAGCCCGTCATTTCACAGCAATCAGGAGAATTACACTATTTGAGGATTGTTTAACATGTTTATGCTTGATGATAAGGCAAGCAATAGCAGCCTGTAATTCTTGAGTGCTTCACTGTGGACGTGCCAGGTGTGGGCCCATTGACTGAACATTAGTCCCCATGGTAATTCCATAGGCTTGACCCTGTATCATCATGCCCATTTTGCAAACAAGCAGAGTGACGCATAAAGAGGCACAATCCCTTGCCTTCTGTCACGTGACTCTTACAAGGATCCGGAAACGGGAGTCGGACTTGCCGTGTCTGACTCCAAAGCATCACCCTCAAATACCATACTGCTGGGATTTCTGCCATGTCTATAATTTCACCCTCTCTTACGTGTCATTTCAGAGTCTGGTCTCCCATCGCCATGTGGATCGAGCCCACTGTGTCCCTATCTCAGCAGTCTCGGGCAGCAGAGAGCTCCCAGGCACACTGCTTCCCCGGATGGGCTGCAGGGAGGTGGGTTAGTCTCCTGGACGAGGGGTGCCAGTGAATGCCTGGAGCTAGCAGGTGCTCTTAGCACATGACCGGGTAAGAAAATATTCCCACAAACAAAACCTCCACAGGCAGTGTTCCAACAAGCAGACTCTGCAAGCAGAAAGCTTGCAGGCAGCTGTGACTATGAGACCTGAGAAAGGCAGCTATGGCTCATTTCAAATGTGAGAGTTAATCCAGACCCTCCTTGGTCCTATTTCCAAATGGCTGTATCCTCTCTCTCCTCTCTCAGACTTTGAGAACTGGGGGGATGTAGGCAGCGTGTGGTTCTGCTAGCTGGTTTCCTTGGGAGGAACACAGCAAACCTAGGATGCCACAGCCCTCCGCCCCTTTACTCATACTCAACATGCTGGGAGACCCTTGAAACTACAGGTTGCCAAACCCTGCGCATACAATGATATATATGATATCTAGAATTTCTTTCCCTATGATAATGTTCAATTTATAAATTAGGTGCTGTGAAAGATTAACATTACTTTATAAGAAGATAGAACAATTATCACAGGCTGTAATAAAAAGGATTAGAATTTGTGAATTGTTTAATTGTGAAATTATCCAGTAAATATTTTTAGGCTTTGGTTGACAGGTGGTAGTTAAAAGCCATAGGTAAGGGAATATATCAATACCTAGATAGATAGATAGATAAATAGAATAATAGTAAAGTAATAGTAATGGGAGAGCAGGAGAGAGGGAGGGAAGAAGAGAGAGAAAGAGACAGAGGGGTAGAAAGAGAAAGAGAGGTCAATTAGAGTTGAGATTGGGGAGAAAACCAGGGAGATGTGAGCAGATGGAGTGACCCATTTTTTTCATTATACACTTCCTCCCGAGCACTACCACTTCTGCTAATTTCTGTGACTGGTTCTGCTGCAGGTCACTTAGGCACCTGGCTACCCAAGCTTCCTGTGGTGGGATAGGGGCCCATTGCCTCCCAGTGGCTTGGTCCAAAGCCCTCCCTAGTGACTCTTCAAAAAGAGTTCTCTCCCGTGTTAGAAAGAGAGTGATCTGTGTACCCAGCTGCCACAGCGCCAGCCTGCGTAGAAGCACCTGGCTGTACAATTCTGGCCATTCTGCAAGTGCTATTGGGGGCACCAATCCCACACAGAGGCCACACCAGCAGGGACGTGCAGAGCCCCCAAGGAGGTCCCATTTCATCACCTGTGTCCATGTCAGCACACCTTTAGTCTAAGGCTTTGGCAGGAAGGGGAAAAGAATTTTCTTTAATCACATTATCTGCCAATAAGTAGTATTATATCTGAAAGAACTGTGAAAGGCACAAATTTCCAAGTCCGGAAATTTTAAAATAAGTTCTATTTGGTCTTTAATTTTCTTAGTTTCTGAGAAATCCCTCGGGGTCTATGAAAAACACAGAAACAGAACACCTCAAGGAAGGAAAGGCTTAAAGACATGGTGGGTGGCAGAAGCCTAGATTCCTGCTCCTCTCACTGGTCTTCTTGTAGAAGCTTGTGGGAGGCCCGCCTGGATTCTCAGGTACACCTGTGCTGAGCAGGGTGCCTCTGCCCATGTGCTCCAGTCCACGGTCTGCAGCCAGCAAGCCCGCGAATCCGGGCTCTCTCGGTCCCCAGCCCTGACTCATGGCTGCCACATGGGCAGGCCTGGCTCTTCAGGCTCAGGGGTTCTCTGAGCAAGAGCTGATCAGAGGCAGCTCCTGCCTGCTAGTCATCTGGAGGCCAGAAGCAAACAAACACCCCTCAGAGGAGTCCACACAGTCACGGGCACAGTGGGGTGACTCGATGGTGATGTCATGTGGCACATTTACCAAAAAAAGGGGAGGGGGAAAGACCAGAGGGAAAAATTTGGAGTGTTTTCAACTTGCCATGGAGAGATGTATAGGGTCTCTGAGGTTCACAATGCAAGAATGTGCACAGTGGGGGTCCTCTGGCACCCCACTAACATGTATAGTTTCCCTTGAAAAGTTTAAAAAAATCGTAAGAGAAATAAATAATAACACTCGTTTCCCACCCCCCCCCCAAAATGTATTCCACACAAGAAATAAACTATGAGGAACAGACTGCTAGGTTTGAATTGTGTTCCATTTATATTATCTGAGAAAGAGAGAGGGGAGGGAGAGGAGGGAAAAGCAAAGAAGTGAAAGAAAAAAAAGACAGTGTTTGCTGGAACAGGATGCAAACTCCACCCCCATCCTCCAAAAGGCTCCTGTGGGCCCTGGGGAGAAGCCCAGAGAAGCCCACCTCTACACCTGCTCTCCAGAGGGTCACAAACCCTGCGTGGCGCCACAGTTCTGACTCACAGTTCGGAGTGCCCTCTCCCTTCCCACCAGAGGCCATTTCTCTCCCGCCTCCCTCCCCCACACCACCACCTGTGGCCCTCTAGGACACCCTGACTTTGAGGTGGTCCAGAGCGCCCCCACTACCTCCTAGATCCAGCGGTGAGAGTTAAAACCCGTGATCTTAGCAGGGACACAGAGGACAAAGAGAGAGCAGCCTGGAGCCGGCCCCTCTTGGCGCTGCGAGGCGGTGCACACTGCCCAAGTCTCCCAGCAGGAAGAGGCTGGGAAGCTCAACAAACTGTGCCCAGGGTCCTTTGTCCTTACCCACGACCCCTCCCCTGCCCTTCCAAGCCACGTGGGCCTTGCAGGTGAATCTAGGCGCTCAAACTCTGCAGCTGCACCACACCACACCGGGATTTCAGAACGCGGAACCCCAGGGGACCAGAGCCAGCATCTGGCATCTTCCACAAAGCTTTTGTCAGACCTTGGTCTCACAGCTGTCTTGTGACCCCAGCATACCTGGGGGTCTGCCGCCTGGAATGAAGCTTCACATTTGTGCCACTGACATACCCTGAAGGCTTTGATCTAAGACCCCCAGGGTAGGAGAGCCAGCCTAATCCCAATCCTGCAGATGGAAAAACTGGAGCTCTCAGAGAGGAAGTCACAGCTCCTTCAGAGGCAGCACCAGGTCTGGCGTAATCAGGTCTCAGATGCCCTTTGTCCCTCCCACACTTCACAAGCACCTTTCGTGGGCTTTGCTAGCTGGACCCTAAGCCAACTGTGGCTCAGCTCCTGCTGCAACCTCGGCTTTCTAATCAGGAAAGTGGGTGTGATATTATGACACCTGGCGAGAAGTCAGAACACAACACATTCGACAGCCATCTTACACCGCTAGATTCTATCTGGTTCCTAAAATCTCCGTTATTTAGTTTGGCAAAGTCCTTGCAGTATTGCAAGACTTTTGGAGACACCATTTAGAGCGTTTGGGAGCGAGTTTTAAGAGACCCATGTGGCAGGATGGTCGAGATTTGAGATGAAACTTTACCGCTCTAGGCACGGGTCTGCCATTACAATTTTGTGTAAGAAAGTAGCCCTTCTTGTATTAATTCTAATATTAATTGATTATAGCATCATTCGGGCTCACTGCTAACAGTCGGGTCCCTCCTCGCAGCCTGTCCCGGACACCTGCCGGCCGCACACAGCCCGGCGCTCACCTGGTCAGCGCCGGGGAACCGCTGCTGGACTACCTGGAAGAAGACGCAGAGTGGCAGCGCAGTGAGCGCCGAGTAGCCCCAGATGAAGGCTAGCAGCGCAGCCCGCGCCCGCCGCCCCGGGCCCCGCACGCCTTGCTGAAGGCGCACGATGCACACCATCCGCTCCAGACTGACGGCGGCCAGGGTAAGGATGGTGACACTGCCGCTCAGGCTCATCCCGTAGAAGAGCAGGTGGCAGGCAACGCGGCCCAGAAACCAGGCCTCAGTCCAGCGCACGATCAGTACGGGCGGGATGGCGACAGCGAAGAGGAGGTCGGCGCAGAAAAGGTTGAGCACCAGACAAGCGGTGGCTCCGCGGCGCCGTCGGCGCGCCACCAGCACCAGGGCGCACACGTTGCCCACCAGCGACACCGCAAAGATCAGCGACAGCACGATCGTCTCCACGGCGCTCAACACCAGCCGGTGGTCGCCCTTGAAGTCGGAGAAGAACGGGAAGCGGGTGCGGTTGACTTGCTCCTGGCTGCGCGGGGCGCCAGCGCCCGCCGTCTGCACGCACTCTAAGGACATGCCGGGCGCCCGGCCGCCCGCAGCCATCTGCGAGAGCGCTCATCTGGGAGATGACTGAGTGCCAAGGCGGGGAAAGAGGGAGGGATAGAGGGAGGGTTGCGACATCGTCCTTCTGACGGTCCCCCTCCCTCCCGCACGGAACAGCAGCGGAGCCGGCGCCAGGCGCAGGGAGCTGCGCCCGGGGCGCACGGGAACGAGGAAGTGCTGCGCCACCCCGGTTGCGGCCACTCCCCGCGAGCCCAAGGTTAAGTTTTAGAGCCCTGGGCGGGCTTGGAAGCCCCTAGACCCCAGTGAGTCCCTGGAGTCCCCGCGGGACCTCCCAGACTCTGCCAATTTGTAGGACACACCACTGTACAACATCTTACCCCCAGATTCAATCAAATGCTAAGAATATCGGAGCTGGACTTGGGAGACTATTTTGGCTTTTGTTATTCAGACTTCAGTAAAGAAGCGTCGTGGCTCTGGCAAGGATCCCAAAGCCACTTGTACAAGGCTCAGATTGGGGCAAGGGGTTTAAGACCATTACTTCGTAACAGTGGATTATTTAGTCTCTGTGCCCTTTCACCGAGGAACTGGAAATGATAATTCTCTCTCATTAGGGGATTATGAAAATGACAACAAGAGGTTAGCTAGGCACTGTCACACAGTCTTCCCATCCTAATATCAAGCGTTAGCAACTGCCTTTGAAGGACGTGTAAATGGTGCCTTCTGAATATTGACAAAAACGCTTTCCTGTAAAAAAAAAAAAAAGGGTGAGCCATTAAAAATTTGAATAAACAATATGCCAGGAAGGCAGGTGTTTGAGAGCAGTGAGGTAGACAACAAGCAAGCTGTGGATGTGTTGCTGACGTCCTAGTTTGAGGAACTGGACAATTCAACCTTGTTACACAAATAAGGAAACTGCTGGCTGCTCAGCAAAAGCAGCCTAAGCATGAGAACCCCGGTCCCTCCCAACTGTCCCACACACTGCTGGCTTTCCCGGACAGTTAGAGAAGTGAGCTTGTGGTTCTATCTCCACTTCCCCCAGTTACACCCTCCAGCACGTCTGCCCACACTGTCGGGCCTCGCTGCCCAGGGATCCATGGTGGCTTCCAGTTACTGCTGGGTACTGATGAGGGTTTGGTGTGCCTGGTGGCGGGAGCGAGGGGATGTCTTGGAAGAGGTGTGTAATTTTGTGTGTGCTTGTCAGTGTCACGTGAATTGAAAGTGATAATCTGATGGCTGACCTTAGGAGTAAATTGGACGGCAGTGAGAGATGCTGAACTTGGACCTTGAATACAGGTTCAAGTTGAAAACCAGAATCAATGTTCTTCCTGATCAAGTTTAAAAGGGCAACATTAAAATAAAGGAGGCAGAAGAGAGAGAGAGAGAGACAGACAGACAGACAGAGAGACCCAGACACAGAGAGACAAAGACAGATTCTATGCCTTGACAAGTAGGGACAGATTTCCCCAAAATGGACAACCAGAGAATGTGGCCTAGAAGACTTTCTCCATCATTACCCTCCAAGGGTTAAAAATGGCAAAATTGTATGGGCAGGCAGGAGTCTCTGAATTGTCACCATTCACATCCCCTCCGTGGTGCCCGAGGCCAAAATAAATACCCAGCAGTTACATTTATTAGGTAGCTGGGTCCAGATGAAGTATCAACTTATAGTACCTATAGACATGTATGTATATGTGGTGTGAGTATATGTTTTTTATATATACACACTTGTATATGTAAGATCATTTCCTTCTTAAAAACCCGCATCTTTCTGGTTGGCACCGCCACCCCATTCCTGCTCCCTGCCAGTTTTGTGCAGCCCCTGCTTTATCACAGTGACTCCTGAACACCAGCCTCAGAAAGCTGAGCTTGAAACTGAGAAACTTAGGGCTGGGAGTGCTGAGCAGTGCTGTGTCCACAAGAGCACCTGGGTCCACACAGCTCAGCTCCATTGTGGCCATTTGGGAAGTGAACCAACAGATGGAAGATTTTTTTTTTTTGTCTCTTCTCTCTGTAAATCTGCCTTTCAATTAATAAGTGAATAAATCTCAGAAGAAGAAGCAGCAGCAACATCAGTCTAGTGGCTGAATACCTTGATTCAAACCCTAAAGTCTGCAACTTGAGAACTGAATGAGTTGATTCATACAGAGTGAGAGTGGCTATCTACTCCTAACTTATCCACCAAGCAGGACAGTTGGAGAGTGAAATGGGGCTCTAATCCTGTGGTGCACTGGGACTGCTAGGAAGTTGGGATGTGTGGTCCATAAATGGGGTGGAGCCCTGAGTGTCCCCACAGAGCTTACCCCTTGTCTACCACTGAGCTAAGCGCTATCCACATAGGAATTCAAGGCCCCAGGAAGCCACAACCATTTTCTAACCAGTGGGAGGGTTGACACACCAACAACCAAGGACACGGGCAGGATTCCATCCCAGAAGGCTACTTTCCAAGCCTTTCTTGCCCACTCTGCCACCCCTGTCCAACCCTGGCTGATAAAAAGGTTGGGGCACGTGCCAGAGCAGCCCCTGCAGCCCTGAGCAGGGCTTCCTGCCCACTTGTTGGTGGCTTTCTCTCCAGGCCTCATCCTGCCCTGTCCCAGCGGGGGCACCCATTGGGCAATGACCACTGTGTGTGTTCACCCTGCTTGGGAATTTCTTCAAGAGTTTACAGTAGTGGGAATCTTGCCGGAGGAGATGAAGAAAGGAGAGCAAGGGCCAGCTCATTCTCTGCTGGGCAGTCTGCAATGGCTTTGATTGGATGGTCAGACCTGACCATGGCCAATGGAGTCCTCCTTTTATTGCGGGTGCCTCAAAGGGGTGGAGCCAGTCACAGAGCAGCCCATGCTGCCCTGAGCAGGGCTTACAGCAGCTGGACTGCTCCTAGCTCCCACCGGCTTTCACACCTGGGCTCTAACTCTTCCTGTCCAAATTAGAAGCTCCCGGGAACCTTTCCAGTGAATTTCTGCCCCACTGAACTAGGCCAGGATTAATACGCTTTTGCTGCCTTCATCAGGATGTCCAATTGGGAGAAGAACAGCACCCCACTGTCCCTTCCTCTCCCAGGTTTCAAGGATGGCTTTTATGTCCTCCAGTGCCAAAAGCTCAGACTTGTCAGAGGGATCCTGGTGGTCGCCTTGACCATTCGTCTGGGGACAGCAGAAATCCAAGCCTCCTGGTACAAGCTTCAGAACTCATGCGAGAAAGTCATCTAGGGAAGGTCCCCTCCCCAGCCAGCGGCCATGCTGGTCAGCCGAGGAAGAAAAGCAACTCACGCTACACACCAACTGTGTGTATGTTGCATGCCCCTGGCTCCCTGCCCAGCCTGGGAAATACAAAGACAGCAGATGAGTGACGGCAACACAGGCCCAGCGGAGCCCACGACATGGTTTTGCTGAGTCTGCCTGTCCCAAAGGAGCTGCTGACCCTGTGGCCACACTGTGTGATTCCTTTTTAAAATTATTATTCATTTCATTTTTATGATTATACTCTAGAAGAAATACCATAGGAAAAAAAAATTACTTTATCCATCCTTCTTTCATATGGATTTTGCTGCCCTGCCTGGGGGTTTTATTTTGTCCCTGGGTATCTGGTGGCATTTCTACCTACTGGCATTTTACGATGGAGGTCATGGTGCACACATGACTTTGTAAAATGCTGCCCTGTTGCAAGCTTCATCCTCAAGCTCCTATGTCAGTGCTGTTTGGAGGTGACACCTCTGGGAGGTCAGTAGGATGAGTGGATATATTGAGGTCATTTGTAGCTGCTCACAATAAGGATGAGTGGTCCAAGCTGGCAGGCCTGCCCTGTCTAGCCAGGTGATGCCTTCTGGTGTGTTATGAGGCAACGAGATGGTTCTCATCAGGCTGCCCGGCCCTGCTGGTGGACTCCCCAGCCTCAGGAATGGCGAGCACCAGCACTTATCTTCTTCATGGTTACCTGGTCTTTGTTATTGCAAGGGAAAGCAGCCACAGCACAGCACAGTCTTTCCGTGGACACATTGTTTTTCTATGTTATTTTTCAGTGATCTCAATGCACACCTCACTCCAATGTATTTCAATGCTCCTTCCTTACTCCCCAGGGCTGGGCTCCAGGGTGCACAGATGTAGCCCTGAACCACTTTAGCCCTCCAGCAAGGGCTCCCTGAGACCAGCACCTGCACCAGTTCCTGCAGACCTTGGTGAAATGAGAGAAACAGAAACCAGACATTCACCCCAAGGCTGCTCAACACTTCCACTTGCAGTTGCAGGATTATTATTTTTTTTAAACTAAACTTCTTTTTCTTTCCTAATAGAATGTTGTGGCAATCATCGGAAAAGAACAAACCCATGTCAGAAAGCACACAACTCCATGGGAGTTGTTGAGCCTTGTGACAGTAAAAGTGATTCTGATCTGATGGCCAGGCAGAGACCTGCTCGGGGTGGGGGGACAGGAGAATGAGCTCAAGGCACGCAGCCCAGCTCAGGGAAGTTGCAGGACAAGCATGTTTGCATAGGGAACAACCTGGACATCTGAAAATGCCTTCACATGCATGCTCTGGCCCCATCCTCTGGGCTCGCAGAGGAAGCAGTAGACAGGCTTGGCCTGGTGGAGACAGATGGTCCAGCTCACACAGTGTGTTCGGCCCACACTGAGCAGCCTCTGGATCCTCAGCCCAGTGGCCAGGAGGAGCTCTTCTTCTGGGAGCCCCACGTGCTACTGAGGCGCATAATGACCAAGCGGCTGCAGATTTGACCCTGATGAGACATCCTGGAATTCTACCGCAGGAGTCAAAAAACTGCCTCACGCCTGAGTGTCGGATCACTGGATACCTCTTGGGTATCCATTGGTGCTGTCTTGAATCCTGAGCCACCCACCTGCTGGTGGACATTTGCAGAGGTGCCTGATCTTTGGGCAGTGGTCTGGCTGGTTTGATTTCGGGTTCTGGAGCTTGCGGGCTATGCTCCTTTGGGCAAGGGACATCACTTCTGCTTCCTCATCTGTAAAGTGGGAATAGTGGTGGCCCCTCCCTCCATGGCTGGGAGTGACGCCTGCTAGGCCCTCA